AAGATTTACATTTATTTTTAGAATTTCATTTCCAATGATTATTGTAATCGATTAGATCACATTGATAGATTTATTATCAGGAGGATTATGATAATTTAATTCAATTTTTCGCTGTTGTTGTTTATTTATTTCATCCATCTTCAAACAACAACATTGAATGTCCATCCTGTGTTTGTGAGTGTGTGTGTGTCCATTTATTTTTTGCCAAATATGATACAACACACGCACATTTATATATAAATACATAGGTCAAGGGCATTATTATTATCATTGAAATCGAAATCAAAAACGACCACGACACAACAAACATTCAGCAATCAAAATACCACTCTTTTTTTCATCATCATCATCATTTTGATTGTGGATGACTTCGACAGACAGACAGATGCAGATGCATCCCATTATTATATGTTGCTGTTTTTTGATCGATTTTCACTATCGTTTCGCTGTCTTTATAACGAAAGGAAAAGCAAGTTTTCAAATGAGAAAAAAATGAACTTTTAAGAGACGGAAAATGAAAAACCAGCTTTTCTAGGATCGTCATCATCACGATGATGATGATGATGATGATGGAATCATCCTAAACATCATCATTCATAGGTTATATAATCATTCTGTCCTGTTTGTGTGTGTGTTGCGACAAGTGTTTTGTATTATGATTATAGTAGTGGCTGATGTGTGTGTGTGTTGACCTTAATCTAATCTTTCTCGCTCTCTTACTCTCTAAGGATGACTGAATGTTTTTACTTTTTCTCATTCTAGATTTTTACCTTTGAACTTTGTTATTGTTGTTGTTGTTGTTGTTGTCGATCATCATCATTAGAATCGTGTTTGATGATGATGATCGACAACAACACACACCCAGATTGGAGAAATGGAGGAAAAGATGAGATAATTTTTTCAGAATATCAATGTCCATATATTTAATGTAGTAGTCTGTTTGTCTGATCATTTGAAGAAGAAAAAAATGATCAAAAACACGAACAAGCCATTTTCATCTGTGCATTTTGTGTATCTACGATGGATCAAAAGCGAAACAAAACAAAATCCATGGTATAACATATCACACACACACACCTGATGAACTTGGAGCTAGTTTTTTCAAAAAATTCAAAAACTTTTTTTTTTTTCTCATCATTATTTATAATCATCTCACCTGGCCTTGATTTACTTTCTTTTTCCCTTTGTGTGTGTGTGTGTGTGTTTCAGTTTCTATGTCAATGTTGATTGTATGTGTCGGAACTTGTTGTTGTTGTTGTTGTTGATTGATCCCGAACAAGAAACATAAATCTAGAGAGTGAGATAAAGACCGAGAGAGAAATGCAATACATCCACACACAGGTTTTTCTCTCAATCTCACTGTGTCTGTTTTTTTGTGTTTTCCGTATTTTTCTCATTTTTTGTTGTTGGATCATACACACACACACACATCCATCGGACAATTGGTTTTTGGATCTCAATCGATTTCAGATTTCAAATTTCGTTTTTTCCTTATTTTTCATAATTGATCAAGATGATTATGAAGAAGAAGGGACAAGGTCAATGTTTCTCTTTGTATCCAATCATGATGATGGTGATGATGAAAATGAATAAAATTACTTGACCTTGATGTGTGTGTGTGTGTGATTATGGATGAAAAAAGAAAATTCAAAAAGGAAAGGAAATTTTCTTTTTTCTTTTCCTTTCCTTTTCGTTTTCTTTTTTTTTCATTCATTTGAACTACCATTTGTGTATGTAGGTTTCTGGAACACCTTGTGTCCTTGAATAAATGTTTCTCTTTGCCTTTTGGACTTTTTTTTCGTTTTACCTTGTGTGTGAATTGTTTGATAACACACACTCTGGGTCTGTTTATGTGACAATGTTTACGAGGCGTTTCTGGTGGTAATGACCATTTGTTATTGAAAATCATCCCATCTTCCTGTTTTGTCCAAGTTTTTTCCCTTTCATTGTAAATATTCCTTTGAATTTTGTCCCCTTTTCCTTTTCTCCACCAGTGATATTTATCTCTTTTTTCAGTAAATATTACACACACACACACACACAGACAATGGAAAAATCAAAATTGACCAGAATTTTCATCATCATCCTCTATAGAGAATGTGGAGAATCAATGTAGATCACACACAGAGGATATACCACATTTTTCAAAATGAATCATACCATTAATTTGTGTGTATGTGTTGGTTCGATACGTTTGATTTTTTTTTTGCCTTTCATTTGTTGATGTATGTAATAAAATGGTTTCAGCTATTTAAATGGTAATATATTGTTGTTGTTATTGAATTTCTTGATGTTTTTTTCTCTCTCTCTGCCATTTCCGCTTCCGTTTTGTATGTGATCATTGTTGTCGTTGTTCCTCATTTTCTTGTTTATTGTTATGACGTTATAGTCGTTTTGTTATTATTAAATTTTTTGGCCCAACCATTTTGTCGTTATATCCCACCTACGCATGAAAATCCCCCCCTCGCGTGTCTCACTCAATGATCAGGATGTTGACGATTAAATGTTTTTTTTTCTTTTTTTCGTTAATATCCATATATATTAAGTATGTCGATGGCGAATTTTAGATTTTTTCGGATTTGAAATGACAAAAAAGTGTTAATAACTGTATGATTAGCCTGATTGGTCATTTTTTTCAATGCATGCATGGATGCCAATCATTTTTTTCTGGTAATCAAAGAGTTGTATGCAGAAAAATGATAAAACACTTTGTATTGCTTCATCATATCACAAGATAACCAAACACAGTCAATTTTCGATAAATTTATCATTTTAAATGTGGGTGGGTGTTGTGCGTTGTGTGTGTGTGTGTGTATTTTTCATTCATTCCATTAACATACATTGAGTACATTTGGGAGAGAAGAGAAAGAAATGATTCCAATGTTGTTTTTGTTGTTGATCATCATTATCGTTTTTTTCTTGTTTGTCTTGGTCGTTTTGGTTGTTCACATTCAATTTTTAATTAATTATATTTTTTTCTTCTCATTGGATCTCTTGATCCTCTTCATTCAGTTGTTGTTGTTGATCGGCAACAATAATTGCGATTTTTATATTTTTTTTGGAAATTTTCTATTTATAGATAGAATCAATTTATATAAATAGATGGATAGATTCTGTTTCTGTTGTTGGTATTGGTTGTTTTTGTTTTCGTTGTTTTTGATCATAATGATGAATGGGATGTGCAGAAATGTGGGGAGTGACACCGGTAATTTTTTTCGTTTCATCAACATTGAATGCTCTTTTTTTTTAATAATTCTGATGATGATGATTCGTGCTATTGCATTGATAAATTTTATTAAGGACTGGCAAGCGGTTTTCTGTTTTTCTCTCTAATGATGATGGTTGTGTATTAATTATGCCATGTGATGTTTATTAGTTGGTTCGGTTTTGTTTATCTTTTTTTTACATAATAATATTTTTCAATCAATTTCGAAAAAATTCGAATCGATTACGTTCTTCCTTCTTTCGTTCATTTTGTGCATGTGTGTGTGTGTGTGTGGAGAATACCTGGCCAATTTTTTTCAAAAAAAAAAAAAAAAACAGATCAAGGTAAATTGGTTTCTTTTTTCGCTTTCAACCTACTGTATATTTACACTCACGCACACACAAATACAGGTGAACAACTACAACAAGATTCAATCATTAAAAATCTTGAATCAAAAAAAAAAAAAAAAAAAAAATGCTGCCCGCTGGGCATTCTAGAACTCCTGATAGATACTACATACACTTGTATATGCACCTGACCTTTTTGTGTGCATGTGTGTGAAAGGTAAGTTTCTTTATTTTTTTTTTTTTTTTGGATTCCCATGGCCATGGCTGCTGCAGCTTTACATTTCAAACAAACAAACCAGGTTGTAATTCAAGATTTTTTCCCTAACCTTTCGCGATTCAAAATGATGTGTTGTTGTGGCGGTGATGGCCTTCGTCCTTCATTTTATTTCGTTTTTTTTCATTGGTCTATCCCTCGGGCCATACCATTCTTGTTTTTCGTTTTTATTGTAAACTTGAACTTTTTTTCTGTATTTCACTTTTCACGTTCGAATCATATCATCGATCGTCTTAGTTTTTTTTTGGCTTGCTTGAATTCGATTTACCTGTCCTGTGTAATTGTTGGTCGTCGATATTTATACAGTATATCCTCACACGCACACACACACACACAGAAATCATGGATTTTTTTCGGTTAAATTGTTTTTTCTCTAGTCCATCCATTATCGATTTATGCATTTTTGTGTACATATTGAAAACAAAGATAACTAGCTTTTTCTGGTTAAAAAATTTTTTTTTTTTCATCGAACGGCTGAAAAAGATCTGATTCTTTTTGTTGTTAACCGATTTGTTGCTTTTCTGTGGATAACGATGATGATGATGATGATGACGACATCTCCCAATAAGTGAACGCAAACGCAATTTGAAGAATTCATTTGATGATCATCATTGACAATGACAATGAAAATGAATGAGAAAAATATATAATTCTCATCAATACGGCCTTGGAACATACACACACACACACACTAACCAAGTGTAGTTGTACTGTAAACGCAACACACACGAACACAGACATTGAAGCATTTTTTTCATGAAAAAGGGACAGTTGTTGTTATTGGACCCAGAAGAATTGATGACCAAAGAAGAAGAATAGTGAACGAGGGGAAAAAATGGTAAAGAAAATGAACCGGCTTCATTCTCTCACCCTCTTTGTGTGTCTCACTGTCTGGTTATTCAATGCTACTACTACTACTTGGATTTGAATGATTGAGGAGGAGGTAGAAGAAGACGTTCAATATGAATGATGAGATAATTGACGTCATGTGATAGTTTTGTGATATACCACTACTATACTACCCCTTTCAATTATTAACTTTACATAATTACTGCTTCCAATTTATTTTACTTCTACTTCTTAATGCTTCTTTCTTCGTTTTTTCTTTCGGTATTGACCCCGCCACCATTACCACCACCATTCAAGTAGCAGCAACACTTGTGTGAACACCAAAAGCTAACTTGAGAAAAAAAACAAACATTTTTTTCGATTTTATGTGTGTTGTGAATGTGAAATGAAATTCATGCACTCACTACATGCATGTTGTTTTGTTGGTCGATTATTTTTTTTTGGTTGATGTATGAGAAAGTTGTATATGGATACAATACACAAAAGACACACACTGCATTTTCATTTTGTACTTTGTTCTGTGCGCATACCACACACACATATATTTAATTTATACGGTAAAAAAATGTAATTCATGTTTTTTTTTAACAATGAAAACGATTGAATCATCATTGATTGTTTGTGTATCTACCTGAATCGACAACCACCTAATTTTTTTGATAAATAAACATCATCATCATTCAATCGAAAAAAACCGAAAAGGAAATATCATTGACCAGAATTTGGTAAATTATTCTTTTGCTTGAAAAAAGTCCATTTGTTCAATCTGTGTGTGTGTGACTGTGATGTTATTTTTGTTTCATTCGATTGTTGTGTGTGTGTTTTATCCACCTGTGTGTATAATGTTTTAATTGAAAACAACAACAATAACTAGCAAAATTTCCTTTGGTTCACTGTGAATTTCAGGATTTTCTTTGGACGTCGTAGTAATAGCATCAACTGTATATGTTATTCTGGTGTGTTTTGTTTCTAAAAATTTTGTCTATTTTTTTCTGTTTTGTCTCTGTATGTGTGAATGTCCCTTTTGCTTGTCGTTGTTGTGGCTCGAATTTCAAAAAAAAATTCATTTGGTTAAACTTGAAATCGAATTTCAATCTATCGATTCGATGATGATGATGTTCGATTTCTTTCACCCCTTGTTGAACAAACCCCAAGTTGTTCAATTTTCTATGCTTGAAAAAAGAAAATCAGCATTGTCATTGTTGATCTCAATTGAAAATTCTTTTTGTTTTTGTTTTTTTTTAATTACAATTTTGCACCGAAAATTCTGCTCACCCATCCATCCATTTCATTCATTCTTTACACACAATGTATGTGTGTCGTCTTTGTCGTTTGTTTTTTATCATTTAATTTCAATTTGAGTGATTATCACAATTACTACGACACATACATGACATATGCACACTATATTGAAGCATGTGATTAATCAATAACCAATTACTTGTGTGTTTCTCCAATAATAATTCTTTGAATAATTTGTCGTATTGTTTGGATTAAATCAATTCATCAGCTTCTACATTACATTGTTTTTTGTCTTTTTCAATGTGTGTGTGTGTAATTGAAAATTATGACAGATTTTTGACGATAAAATGTTTTTTCTCTCTCCTTTTTTATGTTCGATTGATTGATTAATCTGAAATCATCAAATGTCAGGATCTATTGATGATGACGATGTTTTTGGCATCATCATTGAATTCCAAATTTTTTTCTGGTTTCTGTTTTTTTTTGTTGTTAAATTGAGGGTATATCAAATTAGTATTAGCGTGTGAATTATTTACATTTTTTCTTTCTCTTTATCATTTTGGTTTGATTTTTTTGTCATTTTGATAAAGAACCAACCCATTGGCTTAGTACAAATCGATGCTGTGTTTTGTGTGTGTGTGTGTAAAAAAGATATTTTTGGAATAATCGAACGAAAATTATTGACTTGTTTTTTTGGATTTTTTTCGATTAGTGATGATGATGATATGATGAATCTCGATACATGTGTATGCGTGCGATATGATATGATGATATATTAAAATTTAGTGCGCTTGATGGATCAGATTTCGACGATGTTTCGATTGTTGAGAGAGAGAGAGAGAGAGAGAGAGTATGGATTTTGTTCTTGTTCAAATTGACAATTGTGTTTGTTTTTTAGTTTTTTTTTCGAATAAATCATTTGGTCATCTTGTGTGTGTATCGTTAATTGTTGCGCCATCTAGTTGTTGTCAATTTCATGATTTTTTTTTATTTTTTTTTATTAATACACCAACCTCACCTAGGATCCGGTTCATATTTTTTTGGATTGAAAAAAATTAAATTAAATTTAGTTCTTAGTTCCTGTTGATTGATTGATGACGGATAACCAATTAAAATTGATCAAAATTGAGGGATTAGTCATCAAAATCATCATTAACCATGATCTGAATGGATGGCAATTTTTTTGTCTTTTTTCTGTAATCGTCGGTATAGATCGTACTTTCTTTTTGTTCTCTCTCTCCCTCTCACTGATAGTTACCACGGACATGATAATAATGATGATGATGAAAAACATTTGGTGATGAGAATTGCATTGTTCCAATATGTTTTTTTTTCTAGTGTTTTTTCCGTTTTTTTTTCTTCAGAGAGATTTTTTCTTGTCATCATCTAGTGTATGTTGACCACAACACAATAAGCAACAAGTTCCGTTGATTCAATGTATTGTATGTTAACCAAACTTTCTTTTTTCCCTTGTTTTTTGTCGATTGGATTTGATTTTTATTCATCATTTATTACCTCTGTCGTTTTGATTTTGCTTTGTTTTGTTCTGCTTGTGTGGAATATTTGTGGGTTTCGATGTTAGCTGGTCGTTGTTGGGGGCTTTCAATATGATTGAGTGAAAGAGATTGAAATCATCTTTGTCATCACCCATTGGATAATGGGTGATGATAATTGGATATGTAGTGAGAGGGAACAGAGAGAGAGAGAGAGAGATTGATGATAAAATTCAATTTTTCTTTTTTTTGGTTGGCTGGGTTTTCGGGTTTGGTCGCGATTTCTTCTCTTGTGTGTCGTTATCGTTGTTGTGGTCGGATTGATTAAGATTAGGATTTTATTATAGAATCATCATCATAATAGGATGGTGTGTTGTTTAAAGCCAAATATTGGATTTTGTAGCCTGCGTGTCTATTTTTTTGTTTTTTTTAATATTTTCTCTTCCTTTTTTGTGTGTTTGGTGTGTAAATATGTAACACAGACACACACACAAAACCTAAGATAACAAAAAACCAGCCTGAATTGGAAAAAAAAGACATAGACAAACATACACACACACACGTCGTCATTTTTTTGTTTGCAAACCAGAAAAAATAGGAAGATGATGATTTCTGGTTTCTCTGATTACCATTTCATTGAATGATTGATTAATTTGATTTGTTGTCCCAATATATATTGATAATGACAAGAATGATGATTGAATAATTATCGAATATGTTTAATCACCAGCATCATGATTTAGTTCCGGTTTGTTTTTTAGTGTGCGTATGATTTAAATTGTTGTTCTGGAGGAAAACAAAAAGATTTCATATTTTTGTCATTAAAAAATTTTTCACCACACCAGACTAGACGATAATAATAAAAGAAGATTATCATTTTTTGTGTTTGTGTGTGTGTAATACAAAAGATTTTCTTTGTTTTTGTTTTGCTGTTTTGGTGACTGACTTTTCTTGTATATGCCTATGACAAGAATCATCATGAATCATCATGGAAATCAGTCATTTTTTTCAAGAAAAAAATTCTATTTATACAAATTATTATTATTATTATTATAGGTTAATTGTGATTGATTCTTTACCACACATTTTTTCGATGTTAATCACTTGTTTTGTTTGTTGATTAGATTCCATTCATTCATTCATTTAAAGAATAGCTTGTTGTTGTTTTTCTTCATCATTCTATTCCGAAGGTTCTTTCCTGTTTGAGGCGCCAAAAAACAAAACAAAAAGTGATATTGCATATCATTTCTATGATGATGATCGTAGGATGTGTGTGTGTTTTGTGTTTTTAGCTTGTATGATGCAGTTCTTGTTGTTGTTTTTCATAAGTTAGTTATGTGCTTAAGATGGATATATATTGATGTTGAATCATTCGATGGAATGGTAAGAAAAAAACAAGTTATGTGTGTGTGTGTGTGTGTGTATTTTCCCTATTTAGAAATGATGTTTGTGTGTATGTTGTGGATAAAGAGAAAGAGAAGGCTAGCCACAACCACACCATCACCACCACCAAAAAAAACACGTTGAAATCCTATTTGGATTGAATTTTCAATTTTGATTTTTTTTTCTAAATTCTGTACAGTCTGGTTTTGATTTTGTTTAATTGTTTTTTGTTTTTTTTTTTTTTACTTGATCTCTACGGATTCTCCGATTCCTCGCTTGTGTGTGCGTGTTGTTGTTGTTGTTTGGTTGATTGAAAATTGTACATTCTTTTTTGTTTTTGTTTCAATTTTTCTAATTGAAAAAATGTTCTTTTTTTCTCGTTCATTTTGCAATAGGAATGGAGACCAGTATAACATTATGGCAATTCCTATTGGAATTGCTTCTCAATCATGAGGTATGTGGATGGTCAATTTTTTTGTCATTGGAAAATTTTAACTTTTTGTTTTCATTTTACACACAGTATAAAGATATCATAACATGGACAAACAATGATGGTGAATTTAAATTGGTCAACGCCGAAGAAGTCGCCCGGTTATGGGGATTGCGCAAGAATAAGCATAACATGAATTATGATAAATTGTCGCGAGCATTACGTTATTATTATGACAAGAATATTATCAAAAAAGTTTTGGGACAAAAATTTGTATATAAATTTGTATCATATCCAGATTCACAAAAATTGGATACGGCTGCAACAGCCGCAGCTGCAGCGGCAGCCGCATCAAACGCTGCAGCAGCAGCGGCGGCAAAAATGGCTGCATTTAATCAGGCCGCACAAGCTGCTGCCATGTCGAAAACATTATCACAATCACCATTGAATCCATATAGTTATTTAGCCGCGGCTGCCGTTGCGTCATCATCGATTCCACCATCGCCAACATTGGCACAATCATTTCCGGATATCAAACTTGAACCACTATTAACAGCAACATCGATATCATCTGCCGCATCATCGTCGACAACAACAACAGCAGCGGCGGCAACATCAACGACATCGATTAAAAAAGAGCCCAATTTTTTCAATTTTCCTGTTTTACCAACACATCATCATCATCCATTGTCACACCATTCACATCACCATCATCATCCATTGAACCATCTTCCAATATTTGGTCAACAAACAACAACCACAACGACGTCAGCTTCGACGCCAGGAACAACCACAATGTGTGAACCGAATAATAATAGCATTTATATGCCATCAATGGAACCTACAGATCTTTCATTTAAAACTGGAAAAAATTTATCCAAAAAACGTAACAACAATGAAGCAACAGCCGATAATAATGAATCACTATCATCTGAAAGTGGTGGTTGGACAGAAAATTCTGACAATTGTAATAATAGTCATTTCAATTATATGAATGGTTCATCAATAATAAAATCCACCAATGGTGGTGCAAATAATAAAAGAACTAAATTGATGACAAATGATTATAATTTAAAAATACAGTCCTCACCATCCAACATTTCATCATCTGCATCTGCATCATCACCATCACCATTATCGATACGTTCACCATCGCCATCATTGACAGATGTATATTCAAATCTATCGAATGATTGTTCACCAGTAAATCTAAGCCAATCGGCACATTCTTCTGCATCATCCGCATCATCATTGTCGGATCGTGATTCAGATAAAAATCCTGGTTCATGTTCATCGATTGAATCGATGGCAATGGCAAACAGTGGTAATAATAATGATAAATTGAATGATATTACATCGTCACCATCGAATGTATCATCATCATCATCATCGACAACAACGTTGATGAATAAAATTAAGCAAGAAGTTATTATTACAAACTCACCATCATCAGCATCCAATTTATCATCAAATGGTGGTGGCAGTAATACCAACAATAGTGGTAATGGTGGAAAATCCAAACATAAACCACCACCAATATGTGCTATACCAAATAGTCCAACACGTAATAATTTATCGTTTGCACAATCATTACAGACACCAATCGTAACATATACATCACCATTTTTGGCTAAACATACACCTGGTTTGTTTAATTCCACATATTCATTTTTCAATTCATTAAGTCCATTACTGTTACAAAGTCCAAGATATGCAAGTGGTGCTAATCTGTTTCAATTTCCACCACATATTAATAGTAGTATTGCCAATAATAATAATAATAATAATAATGGTGGTGGTGGTGGTAGTTCGACCACAGGAAATATTGGCAATGGAAATGTAATTGGTAACAGTGGTGGTAATAGTGGATCATCCTCGACAACAGCAACAACTACAGCACCACCATTAACACCAACAATACCGATTCCACCATTATCACCATTTACACCAGCATCATTTTCATTTTATGACCCACAATTTTTATTGTCACCACAATCAACGTCGATACCTGTATTGCAAAGTTGAAAATTTGATCGAATGAAACAAAATTCAGGAAAATGAATATCAAATCAGTTGTGCTCAAAAAAAATTGAAAAATAATCAACCACATCTACATACACAAAAAATCGCTATTTTTTTACCATTTTTCAAACACACAAAAGTGATCTCTTTGTATTTTTTATTATTATTAATTCATTCTCTTTTTTTTTTCCCTTTTTCATATTCATTATCACTCACACACGCAGACAATTGAATTATTTTTCTACAACAACAACAAATTCTCTTTCTGTTCCAATGATATGATACAAGTCCATTTTTTCTGTCCCTTGTCCACAATGATCCAGATTTATCCAAACAAATGCACACACACACACACAAAGAAGCAATAGATGCCTGATTGACCAAAGTGCCTTTTACTTGCCTAGCTTACCTAATCTACCTACCTACCTTAAAGACCTTTCAAATGATGTTGTTGTTGTATATCAAATGCCTACTTTTGTTACATTTTTTATTAGAGATTAGAGATCCACATCAACAAGCAAACACACACACACATGACAAGCGCGTGTAACTGGCAAATTTTTGCAAATTTGCCTTCGACAATTGTTTGGTGTTTTGAAAACTTTTTTTTTGACAATTTGTGATGATTGTGTGTGTGGTTGTGTCATTTTCTTTCCACACACATCTTCTTCGAATTCATATATGGGCGTATCGCTCTGTTAATTATACTGACCATTTTTTTTTTCTTTATTTGAATGATTAATTTGTTATATTTTTTCTTGTTTAATTTCTCTTTTTCGCCACACACACACACACTTTTCCCTTTCATACAAATGATGAGCATACACACACAGAGCATATTTTTTTCAACTTCATCATCTACATTTGCATCAAGACTTTTTTTTCGAATCAATACTGATGATGATTCAGCTGATTTTTTCTGTCTCATCATCATCCACACACATAATCAAAAATCATAAAGTTAATTTTGTAGTTCTGTGTTTGTTTGTCTGTCTGTTTTTATTTTTGTTGTGTAAATTTTTTTTTCTTTACTTTTTCCCTGTTCCAATAATTTTTTTTGTTGTATAAAATCGCCTATCCCCATTTTGTGTAACACATTTGCATTTGCCTTTCAAATAATGAATCTTCAACATATAACTACTATCCAATCACCCCGTTTGAATGAAAAATGATCATGTAATCAAATTCGGTGAGAGAAAGAATATTTCTCTCATAATTCTGAAAACCTGGAAGAACCTACTTTTCTATTCAACCAAGTGCTGCTTTTGTTGTTTCCATTCAATTTCACTTTCCCTCGATATAATTCATCATTGTAATATTTTTTTATGCAAAACATTTCACACAATTTATTTATAATATAAACACATTTACACACACACACACAAAAAAAATATATAAACGGTGATGTTTATTTAATTTAAAAATAAAGTATAAAACACAACATTCAACTATTGCCACAAATATAAATTGACATACCACATTTAATTATATTTTAATATGATCATTATAAATTTGAGTTATCATTATTGAAAAACAAATGAATACGATGAATAAACAGAAAAGAAAATTTAAATTTCTTTTGACAAATTCAAATCAATTTTTCGAATGATGTAAAAGATTCTCATTTAAAAAAAAAATGAACGATGAACGAAACTATCGATTATGAATTTTGATTGTTTCTTTTAAGACAAAATTTCAATTTTTTCCTTTTATTGTTTGAATGTAATTTTTCTTCAGTGTTTTTTTTATCTGATAACGAAAATGACAAGTAATCGTGATTATAAAATTGGTGATATAATCAACGTGGATACGCCATTCGTACATGTTTTGAATCTAGATCAAAAGAATCAATATTGTGATTATTGTTTTTCAAAATGGTATGTTTTTTCTTTGTTGTGAATGTATTCTGGATTCAATCCAAACAATTTTCATTCTTTTCTCTAGTTTCGAACTGAAAAAATGTAATGAATGTAAACAAATGTATTATTGTGGCAAAACATGTCAACGAAAAGATTGGAAAAAACATAAATTGGAATGTCGAATTTTTAGAGAAAATTTCCCTATCATCCAAAAAGATTTGGATCGTTTTTTATTGCGGCTATATTTGTATATCGAAAACAATCCTGATTCGTTATGTGAACGAAGAAAATTTCATGATGATAATCCAGATTCCAGTCGATGTTTCACGGATCTAATGACACATCGTCCACAAATCGAAATGGACGCTATTCGAACCAATGTTTTTCAATCATTATTTGCAAGATTTGAATCGTTGAATCAAATCCAACTCAACCGTGATAAATTGTTTGAATGTTTCTGCCGGCTATGTATCAATTCATTTACGATAACAAATTGTGAATTGAATGAAATTGGATCAGGCCTTTATTTGGCTGAATCCCAAATGGATCATTCCTGCATACCGAATGCTGCACCTGTATTCAATGGTCATCGTGTTGTAATACGTGCTATAAAAACAATCAAATCTGGCCAGCCGATCACTATCAATTATGTGGACATGAAACAATCGACAAATATTCGTCAGAAAAAATTAGTTAAACAATATTATTTCACCTGTAAATGTAATCAATGTGAATCGAATGATTCGATCGATTATGAGAGACTTGGCCATCTGATCACCAAGATGGATGATGCTATCGATACGAATAACTGGATCGAAGCCTATGAAATGGGTATTAAAACAATGCCCATGTTTGAAAAAATTTATGGTGATTGCCACCCAGATCTAACCGTACAAATGATACGTATGTTAAAATTACATTTACAATTAATACCAGATAATAATGGTCAGATTGATGCGGAAATTTCGAAAGAAATCCAACAAGTGAAACAAGCAATCGAACGTACAAATCTTTATGATGATGAACTTTATAAAATATTTGTGTCAATAATCAACGATATTCAATAACCATTTGTTGCATTCTTATCGTCGTTTCTTTAATAATGAAAATCAAAAAGGTAACTCAATTCCAACCTTGTCACCTGGAATTTGATGTTGTTTCTATTTTCAAATTGAAATAAAACATATCAAAACACTAAACAAAAACAAGTCTCATTCAATCCATAGCTATTTTTGGATCAAAAGTAAAAAAAAACTTGGAATCATTTTATTGTATCTGAAAATTTTGCTATTTTCTTTGTGAAAAATAAGGTCATTCCTATTGTGGTGATTATTATGATAGTGTCCATCATCATTTGATCATCGATCTTATCATTTTTTTCATTTCAGGGCTGAAATATTTTATTTTCTCTCGCTATTGGTTTTCACCTAATTTTTTTTCTCTCTCTTTTCACATATATCATTCCTAAAGATTATCTATCGACGTGACTGAGTCAAAATTTAGTCCTCGATAACAACAACAACAACAACAAAACCCGAGAGAAAGATTATCACTCGGGAAACACAACCAGAAAACCTCCTCCCACCACAAATCTTTTCAAGAAAATTTAGAAAGAGACATAGATTCCCTAAGACAAGACAAGTAAATCAGGTTTCATTGGGTTTTTCTGTTTTCTGTTTTTCGTCTATATTTCTTCTTCGAGTTTTGTTGTCTTTTCTCATTCCCCCACACACACACAGCAAATCAATGGATTTGATGATGATCATCATTGTAAATGATATCTCTAAACAAAAATAACAGAAAAAGGAAAAAAGAGAAAAACAATTTCAACCATCAAGCATTATCGTTCCTGTGTACACTGTTAATAACCACTATCAAATGGGAAAATACTACTGAATTGATCAACAAACGGGAAATTTCTTTCTTTTACACTTGTTATTGCAATTCATAATTGTCAACAATTTTGAAGAAAACAAAAAATTCATTGTATGTGTTTTTCATAAGTTTAATTCACGTAAATTCTTTGACAAAAAAACGAAACAAAAAAAAGAAATAACATCAAAGTGTGAGGTAAGTTTTGTTGAGAATATCCATAAAGAGAGAGAGAGAGAAGACTAGTCATCATTATCATCATGATCATTATGATGATCAGAATCGCCAAATGTTTCTTCACCATCATTTAGATTTAGACGCCATTTTAATTGATTCGAATCACGCATTGCTAAATTGAAATCAAATTGAAAATTCAATCCCATTAATGGTGTTGTTGATTGCTGTTCATGTTGTTCGAGAAATTGAGAATTGATTGCTGAGGCTGTTGTCATTTGATGATCATTATCATCATTGATCATTAATTGTTTTGGTATCGTTTGATTATCCATCAATGATTGACGATATTCATTCTCAATTTGTTCACGATCCAATTCAATTCCTTGTGCACGTGCTTCACGCATACGATGTTCAATATGTTTATCTTTAAGTGCTGTTCGTAATTCAAAGAACATATTATTTTCAGCATCTTTCATTTGCACATCTGTTTGATCGTCGTCGTAATCATAATCGTTTTCCCAAATAGTATTTCTAGATCTAGAATCTTCAATAAATGCTTCGAATACTTCATCTTTTGGTGGTTCACATTCATTGATTAAACCACCACTAGTACCGGGTTTATTATCATTCGAACCGATCATTTCATCATTGATGGTAGATAGTTCCAATTTATCCGTTATATTTGCTTTACGATGATTGTGTTGTAGTGATCGTCGTATAGCCTGAATCATTTCATTGGCCATTGTTGTTGTTTCAATCATTGTTTCAAATTTGCAATCTAAATTTTCCTTGATTTTCTGATCCAATATTGCTGTGGTGTTTGATTGATCTAGTATTGTTTCACAATCATCGATTCTAAAATTTTTTTAATTTTAAAATTAAATCAATAAAAAAAATTGCTTTTTAACTTACATTGCCATTGATCGATACAAGGCCTTACGAACATTACGACAATTTTGCCATAGCATTCTGTTTTCATTTTTCAATTTATCTTGATTATCATTATCATAGCTTGATGATAAATAAAATGATTTATAAAATGATAAGATTGTCATCAATTCCTGTTGTCGACATTTGGAATTTTCCAACATTTTTCCTAGAATATTGTTCAGAGTATCGATTATAATCTGATTGGAAAGTTTTTCCGGAAAATTCGATGGAACGTCATAATAATTTTGGACATAAATTAAAAGCAGTCGTTTGAAAAATTCCGATATCTGTAGACGTATCAATTGTCGTAATGATTTGATTATTCGAACATTATCCACATCACAATTATTATATGAATCATATAGGTCATCTGGCATGGATGAAATAAGATTGTCATCAATATCAGCTTTCAATGGTAATAATTCTTTCAATGCTAATGTTTGTTGACGAAAATCCTTGGCACAACGGATGCCAATATCCCGGAAACTTGTTGCCAATTTCGATATGGCTGTAATAACATTGAATACTGCAAAATCATTATCTTCAATCAATTCTTTTAATTTTGTCAATAATTGACGTTCATCATCAATTTGTTTGGCTAATTTGATTATTGATTCATCACATTGACAAGTTTGATTTCTATTTCATTGTTGATCATATATTGGTTATAAACTGTAAGTGTTGTTTTCATTATAATCATCGAATATTACCTTTTTAGCCATAGAATTGTGATTGAAATTGAAATGGCAAACAAAATGATCAAGGAACTAGTCCAGGTTAATGGGCCGGCTATAATTAATGCAGCAAACGCGATCACAGCAGATAATGAGTATATTTTCCTTCATGATAATGAATCGATAAATATTTAGTTTCTAAAGAAAAATAAGAAAACTTACTTGCAATTATCAAGTAATTTTTTCGAAAATGTTTCTAACAATAATGAATCATGATGATCATTATCGAAGCGAATTCGATCCAATTCTATTTGATGTTTGAAAGCACTATGAAGTAATGACAAATCTTCATTGATAAATAATTTTTTCAATTTTTCATTGTTTCGAAAATACTGAAACAATCGCATTCCCGTACGATGATTAAGGCACATTTTGTTTTATATTTCTTTTATTGAAATTCTTTTGTTGTTGTTGTTGTTGAAAGAATTCCAATAGAATACTCATGTGACAATAAAAGAAAGAATCATTCATAAAGTACTGTGCAATAGCCTTGGCTGAATCAACAGTTAATTAGAATTGTGTGCAAATTGAAATGTATTTCACAATGATGACATTTTAACTTTTATTTCTATATACAAACTCCAAAATTGATTGATTGATTGACCATGAAATTGTTGACATTAATTTGACGTCATTTTTTATTTTTCAATTTTTTTTCTGCTGATTCATTCACAGTAATTTTTTTGTCATTTTGTTTTCAACAAACATTTTTGTGTGTTTTCATTAAAAATCATAGACCATCATTATTGAAAATGGCTGTGAAAATTTATCCCGTTTTACTATTGTTAATTTCAACGTTTGGCTCATTAAATTGGATCATCATCGTTTCCTGTCATCCGAATAGTGTGGTGTTGTCATCACCTATGATGGATGATTCTGGTGGTATGAATCTAACCAAAATGTTTGGTGGTGAAGAAATTGCCCGTTGTTTGATTCGTGGTCAACAAACAAACCAAACAAAAACGACAACAACGGATCTTATGATGATGGCAAATATTGATGATGTTAGCCGTATAATGTTGGATGGTGCAAAATTTTTTGCTATTCGTTTATTCAAAACATTGAATCTATTTGAACCAAAACAAACATCAAAAGGTCTGATCTTTTCACCGGCATCAATTTGGTCGACAATGATTATTGCATATCTTGGATCCGAAGGAGAAACAGAACAAGAACTGAGTAGCCGTTTGAAATTGAATCAATTGTCCAAATCACAGGTTGCATTAGCATATCGTGGTATTAAATGGTGGAAAGATTTAAAAATGATTGCCAATAATAAAAATAAAACCAACGGTAGTGGCGTAGGATCAACATTAGTATCAAGTGCAAACAAACTTTATATCGACGACCGAATTCCATTGAATGATTGTTTTGAACGAATTTTTCATGATGAAATTGAAATCAAACCATTCTCATCACAACCAGATCAATGTGTACAGGAAATAAATTCCTGGGTTTCTGATCAAACTAAAGGTAAGTCTATGGAATTTTTTCGTCTGAAAAAAATATCAAAATTATTTTCATTTTTAGGAAAAATAAACGATCTAATCGCACCGGGTACAATAACACCAATGACCAGAATAATGATGGTTAATGCCATTTATTTCAAATCATTCTGGGCACAACAATTTGATTCATCACGTACAAAACGACAATTATTTTATGTTAACCACGACGAGCATTTAGAAGTCGATATGATGACAATGGATTCAGCTAGCATTATGTTTGGTCTATCCGAATCGTTAGGTGTTACCGCTGTTGAAATTCCATATTCAAATCCTGATTATTCAATGTTGATAATGTTACCGGATCAATCACGATCATTGGACACGCTGATTAGGGATTTATCATTACCAAAACTTCAAGAATTATTCGATCAAATGTATGATGATGAAGTTATGTTGATGATACCACGATTCCATGCTGAACAAGAATTCGAATTGGCTGGTGCATTATTTTCTTTGGGCATAAAAAAATTATTCGATCCACGTTATGCGAATTTGGCCATGATATTTGCCGGTAAATCAAATCAAACATCTTCATTGAATAAGATTGCATTAGATTCGGTTGTACATAAATCATTTATCGCCGTCAATGAAGAAGGAACCGAAGCTGCAGCTGCAACCGCAATGATATTCGCTCGTAGTGGAAGGCCAGCATTTCCTACGGAATTTATTGCAAATCGTCCATTTTTATATATGATACGAGATGTATCCACTAATATGATTCTATTCCTTGGTACAGTTCGACGGCCATCATCATCATCTTGAATTTCTTTATTTTCTCTCCCATGATTTCTGAACATTCCATTGTTTTTTCTCATTTATTTCGCTGTAAATATGACACACACCCACACACAAACACAAACAAACACACTTATTCAATTTCTTTACGTTTCGTTTAAATCTATCTATAAGTAGAAAAGAGGTTGACAATCCGATGATGATCATTATTATTCATTTATTTCAAAAACAAACATCACAATGTTCACCAAAAAAAAATATGAAATTGTCAAAAAATCTGTTAAAAGATGGTAGCACTTTTATAAATTGAAATTGAATGAATGAAAACTGTCAAATTGAGAATCATAAATTCAGTGAGACCCCTTGTAAATCATTTTTATCACAGTTTTTTTTTATTTTTTTCAATGTTTTTTGTTTGTTTTTTTGTCTGTTTACTTTTCACATTATTAAAAAATTATTAGACTAATTGAAATAGATTATTATGATTAAAAAAGAATTTCGAATCATGTAATAGATGTGTAGCATGTATGAATATAGAAAAAATCGAGGCCAAGCATGTAGTGTGTCTGAATTTTTACGTTGATTTATACGACAATGATTATGTGATAAAATTAAAGCAGGTATATGGGTGTATGTTTTAAGGTAATCGATAATAATATGGAAAAAGATAAAAATAACTAAAGATCGATAAGATGATGAAAGAGAATAATGTTGGTTGATGTTTGGACAAAATGGTAAAGGATGAAGAAATCATCCTTAGAGAACAAAAACGTTTTTCCCATTTATCCATTCATTATTATGGATCACTGCTACACACATTAAACCGATTGGTAAGATAAACGTCGGCTAACACGACGTCCAATAAAATAGGCAATCATCACAATAATAACCAATACAGTAAGTGCAGCACCAACAGCAATCGGTACAACATCATTGATTTCATTCTGGCAATTGTGTTCTATGGGTTTAAAATTGAAATTAATTTAGAAAAAAACAAACAATCAATCAAAAATCAAATCAACTTACCTTCACTGAATGAACCTTTTTGTGATGGTTTCATGAATGCTTGCATGGTAAGATTTGAAAAAAGAAATTCCGATGTAGTATGATGATCATTATTATCCCATTTGATTGTAACATTATTGGCACAAACATATGAATGGGATTTATCCACGTTAAAGTTTGGATTCGGTTGTGTAATGTTGACACTAACCGTTTCATTACTTTTTGGTAATTGTACACTTGCATAGATGGAAGCAAGATAAACGGAAGCTTCATTTTGTTCAAATGTCAAATTCAATGTAGAATTATTATCGAATACAAACCAAAATGATTCCGATTTATCACGGCCACAATGATCTGAATCGACAAGAGCACTTTTCGGTAACCAAATATCTTCTACTTGTGTCTTATTATTTTTATCCATATAACCAAGACGCATTAATAAGGAGAAATGATAACGTAAACAGATATCATTTTTGCCATTAGTAATATTTCCTTCAATCAATGGCGGAGCAATAACGGGTGGTTCCGGTTTCTGCGTTGTTGTTTTAGGTGGCTCCGTTGTTGTGGTCGTGGTAGTAGTAGTCGGTTTTTTCGTAGTAGTCGTTGTTGTTGTTGTTGTAGTTGTTTTATTATCCGGATGGCCATTATTATGTGTCAAATCAATATCCGATAATTGACATTGACACAAAGATACTATACATAAAGACCAAAGATTTTTTAAAAAAATGAAAAAAATTCAAAGTTATTAAACTTACCTATGACCGTGAAAACAATATAAAGGATGAATAAAGTTTTCATTTTGCTCACTATTATATGATTGAAAGAAATCGATTATGAGGTAACCAGAAAAAGAGATATCAATGTTCACTTGATAAGAGCAAAAGCGAGAGAGAAATGTTTGTGGAAAATTTTTTTCTTCGTTCTACGTTCACGAACAATATTTCTCTGATCGATGATTTGAAATTGCTAATATTGGATTGGTTCGTTCGTTGATCAAAAAACTCGAAAATGAAATGAAATCTGAAAAAGAGAAAATAAAATTATTGGGTTCAAAATGCTTAGTCATAAAAACATCATCATCAAACAAAGATTAGATTAGATCGAATCAGATTATAATCGATGGATGAATCAATCAATCAATGGAAAGATTTGAATGGAAATCAAGTGGCAAAAAATGAATCATCAATGACAATAATTTGAAATAGTTTTTTCATTATAAACAATGTGTAGTCGAGTGTATATACACTTTATGGATCAAAGGTGAAACCAGCAACAACGAAAAAAAACCCAAGCAGTATCAGGTCATGACATTCATTCAGAGCAAATAAACTTACGTTATTTTACCCAAAAAAAAAAAAATCGAATCCACAATTCGAATGAATGAAACTTGTATTGATTGTATATGATCGGCTTTTGTCGATTTTTAATATAATCAATCCATTCGAAATAATCGATATGCAAAACAGAAATTAAATGTCTTTACGTGTGTATGTATTTTGTCAACGTGAACAAATGATGATTGGAAATGAAAATGATGAAAATAATTATCGAACTTACCAAGAGAGCAGTGTAAAAAAAAAAATGCCTTCGTCGTTGTTGTTGTTGTTGTTGTTGATCATCGAATGATTATGATGCTGATGATGAATTGAAAGAAAATGAATGCGTCTCACACACACAAAAGACACCACTTTGGAAAGAAGAAACACAAAGATAAATGAAACAGCAGTGGTGCCACCTGTAATCAAACTTTCACTATATTATCATACAACAGAGCATGTGTGGATAGAAAATTCGAGTTTTTTGATTTTTTTTGCTTCTTTTAAACGCGCGTCATTTGATTTTTTTTTTGATTTGAATCAACTCCCACCATCAATGATGATGATGATGTCACAATTTTTTTTACTTTATTTTTGTTGATTATAAATTCATTCATTCATCATTCATTAATGCGTTTATTGTTGTGGTAGATGATGATAACCATATTGTTATTTTTGAAAAAAATAATTCAATTTGTCAATTTGAAAGGTTTTTTTTGGATGTGCTAAACTATACTATCAAATGATGATAATGATGATGACAAATTCATTCAGTCTAATGATAATAGTCATATGATCGAAAGATGATGATTAAAATTTTACAAAACCATATGATGGGGAAAAAATGGAATTGTTTTGTTACAAATTGAATACGCTTGAAACGCCCCATTCATTCAATCATTGATGATGTTAAAATCATTGACAATCAAATAATTACTGATATCATTAATGAATTGGCAGAAAATTCAAATTATCATTACAAATACGTACTATATTAATGGCTCTCAAAAAGTGCTGTCATTTTTTCTGAAGCTCAGGTGTTTTATTTCAAAATTTAAATTGAAAAATTTGAATTTTAAATAATTTTTATCGAAAAAACATGTCCATCTGTCCTCGCGAGCGTTTATTGACAATTGTCAATGATATCGAATTGATATCCAAGTAAGTGGCTGTCACCGTTTTCCATTCATTTGATTCATTTGATTAATTTTTGTTTGTTTTCACAAAGAGAAATGTTTGAACATTTTCTTTTGCCAAAATCTGCTCGATCTAATCTGATTGATCGTGTACAATTAGCTGAATTATTAGTACGAAAAGATCAAGAATTACGTCAGGCAATTAAAGCGGCTGAAGAGCAGGAATTGATACAATCAAAAATTGATCAATTACGTCGTGAAGTACAGGATCATGATGATGAATTACAAAAATTGCAACAAAGTTTCAAAGAAGCTGAATCCATATTGTCGACAGCAATCTATCAGGCTAAACAGAAATTATCATTAATCAAGAAAGCTGATTCACATTCAATATCGATTGATGAGCTAATAAAATATGCACATAAAATTAGTGCCGATCATTCGGTTGCATCACCATATAATTGGGAGATTGGTGATCCGCGACGGCCATATCCAACTGATTTGGAAATGAAATCTGGCCTATTGGTCAATTCAAATGATGCTAATCTATCAAGTCTTTTACAGCAGCAGCAACAACAACAACAACAATATCATCATCAGAATCAATTACAAGAACAATCATCACAATCGATACCGATGCGACCATCGTCGGCTTCTAGTTCACCATATTCATGGGCTAATCAACAACAACAACAACAACAATTTGCCACAGATACAAAACCAAATATAAATTCTATTAATTCAGGTGGTCAATACGGGGATTATAGTGATGTTAAAACACAACAACAAAGAGATAATGATGAAGTAGAAGTCATGTCCACTGATTCATCATCAACATCATCGAGTGATAGTCAATAAATGAATTGATTCGTTATCAACAAAAAAATTTTTATTCAGATTTCCATTCACTTGCATAATCTTACTTTTCATTCCAATTTTTTCGAATTGTAAATAAATTGATGATAAATTGAATAAATCTTTCAATTTTTAATTGTAACATCTTTTATGAATGGCTAATTTGAAAATTCATGTGTTCGAATCAAATTTTTCTTTTTGAAGATTCAGAATGTCAATGATTTGATTTGATTTGATTTGATTGTGAAAAATGTATCGTCAACATTTCTTCACAACATTCATCTCATCAATAATAAGACAAAGATGTCCAACGCAAATAATATGCCGTCATTTTGCTAATAATCAATTGGAAATTTCGTCCAAATTACAGACAAAGATTGAAAATCGATTGAAAAATTTAATTGTCGAAGTAGATCTTGGCCGCGGACCAGTACGTTCTAATGATGATGTCGTGGATAACGTTAATGTCCTCGAAGAAACCATAGTAAAAGCATCGAATATTGATCAGATTCGTGAATTGATTCGTTATAATTATCGACAATTCGATGCTAATCATATTGCACAATTATTCGAATCAATTGATAATATCGTTAAATATTCTACTGATCCGGATACCATAAGATTGGATATACTTGGTTCGAAAGAATTTGAAATTCTCGCTAATCGTACATTGAAAATCGTTCGTCATTTAGAAGCATCCGAAGCATTGAACACGTTGATCGTTTTGAATAATCTTGGTGTATCAATCGATACCGTATTAAATCAGGCATTAATGCAAATGGTTCGTGCATGGATTAATGATTATTCTATTGATGATCTATATCGATTGGTTCGATTTCTGAAACAACGTGAAAGCTATAAAAGTCGACATAGTTTAATGCAAGCATTGCATCTAGCATTACCGTATGCATTGAAGCATCGAATCCAATATAAAGAATTAGATTTCTTTCATGCTCGTACATTGATGAAATCAGTAGAAATGATTGCCCATTTTGGTATCGATATTTTTGGTGATATAGATTTGGTGGAAAAATGTCTACATTATCTTTACAAACAATTGGATCGTTTAGGTCCACGAGAATGGCTAAACATTCTTTCATTTATATACGCAATGAATATTCCTGGTGATGAATCATCATCACTCATCTCTAGAACTATTCGTTTGATGATTGATGGTTGTATTGTTCGTATCCGTAATAGTAGTGATAAAACATTTGAAGAATTGCCATCACATTTTTTCCTAAATGTTTTGATGAAAATTGATCGTTCTACACCGGTGTATTATGATAAACACTTGTTTGATTTAATAGCTGAACAGGCATCTAGTCGCCCGGAAAAATTTGGCCTTAGAAATCTGTACCTATTGTCGTGGAAACTTGGTCAATTCAAATACATCAATCATAGGATGCTTAGGTTTTTCGTTGAACAAATCGACAATGGAACCAACTCAGATTTATTGTCCAGCAATTCATCCATATCACTAGTGAATTTATTTCATTTATTTGCACAATCTTCAAATTATCACGAAGAAGTTCATTCAGATTTCACTCAACTTGCCAATAAAATTATTGAATCAGATCGATTTATCGAGGAAACGGCACGATCAAAAATGAATTATTTCAATTTTCTTCGAAGTTGTCTTATTTTAAAGGCTCAATTAGATGAAGATATCATTGTCGAATGGTTTGGTAGTGAATATTTCAACAAAGCATTGGATATCCTACAAAGTCAATCGAAAAGGTTAGAAATATTTTCTCTGCATTTCTCTAACGAATTTCTTTAATTTTTTATAAATAATAGGGTTATATTCCTTAAAACAATGGCCATAATTTATGATGGTTTATTCATTCAGAAAATCATCAAATTAAATGAAAAAAATTGTGATTACATCAAACGAAAATTACAACCATTCATTGATGAATTTGTCGATGCCATACGAAATGGTATGGAATATCAACCAAGATCATTTGAAAAAGAACAGATCAAATCGATTCTCGCGAGACAGTCATTTTCAGGACAAAAAATATCTGAAGAAATGATTAAAATAAATCAGGTAACACAAACAGGATCTATAATCGATGTGGAAATATGCGGAAAAAATCAAAAAATTGCCATAATTTTATTGAACCGTAAAAATTATCTACGTAATCCATCGATCATTGATGGTGAAACAGATTTTCAAATCAAATCATTATATTGTCAAAATTATCGATCTATTGTAATCGAACTAGAAATGTATAAACGTTTAACCGAATTTGAAAGGGAATTATTTTTGCGAAAAGAAATGGAAAAAAATATTTAAAAAATACAACACTATTTTAACCCAAGTTATTGTCAGTTGCATATTTACACCCAAATTGTTGTCGTGTTGAATCGAATCAAAACCAATACACACGTGCTGTGTTCATTTGATTTCAATAGCAAAAATTTTATTTTTAAATGATGGATGACGATAATCAAAATGCGAATCTGATACAAGATGATGGTGATGAAGAGGAAGACGAAGAAGAAATTGAATCATTTGAATCGATGGGTTTGGATCAGAAATTATTACATGCTATTGCCAATGTTGGATGGCGAAAACCGACGCTTATACAGGCTAAAGCTATACCATTAGCGCTTGAAGGTAGGAAAAATTAAATTTTGTAGAGAAATTAAAATATAAAACTTTGTGATGATTTATAGGTCATGATATATTGGCACGGGCACGTACAGGTACGGGTAAAACTGGAGCATTTACAATTCCGATTGTAGAAAAAATTTTAGCTGCTAAAAAATTCGCCACCACCACGAATACCGTTTCACGAATTCGAGCATTGATTTTAGCACCATCCAAAGAACTTTGTAATCAAATTTGTAAGAACTTCGATGAGCTAACAAAATTCTGTCGACGGGATATAAGTGTTATGGACATTTCTCATGGAAGCGTTGAGGAGAAACGTGATTTTCTCAGTATCGAACGGCCAGATATATTGATTGCAACACCGAAAAAAATTGTCGAATATTTTCAAACAAAAACATTGAATGATATAAAAAAGCAATTGGATTTTCTTGTCATTGATGAATCGGATCTAATGTTTTCATTTGGTTATCATGAAGATTTGCTTCAAGTTTTCAACCATATACCATCGACAGGCGTACAACGTTTTCTAATGTCAGCTACATTGAATACGGATGTGAAAGAATTGAAAAAACTGATACTAAATAATCCTGTAATATTGAAGCTAGAAGAACCAGACCTACCAGAATCGGATCGTTTACAACAATATCATATTGAAGTGTTTGATGATGAAGAAAAATTTGTCCTTATCAATGCTTTACTTAAATTAGGTTTAATTGTTGGTAAAACAATCATATTTGTAAACGATGTTGATCGTTGCTATCGTCTACGTTTGGTACTTGAACAATTTGGTATTCGTACCTGTGTACTGAATTCTGAATTGCCTATTGCATCAAGATGTCATGTAGTGGAACAATTCAATAATGGACAATATGATATAATTATTGCTAGTGATGAAAAATGTATAATGGATCCTAATACACGTGATATAATGATGAAGAGGAAAAAGGTGAAAAAATTGACAAAGAAAACAACTACTGCCACTGCCACTGATACGAGCAGTGAATCAAGTGTTGCACGTGGAATTGACTTTAAATTTGTATCAAATATTATTAATTTTGATTTCCCCACTACTATCGACTCATATATACATCGTGTTGGACGTACAGCACGTGGTCCCGATTCAGATTCTGACGGAACTGTATTGTCGCTAGTCAGTCCAACAGAACAACAATATTTTCGTCGTGTTAGCCGTAGATTTCAACAACATCGAGACGGTAATGGAAATCTACGTCCATATCAATTTCGAATGGATGAATTGGAAGCATTCCGTTATCGTACAAGAGATGCATTACGTGCCGTTACGACTATCGCTATACGTGAAGCAAGATTACGAGAACTGCGTCGTGAAATGCTTCAATCCAAACAATTACAATCATTTTTCCAAAATCATCCAAAAGATCATAAACTATTAAAATTTGACCGCCCATTAAATGTAATAAAATCCGCTCATGGTAATCGGTCACATTTACGAGATGTACCTGATTATATTGTACCGAAAACATTGCAAACAGCCGTACGTAGTAAACGTGAAAATCGCCGTATCGAACAACAAGCATTAATGAATTATGAACCGCCGAAACGAAAGAAACGGAAATCAAATCGAATGGTAAACAAAAATAAACAGCAGACAAAATCCTTGAATGATCCATTGAAAACATTTCGAATGAATGCCATACAACGATATAAGAACAAGAAACGAAATAAATCACGAAACAAGTGATGATTTTTCGACATTCGATTCTTTCAATGTTTTTCATTTGTTCATTCTTTTTAATATAATAAAAAAAAATTCAAAGAAAAAGAAGTGAAAAACACATAACCAATCGGTTGGAGTGCCAACCGCTAACTGAATGATTGAATTCGATCAAAACAAACTCAACAACAACAAATACACAAGATTAACAACTCGACTCCATAACGACGAACCATTATTACGATCGTTTCGTTTGTTGTTGTTGGTTTGATGATGATAATGACAATTTAGATGGCCAAAATATACAATACATCAATGGTAGTGGTGGTGGTTAAAGATTATTGAGTTTTAGGTTTGGTTTTTTCTTTCTCCATTTCTGGGTGGCGCGAATACAACTTGCAATGTAATGTAATGTTGTTGTTGAAATGGCTGCTTGGCACTGACGATGATGGTTTTTCAATAATAAATTTCATTATTGTTGTTGTTGTTTGAACTAAAACACACTTGATCAGGAGAGACAGTAAAACAGCATTCATCCACCACCACCACCACGGTTTTTTGATCAAATCAATGGGCGAATCAGAAAAAAGTTTTGTAAAAGCTACTACTGCTGAGTAATAATAATACGGAGTTTTTTGGCTATGCATTTGGTTTTTAGGTAGTTGGGTTGACGATGGACCAGATACAACAGACATTGAGAGAAGAATATATAGCGAAAATATACACACACCATACTCCACCATCATCATCAAGCCACAGTTGTATTATATTGAATGGATGTGATACAGGATTTCCGCCGTATTAGGATTTTTTTCGGTTATGCGAGATTACAGAGACAATATTTGATGCAAAATATATGAAATTATCAACTTGAAAATTTAAGAATTAAAATTCTACATTAGAAAATTACCGGAAAACTTCGGTTTTATCAATAAATGTGTGTGTGTGTGTGTGTTAGTAGCTTTTTTCTTTCGTTGCTCGTTCATTGCTTGTCGTCCATCATCGTATAAATCGTCGTCGTCGTCGTTTTTTTTTGATCATTGAAGAAATGTTCGTGCATGTAACACACGAGACGACTCCATTTCAGTATTGGGATTTTCATTTTTCAGCCTTTTCCACCTACTTTTTGCAAGTAGTTTTTTTTCATATTTTTGTTTTTCTTCAATCCTTCTTTTGTTATCGAAGTTAAAGCATCACCATCACATCTATTTGTGTGAAAACAAATTCATTTCATTTCATTTTACATTTCGCGAATGAATGACATATTCATATTCGATGCTTAATGCTTAATGAGATGATGATGATGAGGTTCCATATATATTTTTGTTTTCAAATTCGTTCATCACCACACTTACTTACACACACACACACATCACACATACAAGGCAAGGACAATCGAAAGGGCCTATCGAATATCGTAATATCGATTCGAATCTTTTTTCTCAACATTCGTTCATCGAATGATGATTTTGATACATGACACCTTGATTCCGTGTTAAATGTGCAATATAAAGATAAGATTTTTTTTGTTGTTGTTCCAGATGATCCAGGAGCATAAAAAAATTGATTCGGACTTTAAAGAATAGACTATTTCACATTTTTTAATCATTTGAAAAAACTCAATTTTTGTATCAAATGGATGATGAATTTTTTTCCAACTTTTCTCTCCCATTAGTATTGTTCATTTTGTTGCCGCGAAAAGGAAATAAAGCAAGAGAGAGAGAAATAATGGAAGGAGAAAACGGAGGTGTTTGCATATCGGGTCATCATATGAATACAGGAATCATTCGATATTTTTTTTGATTAAAATTTCAAACATGAATGTCGAAGATATACGGTTCATTTTTTTTCTACATTTCTTTTGAGAATTATCTTTTGCAAGTGTGTGTGTTGTATTTGTAATAATTGGTATCTCTCTCTCTCTTTTTTTCTCTATTTGTTTCGCTTTTTGATATTTTTTTTGCACAAACACACATCAAACATAAAATAAAAGAAATAAATACAAGTTTTTGGCTTGAAGCAGAACGACGACAAATGATGAAAATGATGATCATGCGCAAGTAATCGTCATTGACCAACACATTTTTTTAGCTTATCAAATGTAATGTAATGAAGTCACAATGCATAATATGAAAGAACGTATTTAAAACCGTAACGTAGCAAGAAAATACATTTTATTCAATTTTATGAATGATGCAAAAGCATAAAGTTCAAGTCACGATGGTTAATAAATATAGTTTTGCCCTAATTGTGACCAATACAGCATAAATATGAATGTATCCATTAACATATACATGTACATCAATTTTTGTATTGGCAGTTGTAGCAGTATGCATTAAAAAGAAATGCTTACAACCACAGCTTTGATCATCTTATGCTTCACCAATTATATATATATATATATATTTAATTTAATCTCTTTTTTCCATCCAGTATCACACCACCACCACTGAATGAATGAACCACTAGTACAAAATGAGGAGTATGTACACACAGCAGTGTAAGTGAATAAAAAAGGCCTGGCCATATCGCAAATGATGATGATGGTGAAATTGTAAAATGAAACAAATATCGAAACGAACAGATTTCATACTGCATTCGTCGTGATCATATCGGCTCTCTTTCCTTCACTCTCTACATCAGTACTATTTGTGTTTATTGTGTCGAGATAGTCGTCGTCTTTGTCAATTGTTTTGGTATATGCGCATATCATCATCAAACTCAAACCACAATATTCGAATTGAAAATATTGTTCTGTTTTCAGAAAAAAAAAGTTTTTTTCCGTTATTTCATCATCGTTGTTTTTTGTTATCAAAAAAAAAAAAAAAAAAAAAATTTGAATTGCGTGGTTTTTTTTTTTTGTTTTTGTAAATTTCTAATTTTGTCCTTTTTAGAAAAAAAGGATGTGTGACATTTAAAAGTTTTTTGTATGTTTTTGTACGGGTGTGTTATGTTTGTTTTGGCTGATCTAGGTCTTGATCAATCAAAATGTCTATGACCACGAATTGAATATATATCATTGCATTTTTCATATGATAAAGTATCTTAGAAGATATTTCAATGTTATTATCATCATCATTATTTTATTATTATTTTCATCATCATTACCACAATAATCATCATTCAAAATCGTCATGACCATTATCGTATTCTTAATCGATACAAGCGGTTCGATGAATCAACGTGCCCATTCGGGTGCTAAACAAACATTATTAGATATAACAAAAGAAACTGTCGATCGTTTTATAAAGGTATGCAATTGTTTGATTTTTTATTCAATGAATTCTTCTTATTATTATTTGGCTCCAAAATGACATTCGAATTTTTAAGGTTCGGTAATTCCGTGGCAGATGGCGCTGTTTAGATTTTGAATTTTTTGTTTGTTCAAAAGTCCTGTTTTCATCCAATGGAAAAAAGACATTTTCATTCTGTGATTAAAAAAATTACATTATCTAATGCTAATGTCAATTATGCATATTTGATTGTGATCACAATTACCTCATTTTCACGTTCGCTCATAATTCGCATTGAAAGTTTTTGTTTGAAAAAATTATCCGGCAAGATTACCCGCGGGGTATTAGCATGAAAAAGATGCAGATTAATTGCCGTACATCAAAGCATTTTGTTAGTCTAATAAAATTTTTTTTTTCATGGTATTAGGTATGATAGGATTATCTTGTTTGTTTGTTTTAACCGAGAAATAAAAAATGTAGCAAGGCTAAAAATATAATAAATTAGATGAAGATAGCATAGTAGACTCTATATTTTTTTATATATAAAAATAGAGCCAAATGAACATGAGTTTTGTGTTCATGGTGTGTATATTGTATATTCACCTTCTTGTTTCATTCACATTTAGAATCGACAAAAAGATATTGCAGCACGTGGTGATCGTTATATGTTGTTGACATTTGATGAAACGCCCTATAATATAAAGGTTTGTTGTCGTCATTTCGGATTTTTTTGGTTGACCAATTTTTCTTTTTTTTTCTCTCAAGGCTGGCTGGAAAGAAACACATGCGGTATTCGTAAATGAATTGAAAAATCTATCAGCCACCGGTCTAACAACAATGAATACGGCATTGAAAAATTCATTTGATTATTTAAATGTAAATCGAATGCAATCCGGTATCGATACATATGGTATGGGTCGTTGTCCATATTTTCTTGAATCGGCTGTCATTATATTGATAACGGATGGTGGTCGATTTTCAACTGTAAACAATGTTCAAGATGAATTAATCATACCGGCATCAAATTGTCCCGGTTCAGAATTTACAATTGAACCATTTCGTTGGGATCAACGTCTATTTTCCATTGTACTTCGCTTTAATGGCATTTATCGTAATGATCAAACACAGACAGTTACATCGGTTGGCTGTGATCCATCATCAATTAATCAACTTAGTGAAGAAACTGGAGGTAATTTGTTTTTAACATTTTGTTGTTGTTGTTGGTTTGACATTTTCAAATTTTTGTTGTTGTTAAAAAATAGGCCGTTCATTTAGTGTGACATCGAAAAATGAAATCTATTGGTCGATAGATTATATTCTTGCACGGTTACATCATGGTGTGATGGTAAAATTTGAAAAATTTGGTCCCGATCCGCCAATGATACCACCACCGATAAATGGCTGCGGTGGTAATGATGAATCAAGAGCTAATAATTTTGATCGTTCATGGCAATGTACACGCAATATGATACTTGTACGACCAACAACAAAAGGTTATTCAATGGGACATTGGCCAATACCTGAATCATATTGGCCTGATCCAAACATTCCAAGTTTACAACCACGAACAGCACAGCCAATTATACGTTACACTTGTACAAATTCTGAGCCAACTGTGATTGAAAATTTGCCTTTCGATAAATATGAACTTGATCCAAGCCCATTAACGAATTTCATATTAGCGCGTAAACAACCAAATGTTGCTTGGCAAGTATTTATGGCCAATAGCCAACGAAATTCAGAATTTGGACAACCATTCGGATATTTAAAAGCCAGTACGAATCTTGCTTGTGTTAATCTATTTGTATTGCCTTATAATTATCCCATGTTATTACCATTGTTGGAAGAATTATTCAAACAATTACAAGGAAAACCAACTCGTGAATGGCGGCAACAGTTTGATAATTACCTGAAAGGTATGCCAGTCTATTATGCTACATCGTTGAGACGTGCATTGCAACGAATGGGTGCACCAAATTTAATACCGGATAACATGGAATTATATGCAACAGTTAATCTGAATAATATTATCAAAAAACAGAAACATAATGCAAAAATTGAATTCGATAAGCTAACATCGTCGATGGGACAACATAAACCGATCAATATTGAATGGCCACGTATATCGACCAATCATTTTAGTTTGATGTATCACAACCGAAAAACAATTGGTGATCTTTTCTGTTCAAATCCATCATTGAAACGGACATTTGCACAACGTCCATATGATTTTCAAGATTTTAATGGGTTTATTGTGCGATATAAAGATCGTCCTCATTCTGAATATAAAACATCATTCTATCGTAATCCAGCAGATATTCCACGTAGTGAATTGTTACGACAAGCGGTTAAAATACGGCAAATATTTTTCCAGAAACATATGTCACTTGCAAAATTTACTATGGATGAAGATCAAACATTCAATCTGCCAGTTAGTCAGATGGGTAATTATCAGGAATATTTGAAAAAGAAACAGCCACCATTGCGAGAATTAGAAGCGGCTCCTAGTCGGCAGCACATGTTTGGTAATCCATTTAAATTGGATAAGAAAAATCCGATGATTATTGATGAAGCTGATATTGAATTATCAAATAATGGTGGTGGTAATGGTGGTTCTAATAGTGGTGGTGATGGACAATCTAAAGGAATGAAACGATCACTTTCATCATCGGCATTGGCAGCCGGTGTACAAGGTGGACCACCAAAACAAAGACGAAAACCAGGTCCATTACCAAAAGATTATTCCTATTCACGATCTCGTTCGCCATCACCATTGATGTTTAATCAACCACCACCGACACCTCCTCCTCAATATATGATGTCACCGCAACAACAACAATCATCATCACCAAATTCATTTTATGGTGTTGGTAATTATCATCCAAATTCTAATAATCAAATGTATCAAACAGTGAATGGCTCAACATCATCATCTCAGCAACAATTAGCTAGTAATCTAGTGAATCAAAAATTATTGCAACCATCACAGATTGTAAAATCTAATATAAAAACAAACAATAATGGCAACTTTAAAAATAATACCGGTGATCCAACAATTAGAGGAGCTTTCGGTTATCAACTTTCTTCACAACAATCATCAATTAGTAATTATCCTGGTCATGGACAACAACAACCTCAATTATTTAAACCTATTACTAGTAGGCCAACAGGATTCGGTGGTTCACTGCAACAACAACAACAACAACAACTGTCAATTTTCCAAAATCACAATCAACAACAACAGACTAAACAGATTCAAGTAATATCGAATGGAAATGGACAACAGCAGCCATTCTCAACCGGTTCAAATCCATTTCCAAAATTAAATCAACATTTAGTTAATGGTAGTAGTGGTGGTGGTGGTAAACAATTGGGATATTTTGCCACAGGAAATAATTTTAATCCACATCGAGGATATATGTTTAGTAAAGAGGAAAATGAGAAGCTAAAATCTGTTTTACATTTTGTACGAATGAAAGGTAAGTGAAACCTGAGCATTCTATTTTCTCATTATTAATCCATTCCATTTTTGTTTTTCCAATTAGATTCCAAATCATTGATACAGATTGTATCGACACAGAAAGGTGTGTTTGCTGATCGTTTATTGTTTGAAGCTGTATCATATGCACAACGATTCAAGATGACATCAATCACACAAATATTGAGCAATCATTTTGGCATTCGTGTACAATATGCATTGGATATCATTGCTAATAATAATCCACGAATGATGACCACAACTATAGCAAACAATACGACAACGGCCGTAGCGGTCACTACAAGTACTACTGCTAAATGATTTGTGTCTGTGTTTGGTGTGTCCGTTTTGTGCAACCGTGTTTATTACTGTGATGATTCTGATCTTCATTCATTTATTCGATCTTCATTTTAAACTAGAATTTATTTATTTCCTTTTTTCCCTTCATGATTGATTGATTGACCCCCCAAAAAATGGATAAACAATGTGGAATATGAAACCGAAATATTCGACAACAATTTTATCCACTTTTGACATATTGTTGAGATATATGTGGCTTGTTACATTTCATCTTATGATCATCAACATTTTATTTTGTTTCATATCCATCACGCAATGATCACCACCATGTTTATAATAATATCAAATCAAAAAAAATTTTTATACACATTTTAATAGTTGTTCATAATTTTGAATAATAAAAAAAGAAAGAATATCGTAAGAATACCTTATTGATTTCACTCTGGTGATCTTCGATGCAATTCACAGAAAAGAAAAACCACTCAAACAAATTCAGAATGGTAATAATAATGGCGCTGATGACCTTGATGATCTCATCAAAGTGTTATTGCATTCGTAAATTTCATAATCAAAATCACGGGTGAATCAATTGATTGATTTGTTGAAATGTTCACCATTCTCATATATAAATGTCATAAGAACAATTGAATTTTTTCCAATTAAACTAATAGAAAAACTAAACTAAACTAATTTAATTTGATTCATTCAATAATTTCACTGTGATCTCAAAAATCTTTTTCATATTATTCAATTTGTATAGAAATTGAATTTGTAATAATAAAAATTTTCAATTTAAAAAAAATGATTTAAATATCCAAATGAAGAAAGAAACAAAAACTAAAAAAGGCTTATTTATTCAAAGGAGATGAATATAGCGGACGATAATAATTCAGCTATTATTACACCATTAATGTTCATATCATCATCGACGACAAAAACAACAACAGCGACTTCATATCCTCATCATAATCATACGACGACGACGACAGAATTACCGAATAGAGAAATCAATGTAGCAATCGTTACCGTTGGATTAATATTATCCGTTTGTTTTGTTATAATGACAATCATATGTTTATTTTGGATTGATTCATTTAATCGTTCGACAACGATACCATCATCATCATTGAAGTTGGCTAATAAACAACAACAACGATCATCACCAACATCATCATCACATAATAGTCAATTTTCGAAATAAATAAATGTAAATTGTAAAATTTTCACCCATTTTCGGGTGTCAATTGAGAAAAAAATGTTGTTAGTTGATGAATAAAAAAGAAAACAAGTTTGCCACACACAAAACCATTACATAAAAATGTCTACATTGACATATCGCGATAAGAAATGAGCAATGCAAATGATGAATGAATGCATGTGCATGATGACTGGTAATAAATAATGGTAGTAGGAGTAGAGAATGATTGCTATCCTTGAACAACAAGTGGTGAAACAAAAGAAGAAAAAAACTGATCCATGTAGCATCAACGATCAGCTGATGCGACATTTAATCAAATTTTCTAATCCGTTCGAATGTTTGAATATCCACCAACACACACACACACATTCCGGATACTATGGTTTTGGTTTCTTTGTTTTTTGTGTTTTAAATGTTTATCAACAATAGAATGATTCTAATAAAACTGGTGATTATCAAGATGATGATGAAAATGAAAAAATCATCAATCCTTATTGAATTAAGAAATCATCATCGTATATCGACCACGACAACGTTGATGATGACAACAACAACATTATTACCATGTGAGTATTGGATTGTCAAAAATTAAGCAAAAAATCTAAATCCAAAATCTTTATGAACCACGACACACACACACCTCTATATATCTCTAGTCTCGAGCTAATAGAATATTTTCATTGAAAATAATTCAATTTGATTCGCGCGGAATCTGTGTACACATTCACACCAGAAACTGCGATTGTTCTATAGCACCCAAATGCTTCTGCTTCTGTTTTTGACAACAACGACAACGACGAAAATATTGTTTCCCTCTCTCGATTTCCTATTACACAAATACACATGCACACACACCCAAGATTCAGATGAAAAGTACATTTACAAAACATTTTGTATATATATTTTCTCTCTCTCTCTCTCTATGTATTGTGAGAATGGTCCATTCCATAAGTTTCTCTCTCTCTTCACGATTTTTGAATCTGTTATGTTGGTCTGTTCAAATCATCTTGTTTGTTTGTTTGTGTGTGTGTGAACATTTTCTTTCATTCCTCTCTCTCTTTCTCTCCTTTTCATTCAATTCAATTCTTCAACTTTGAATATTGATCACAATTCCGCTATACATCACACACACACGCAAAGTATCAGTAAAACGAAGAAAATAAAATAAATTCAAGCAAATCTGTTTCTTCCATCATCAGCTGAGAGTGCAAAAGAGAGCGAGTTTTGTTTTTCTCATTCCTTTTTTTGTTTCTTGCCAAATAAAAACGCGTTCCAATACGTTTTTTTTTGGTTCGCTACGTTCAACAACAGAGAAAAAATACATAATCCAATAATTGGCCTTGTGTGTGTGTGTGTGTTGCAAATTTGTTTATTTATTTATTTTCGAAACGGTCAACAATTATATTAATAGATGTTTGTCGTTGTCGTTGTTGTTGTTTTTCTTCCCTGCACTGAACTAATTGATCGTGTTCATTTCCATTTCAAAAATTTCATTCATTCATTTGATCGACAAATATTGAATCCTTTTCATCATAATAATCGTAATAAAGGTAATAATGAAAAAGTTTACAAATTTGATTTACTTGGTAAACTCTACGTCGTTATTATGAATTAAAATAGAATGTATGTTTTTTATTTATTTTGACAAATTATGAAAAATTATTTCATAACCATGTCTGCGTGTGTGACGATTTTGCAATCCACATCACCTATGATCGTCATTAGCATTCTAAAAATATTTTTTTCGCTCTTTCTCAGTCGTTAACAGATTCTTTTTTTTTTTTTTTTTTTTGGTTCAATATGATGAGTTTTTCAATGAAATTCTTTTGATTGCAAAAATTGAATTGATTATTTTTTTTACAGCTAACGGAGGGGCGAACAACAAGAGAAAACGAGTTTTCATGATTTTTCCCACTTTGCTGATCAATGATGATGATGATGATATCTGTGGTATTTTTCCATGATTATCCTTGACAATTTTCGTCTTTTACGAGAGAGTGAGAGAAAGAGAAACTTATCATCAATGTAATTAATTTGACAATATATTTCAGGTGTCTTCTCTGATCATGACCATATCACATGCATTCAATCGAATATAAAAAAATCAATTTCAATTTCCAATGAATGAATTGAATTATTATTATTATTATTTGAATTGATTCATTTTTGTTTTTCATTTTTTCAACAGTGTTCATCACTAAACATTCAATCAAATCATCAACGGATGATCCAAAATCCAATATAATGGATCCGAAATGTTTATATGCACAAAATAATTCTACAACAGCCAACAATAATACTAGTGATACCAATGATTTAATGATATCGACGGCTAACAATAAATTGATAAATGGTGGTGGTGGAGGCCATGCAACCACGGCAACAACAACAACAATGATGACCGGTGGTCTTGTTGCTAATGCATCACGAAAACATCAAAGACGTTTCAATATGCATCGTATATTCGTTAATCGTTCAATGCATTTGGAAAAAATTAAATTTTTTGGTTTCGATATGGATTATACGTTAGCCATTTATAAAAGTCCAGATTTCGAAGCACTTTCATTTGATCTGGTTAAAGAACGATTGATCAAAATGGGTTATCCAGCCGATATTGATGCATTTATTTTTGATCCAACGTTTCCTGTACGTGGTCTTTGGTTCGATACTGAAACTGGTAATCTACTCAAAGTTGATCCATATGGTAATATTTTGGTTGCCGTTTTTGGTTTTCAATTTCTCAAAACGTAAGATTCATGGATTCATTTTGTATGGCAAATCATTTTTTCATCAATCTATGCATGTGTTCATCGATTATCGATTTATTATTGTTATTCTAGATCAGAAATATATGCCATCTACCCGAATAAATTTGTTCAACTGGATGAATCAAGAATTTATGTATTGAATACATTATTCACACAACCAGAAACTTACTTATTAGCCTGTGTCATTGATTTTTTCTCCAATTCACCTGATTATATTAGGTGAGTGAAGCGACAGCGAAGTTTTTCCAAATCAATTTCCTTGATTACTTTCTTACAGAGTCAAAGAAAATCATCATGGTGTTAAAGCTAAAGCCGGTAATTTATTCATGTCATATAAAAGTATTTTCCAGGATGTTCGATCAGCATTCGATTGGGCTCATGTTAAGGTAGATATTTTGTTTTTTTTACACTTTTTTTATTCTTAATTCATATATATTCCGTAATATCTAGGGCTCGTTGAAAGAGAAAACCGTTAATAATATTGAACGATACATACATCAGGATCATCGTCTTCCATTATTGTTGGATCGGATGCATGAAAATGGCAAGAAAATATTTTTACTCACAAATTCTGGTTATAATTACACGGAAAAAGTAATGAATTATCTGTTTCAAGTCCCATCGGCAAAGAATCGGCCATGGAAATCATATTTCGATTTCATTGTGGTTGATGCACGAAAGCCATTATTTTTCGATGAAGGTACTATATTACGACAGGTAGATGTAAATACGGGTGCATTACAAATCGGTACACCAACTGGCCCATTCGAACCGGGACATGTTTATTCGGGTGGCTGTTGTGATGTATTTACCGAATTAATCGGTGCCAAAGGTAAAGATGTTCTTTACATTGGCGATCATATATATGGTGACATTCTTAAATCAAAGAAACGACGTGGTTGGCGCACATTTTTGGTCGTACCAGAATTACAGAAAGAATTGGACATTTGGATGAACAAGCGTCTGTTATTCGAACGTTTAAATGAATTGGACGTAAAATTGGGCGATATGTACGTGAACATGGATTCCAGTTCACGAGATAAACCCGATACAAAGTATGTCCGAAATCAAATTCGTGAAACAATCCATGAATTGGATATGAGCTATGGCATATTGGGCAGTATATTTCGTTGTGGCTCTCGTCAAACACATTTCGCCAATCAACTGTGTCGTTTTGCCGATCTATATTCAAGTACATTTCTCAATCTAATGTACTATCCATTTAGCTACATGTTTCGGGCACCACCAATGTTGGTAAGTTTGATTAATTATTCAGACCAAACAAATAATTTGTCAACCATTTTTGTTTATTGAAAACTTGGGTAACTAATAATACATAATAAACAAGATGGCACATGAATCAACTGTTGAACATGAAAATGATGATAGCCTCAACCTTTGGGATAGTAATTCAATGGATGCCAGTTTTGATGGAACAACTACATTCATCAATTTTAATAATAATAACGAATCATATGCACCACCAATAACGACAACGACAAATATTATCGATCGCAATAAACAATTATTAGAACAAAAATTGGAGAGCAATGAATCCCCAGGTGAAATGAATGGCAATAACAATAATAATAATAATGAGAATCGTTCAGGTTCGCCATCAATGTTTGATCGTTATGATAGACAACGATCAATTGGACAGATTGTGGAAAAAGTACAACTGAAAATATCACATCAGAATTCTGTACCACATTTATTTGCTGAAACACCAAAAGCTGTTACACATCATCATGATACCGACGATGAAGATACGGATCATTCATCCAATTCGGATCAAAATGATGATTTCAAAGATAAATGAAATGAAACAACAAACAGACTACAGACAATATTCCCGTTGATACTATCGTAATATTCTTGACATGCTGACTGAAAACAAATAATTTTTATATAGTTGCTCATTTCCTGTGTTACTAATGCTGGTTGTTGTTTACTCAATCATTTTTTCGTTGTTGTTGTTTTTGCTTATTTTGTCAAATTCTTTTTTTTCAAAAAAGTTGAAATTAATCAATAAATTTATCAATATTTTTTTGCTTTTATGATGGAATTATTCTTTGATTTTTTTTTGTTGATTCGAAATAGAAACAAAAAAACGTTCGATTCTATTTCTACATTCAAATGAATGTTTATGTTATGGTTAACTATTTGGTGATTATCGTTATCGACATCGATTAGGATAATTGATAATGATGTTGGCGACGGCGACCTTGAATTTTATTTTTTTTTCCACAAAAATTTTGATTAATTGTCAAGTTATTAATCAACTGATGATGACTGCTCACTTGTTTGTTGAGCATTTGTTGAGCATGAAATGATGGCCTGTTGTGACTGTTTGAGAAAAATTTTAAATTTTTGTTTCAAATATTCATTGGTATTTGGTGTGATTGCCATTGCCATTATATTTGCACCATCTGCCAATTATCTATTGGATATTGAACCACGACCATTAACCGTATTCTTACCCAATTCATTACGACAATTTGAATCGAAAAAAGTGGAATGGAAATCTTTTGAAAATGCTGCATCGATCGTTGGACCCGATTCAATTGCTTATGATCCGAAAGCTAATCGATTAGTCACCGGTTCTGATGATGGTTACCTCTACAGTATCGATGTTGATGATGATGGAAATTTTAAAAAATTGTTCCAATTAGTTAATGATGAATTAATGGCACGATTTCAATATAAACGCCGTCCACGACCATCTGGTTTACGATTCGATTCTAAAGGACGATTATTCGTTTGTGAACCAATGTTTGGTGTGTTCAAAGTGGAAAATGTATTCACTGACAAGCCAAAAATTGAATTAGTCTTTGATATTGAAAAAACTTCGAAACTTGGCCCTACCAGCGTGTTTTTTGATGATCTAGCCATCAGGAGAAACCATCAGGTGGCCACATAATTTACGTGTCGGATGTTAGTTCCAAATTTTCCTTTCAATATGTAACAGCAGCAATTCTGAGTTCAGATTCAAATGGTCGTGTCCTTCGTTATGATACTGAAACCGGTAAACTAGATATTCTTATGTCAAATCTTTTCTTTCCAAATGGTTTGGAAATGTTACCAGATAATCGTGGATTTTTACTCACCGAAACTGGTAATCGTACCGTTTGGAAATATACATTCGATGATCGAGAAGCACGTGTATTGATGACTGCATTACCGGCCGAACCGGATAATATCCGTCTCAGTTTGGATGGTAAAACATTTTGGATGGCATTATTAAGGCCAAGAACAAGAAATGATCCACTTCTAATCGATCATCTGATGTCATTTCCAATGTTGCGAAAATTATTGGTTCGTTTATTCGATATGATTGGCACGTTATTCGAATTGTTACATCGACTGACGACGATTTCAAAATTACAATGTTTATCTCGACAATTTCGAACAATGGAAATTTTAAACAAAGGAAAAGATGAATTTGCCACTGGTGGAATGTTGATTGAATTCGATTCGAATGGTCAAATTATTCGAACCGTTTATCAAACGGAAGGAATCGAGAATAATCTGGCTTGGGCAACTGAAGTACGCGAAATGCAGAGTAAAAACCTGAATGAACGTTTACTTTATATTGGTTCATTTCGACCAGGTTATCCGATTCGTAAAATTACTTTAGATAAAAAATAGAGAAATGTTTCAAAAAGTTTATTGGTTAATAAAATAAATAAAATGGTCCAAATTCATAATTGGATCAATGTTCAATTATCAATTATCAATTATCAGCATCGATAATTTGATCAATGTTAAAATGTTGGAAAAATTCTTCCAATTGTTCATCACTATTCAATTTCAATTGACAACGATTCATGTATACATGATGTTTACATAGACGCATCAATTTATCATCCAGAAAACATTGTGCTAAATCCAAAAATGATTCCACATTTGTATTGTCAATATGAATTTGGCCGAAATATAAAAGACGAATATATTGAAAGAATATATCATACGATATGGTGGTAATCTTCACTGCATTCTTTCCATTCCATACAGTGGATAACATGCGTTCAAAATATGGAGATACCAATCGTAAATACGAACGTTGGACATGGATGTATTTGCCTGATTTTTCTTCAGGAAATTCAAATCGTAAATCATTCAATTCCAAATCCTGACGATCGAATGTATTGACAATTGATTCAGTCAATATATGATGATAATGATGAATGGTAAATCTTATTGGATTCACAGACCAACCAAATGTAAATGGTGTTTGAGAGAATTCTCGGATAACTGCATCCATAGTTGCACGTGGACCAGCTTTTCGTGTCCATGGTTCATTCGAATCAAATGATCCGTAAATATGAAATTGTGAATATTTCTCATTCAAATGAAGGGTTATATTTGAAGATGGAATTGAAAGCAATTGTCTGGTACCATAATCCATTATCGATTGAATTTTGAGAAATTTATTTTTATCACATATTCCTCCTCTACCATACGTCTTTTGCATGAAATCATAGTATTTTGTTCCCCAACCAAATATTGATCGATCGGATCTAATAGCAAATGTATGACCATCACCAGCCGTAATGGCTGTAAATATGTTTTCATGCAGACTCAGACCCTTTTTCATCAGTACTGGCCTGAAAAATTTCCTTCCGATTAGAGCATCTAGTTGTCCATATTTATTTTGTCCCCATCCATATAATTTACCACCATCGACGATAGCCAATGAATGAAACCAACCACATGCGATGGCTTTAACATTTGTCAAGCCAGTATCAATAAGATTTTCATAATCATAATCTTTCTCCGATGTACATTGGCCATAATAATTCCAACCAATGGCATATAAATGTCCATTATCTTCCAGACAAAGTACATGTGAATGACCACAAGCAATATCTGTGAAACGTTTGGTTTCCGATAATAATCGCAATGTCGTATTCGATGATGATGCCGAGGCTGGTTTTGGCCAATATGAACTATCACCAGCCAAGTAAATTTGGCCATAATTTTCGGTCAATAGGACAACCATATTTGAACCATATACCACTTTTTTAAAAGATTTTCTAGTCAACATTTGGATTTCTTGTGGTTCATCGAATTTATATTTCAATGATAACCAACGACATACAGTTAATCCATATGCATAGGTTTTTTTGTGCATGGTCGTAAAAATGAATCCATCACTTTTAGGTTTTTGGTGAACAAATTGAGTCAATTCAATGAAATGTGTTACTGATCGTAGAAAATGTTGATCAATCCATCGTAATTTATCGTTAAAAAGATTAAGACTGACAACAAATGGCGATTTCTTTGAACTGAAAAGCAAAAAAAGCAAAAAAGAATTTGATTATAAATTGGCAAAAACAAAATATTCAAACCAACTTACACTTGCATTTTGGCATAATATTAATTCAACAGTGACATTAATTAAATTTTTCTCCCAACAATTCAACAGTATGTCACCACTGCTACAAATGACCATCACAAAAAACTGGCCATTGCCATGCCAAATGGCAACCACATGTTGAGCACCATAACTTTACGCACAGTCCTTGTAATATCATATCATATCTATAGATTACTTTTATATAGTGGCTCAAAGCACCACGTTTTCATTGTTGACCAATAATTTCGACTGCTTGGCCGCTGTTTGCTTGTCAGGAAATTTTTGTCTTTTCAATCGTTGTATAGCATTATAGATTTATCATTTGTTTTATTGATTGATATCCATTTTTCTTTAAAATTGTCAAGATTTTTCTTGGTGTATAATCCTGTTGTTGTTGTTAGAGAATTTTCATTTTTAATTTAATGTTGTTTTTGATATTCTAATGTTTCAATTTATCGTTATCATTATCACCATCATCATTATCGCTGGAACGGTTCATGATGATTATTATGAACAACAATGGAAACCGATTATCATCAATTCATGAAATGAATATAATGATGATGTTGTTTAACATAAAATTCACTTTGATTTTTACACTTTCACAGTATATCGAATGAACATGCAGCCTGTAAAGACGACATTTTTGAACGGCATTTCTGTTTTTTTTTTTGATTTCATTTGTTTACACCTGGCAACGTGGTCAAAAATATTTTTTTAATTGTGAATAATCAAATAAACAAAAAAAAATGTCCGATCAAGAATTAAGTCAACTTTTACTTGAAAAATTAAATCTACTACAATCACCAGTGGTGAAGATAAATTCATTGGATTTTGCACAGGAAAATCAATTGGATCATCAAAAAGTTGTTGGTGCCGTTAAATCCTTACAATCATTGGGCGAATTAATCAAGGCTAATCAGGTGGAATCAAAACGTTTTGAATTATCCAATGAAGGTGGTCAAATTGTTGAGAATGGTAGTCACGAATTTCGTGTATGGTCAACAATACCAATGGACGGTTCAATATTACAATCTGATCTAATGAAATCAATACCGGATTCGAACGTTGCGAGATTAGGTTTTGCTAAAGCCATGTCAAACAAATGGATTACGTTGGATAAGTCATCGGGCAAACCAATGGTTAAACGAAATGCTTCAAATGTTAAGGATGAAATTCGTGTTTTACTCAAACTTGTGCAAAGTGGTGCCGCTACCAAGGTATGTTGTAGAAATGAAGAGAATTTTAGAAATTAAAATTTAATTTTCGCTATATTCATCCGAATTCAATAGCTAAATGACGCGCAACGAAATGATCTGAAAAAACGTAAATTAATCCAGGAAATTGTGGAAAAAAGTTATGATGTACATCGTGGTTCAAATTTTCAAACGACCATTGAAAAACCAGAAACAGATTTGAATGCAGAAATGATTGCGAAAGGTACATGGCGAACGAAAACATTCAAGGAATATAATTTCAATGCACTGGGCATTGCACCGGATCGTGGCCATCTACATCCATTACTTAAAGTTCGTGAACAATTTCGCCAGATATTTCTTGAGATGGGTTTCGAAGAAATGGCTACGAATAATTATGTGGAAAGTTCATTCTGGTGTTTCGATACATTGTTTGTACCGCAAAAACATCCAGCGCGTGATCTGCAGGATACATTCTATCTTTCGGATCCAGCCGAATGTAAAGATGTACCATATGACTATATGGAACGAGTTCGTGCCGTACATGAAACCGGTGGTGATTGTGGATCAATCGGTTATCAATATGAATGGAAAGAATCGGAAACGCGGAAAAATGTTCTTCGAACACATACGACTGCCGTATCTGCAAGAATGCTTTATAAAGCTGCTCAACAATATCAAAATTCTGGTTCGAAAAAATTTCGACCGATCAAACTATTCAGTATTGATCGTGTATTTCGTAATGAAACATTGGATGCCACACATTTAGCTGAGTTCAATCAGATCGAAGGTGTTGTTGCCGATCGTAATCTTACACTTGGTCATCTAATGGGTATGACGAAAGCTTTTTTCGAAAAATTAGGCATACACGATATTCGATTCAAACCAACATATAACCCATATACGGAACCCTCAATGGAAATGTATAGCTGGCATTCAGGTCTAGGAAAATGGGTTGAAATAGGTAATTCTGGCTTATTTCGACCTGAAATGCTTAAACCAATGGGATTACCAGAAGATATTAATGTATTGGGCTGGGGATTATCATTGGAACGACCAACAATGATAAAATATGGTATCTCAAATATTCGTGATTTAGTTGGACATAAAATTGATTTACAAATGGTTTATGGAAATCCTGTCTGCATCTTGGAGCCAAGACAACAGCAACAAAACCAGTAGGAGCAACCTTATCATCATGATCTTTAATGGGGGTTTTAACATTGTGATTTAAAGAAAACTAATTGATTAAAATTTATCTTTCTCTTGTCGATGGATTGATTGGTTTGAAAAATTTTAATCAAACCAAAAGAATTGCAATGTATTAGATTGTTTGGGAATGGTAAAACATGTCGATTTGGATACAGACCACTCGGGAGGTAGAGAAAAATTTTTAAAATTTTTTCGAGAAAAAATAATTTGTATCACACACACACACACACACACACACACAATTGAATGGATTGATTGCAATTTTGTGAAATGTGAGTGTTTTATTTTGATTCATAAATTTTATGATAAAATTTGTGTGGTAAAACCATCTCATATCTCATATATAAATCCAAGAAAAAAACATTAAGATAGATAAGAAAGTAGAGAGGAGAAAACGGGTGATTGATATGCACTCATTATTATTTGGTCGCTGGTTGTTGTTTATGATTTATGTGTGTGGTGTGTATGATGTCTGATGACAAAAAATTTTCTTGTTGTTGTTGGTGGTTATTTTATTGTTTTATTTTGTTTTCATCGTGTGGATGTCATGACGCTCTCTCTCTCTCTCTTTTTTTTTCTACAATGTGATTGAGAATGACATTTACCTTAGAAAAGAATTCCTTTAAAACAAATGGATCGTTGTCGTCGTTGTCTGTGTTTTTGTTTATCTAAAAATCGATTATTATTATCGGAATCCATGGATGCAAAATGTATCAATCTGACAATTATGGTCGTATATATAAAACACAAAGAAAGACAAAGAAATTTTCATTTAATTGTTTTTTCCACAGAATCGACTTGTTTTGATATTCTTGAAATGAATTGATTTTGTCAGTGTGTGTGTGTGTGGTTTGTTTGTTTTCTTTGTAAAAATTCATTGTTTATTCCAATACTAATAATGATGATGAATCAATCATCCACAACCACATCATCATCGCCGACAACATCTGCTATTATGATGATGATGATTGTTGAAACAGCCCAACAACAACAACAACAACAGGCAACATCGACAACAACTTCTTCTTCCGGTTGTTCTGGTTTACCAATTTCCTTAATACCATTTGATTGTAATGGAAATATTCCACCGTTTCATCTATATGAATGTAAGTGTCTCATTTCTCATTAAATGTCAAATGGTTACAAGTTCATGGCCCGTGTTATACCGGATCAGACATTTCTTGAACATGTGGAAAAAAGCAAACCAGACAGGCTAATGAGTGAAAACCATAAAATAAAAAATTGAAACAATGCATCATTATTTATCAAACGAAAAGGAAACAAAAGAAAAAATTATATTACCTGTGGTGACGTTATTATTATAATGACACCCACATACACAAGTCATTATCAATACGAGTATCATTCATTCATGCGTTTATATCGTGACTTTTTTACACTTAACCATCGTGATTAGAGAAAGAGAAAGCGTTTTCTACTCAATTCAAGTAGTTCACATATTACGATTATACATCTATTTGGATTGATAATGATTTTGAATTAATCAAAATCATAAACCAAGTGATTTGATGAAAGGATGACAATGATGACAGCATCTACTTCCGGACCCATACACACACACACACACTCATATGGATCCAATAAATGAGGTTGTAAAAAAATTTTCCATTTTTGTCTAATTTTCAGCCAAGTCATCCATGATTATAATAGATGTCGGGTGCAGATTTCAATTTAATTCAATTTCGAAATTCATTGTTTCATTTTTTCTTTTTTTTTCTGATGATTTCGAAGAACAAATCATGTAACTAAAAATAGATTAGATAGATAAAATGTACTGAATTATGTATCTATTAATGGTTGTTGTCAGGTTGTGTTCGATTTGATGATCAATCAGATTATCAACTTCCGGTGTTTGTTTTCGCGTTGTCGTTGGTTTCGAATTTCTAATGTTTTTCACTCTTTACGTTTGTGAGTGATATATAAACGTCATATGATTAGATTCAATGGCATTTCGTGAAAGAAAGTTTTGTTGTTTTGTTTTCGGTTAATATCCAATTATTATCGAGTAATAAGATAATTTGGGATTTGTAAACGTTCGTTCGGTTGGATGATTGGTTGGTTGTTTTTGTCAAATCAACAGTATATGATTCTTCTTAGAACCTATATATTGCGATTGCTCAAGTTGATTTTTGACATTGAAGAATGGGGAATTAAAAATGATTGTTTGTTGTTGTTGTTGTTTTTGATACATTGTTATTACCGATGGATGAAATAGACAGTCTTGGTGAATATTTCGTTATTTTTCAATCCTCATCGTCATCTATTTTGAATTATAATAATAAACAAATTGCCAAGAAAATCAAAACAAAATACTATATGTACCTGTGTAGTAGTAGCAACATAGATTGAATTTCCGACGATTCTTACGTGATTAACATGATAATTTGAATTAATCATTTGATGACGAGGACTAGAATATTCTTAGTTTCTATTGCCAAGAATCGAAAATCAAAAACAACAACAAATGATGATGACGACGACTGATGATGACATTCTTTCATTTTGGTGCAAGTACTGTTGCGTTGCGATTTATTTGTTTTTTTTCTGTGAAAATATAAAAAAACAGCTACATGGTAATCAGGATTTTCGAGGTCAACCAATCATCATCAATCTGATTTTAGTTTTTTGTCGGTTATTGATCAATAAATCATTAATTTTGTCATTGTTGTTGTTTTTCATCATTTGAGTGCACATTCCATAACCACAGTGTTTTTTGGTGGTGGATATCCTTGGATCGATCGAATGATTGATTGATCACTTATAAAGTAAGTGATAACACAAACGATTAGAGAGAAAAAGCGTTTGTTACATTCGAAATGATGTTGATAATCTTATAAATAACATAGCAAACATTCTTGTCAAGTGAATGTCAATCCACTTTGATCAATCAATCAATAAATTGTTGATCAATTTTTTTGGGGCGTCCTTCCAACTGAATAGCTATTCAATAACATTCGATTCTATTTCCACACACACACACACAAAAGATTGATTGCCCATGTGAGTCATTATAGATGATTAACATGATCATAACAATTTCCGATCATCGAACAAAACAACAAAAACATCGATACATGAAATGAATGGAGAAAAAATTGCAAATCATGATTGCATCGATTGATTAGCTTCTTCTTTATAAGTGTCTTGTTGTTATCTTTTCACTGATTACAAACAACGAAAATGTCTAACAAATCAAACCAAAAATGATATGATGATATTACCGATCATTCACAGAATGAAAGAGCAATATATCGTGTCTGAGAACTTTGTTCTTTGCTTTCTTTTTTTTCTGTTTTTCCTTTCATCACAATCATCACATGATGAAATTGAATAATCTAGAAATGAAGAAAGGAAAGACAATATGTAACCTCGTTTTTGTTCAGATGCTACAATATCATACAATCGATTGTCTTGTTTAACATTGATGATAATTTTTCTTTTTTTGTAAATTGATTGTAAATGAGATTTGATCATTAGCAAAAAATATACAATAGATCGGGTTGAATAGAAAGAGCCTGATCATTCCGAGATGTTTGAGAATTATCGGAATCGATTGGAATATCACCATGATCTCATGGATATGGATACCATATGGATACCAGATAGATATCAATCGAATCGAATATCAAAGAGGGTGTTTGGTTTGGTTTGTAGAAAAATTGATTTCAATCATATTTATCGTCGTCGTAGTGGTAGTGGTATCCCGAATTACAATTGTAATCTGGTTAATATCATAAACACATCCTTGGTTGGTCGGTTGGGTAATTTTCAAATTATCATCATCATCATCAACATCATTATCATTGTTGTTATTTAATGATCAAAACAACATCACACACGCACACAGACACATTCGAATGTATTTTTCTGGTTAGTCATTGTGTATGATGTTGTTTGGTGCTTGGTTTTCAGGGGTATATATCAGGATTCATCATTATCAGATATCATTCGATTCGTGTACATTGGTTTGATGAACAACAAAAAACTGTTGTTTGTTTGTTTATTTGTGTTTATCTTGGAAAAAGTTCAAAGTTTTGTTTGATGGCCAACTGTATAAAAAAAGCCAGACTATCAAATATATTTTTCATTTTGATTTCCATTGTTGATCACTGAAAAGGATGGTATAATTTATTTACATCAACATCAAAATGTGTATGTTGTGGTGGTTGTTGTTGTTGTCACATGTCCACAAACTTATATACGACGACCACATATTTGTGATGTAAATTTAGTGATAAAAAATTTTGATTGTTTTTTCATCAAATTTTCTCTGGATATTCTTCATTGAACATATATTCATATGTCATATATTATTACTATTACTATAACCAATTCATTCGAATCATACGAATGTTTCAAATTGAATTGTGAATAAACCGTGATAAAAAGTGAGTAACAGTTTCTCATTTTGATTTTGCGCAACTATTCATGTTGTTGTGGTTTGAAATCATCATCATATTCATCATATTCACCATATTCATTCATTATGTTTCAATGTATCAATGTATGATTGCAGTCGAGAATGGAAATTGATTCCAAATGATTCAATTCAATCATCATCATTCGGGTTTCTGAATTTTTTTTTTGTATTCAAGGTCAATTCTATATATCTGATATAACCATCATCCGGAATCAATCGTTCATTGTCAATGATAAGATTGTGACTGTTTTGTTGTAAATGTCAAACTCATCATCATCAGCATCAATCGTAATCTAATGCATAGACACACGCACACATATAAACATGAACATGAACATCATATCGTGCTATTTTTATGTTTTGCCATCATCCTATAGTGAAGAATAGATTAATTTAATCCATTCATTCATTGTTTACCTATGTCTGTGCATGTAGGAGTAGATTGAAACATTGACATATTGTGAATGACGTTTTTTCTGGTTAAATTTATTTATAGAGAGAAATAAAAATAATTCACACAGTCTTCATCCAATCAATCTATCGATTAAGATGATGATGATGATGATATTCCGGTGTTGGTTCATTCAAGAGAATTTTGGTCATTTTTTTTAATGATTTTTCTGATTCTCTTGGATTAACCTGAATAGATCATTCAATCAATCAACCAATCAATCAATCAATCCTATCTATAAATGTATTTCCTGTACATTTTCATTCTGTAACACTGTTTTTTCTTTCTCTTTCTTGTTCACTCCTGGTACTAAATTTAGAATCAGAATGACGGTTATAACCCGAATATCCATTGTATGACTGGTATACATCGTCGGGTTAACCGGGTTTTTCAGTACATTCTTTTGAATGAGTGACAGAGAGAGAGAGAGAGAGAACATCAAAACAAGTCAAAAATGATTTTGATCATCCGATTATCATCGTCGTCTGTCAGTTTTCTCTAAGTCAGTCAGTCTGTCTGTCTGTCTATATAGTTTGATTTCACATAAATCATGTATATCACATATATCACTAATCTACATTGATGATTATAATCTATATAGATCTTATGTCTCTTCCAGACATGAATGTGGAAAAATGAATGAATGGAAAATTGGCCAAATTTTACTTTATTTTATTTTATCTTTTATGTTTGAATCGAATAGGCAATTCCGGAAAAGAGAATGAATGAATTATGTGTGAGAATCATTCATAATAAACACATCACAGAATCAGATAAAGATTCTTGCTATTTAGGAATTGTGCGTTGTGTTGTATTAGATAAATTATATAAAAATCTAAAAGAATTTTCTCCGCTTAAATGACGCTAACGGTTTTGTTGTTCGGGGGTGGTTGTCGAATCGAACAACAAAACCACAGCAGCCCGACCGGATTTTTTTTGTCTGAACTACAACTACACCGATGAATGACGAGGGAATTTTTTTTTTTTGACTGCATTAAATGAAGCAAGCGCATTCCCCAAAAAGTATTGGTTTTTTTCATGTTGATGGTGCATAACGAGATTGGTTCGGTTATCATGATTATATCATTATAATTGTAAAGAAATAAAGAAAAATTACCGGATTCATACGGTTATTATGTCAAATAAATAAACGGTCGTAAAAATAACAACGGGTATCATGACTGTTGATGTGAATTTTATTGTGTCACCATCATCGTGAAACAAACATATTTTTCGCCTCTCCTCCACATAATAAAACGGGTGCGGTATTTGTCACACGAAACACATCCCCCTTTTGTCGTAAATCCCAGAAAAAAAATTGTTTCTGGATCAAATTGAAACACGTCATTTATGATCGACCACTACAACCGTTCGAATTTCGTTTCGTTTCTCATTCGCATGCTTCATATATGATCATGGTACATGTATACAATGTACAACCCTACATACTACTACCCTTGTACTTTTCTACTCAGAAAAGTTTATCGAACGTTACTTTAATCTTTGCTGCTACTACTTTTATTCACCAATGTATGTGGCATGTACGGGTACTACTACTACCATTAATACTACTACACTATTTTACGTATTTTATGTGATTTCTGAATAAAACTTTTTTTTTTTACTTCTATCTTGATGCGTGTATGTATGTGTGTATGGTTGTCTGCAATCTGCAATTCGGTAAATTGGTTTCATCATTCAATTCTTATCTGGATTTTTTGTTTTGTTTTGTTTCAGGTAATTGTTTGTTTGATGTTATTATAAGAAATGACAAACCAACAGTGATAAGGATCAAAAAATTATTATGATTTTTGTCATTTTGTCGACTAATCTCGAATCTCGAAAATCTTAATCTTGTGCTTGACAACGAATAATAGTGAACTAGAAAACAAAAAGGTTTAGGAAATTTTTCGAATTTAATTTTTCTGGTTTCGTTGGTCATAGTGAGAAAAAACATTCGTTTCATATATCCAGTGGTTAGTGGTTATTTGTGTGTGTGTTTGTCTTGTGATTGCAGTTGAAATTCGAAATCAAAATTGTCATATTTTGGGTGTGTGTCTCGATTCAATTCGATCTACAATCATCACCATCTGATAATTGAAATTAATCGACGTTGTTGACGTGATATCGTCACCATCAGCACCACCACCCGAAAACCGATTGATTGATTGAAATCATCTGGAAATCGAATCTTGGGGTTCGAATTTGAATATATCAACGGGCGTCGTTCGAAAAAAGCACAAAATTCATGAATGATCCCCCATATCATATCATATGATAACGAATGCAAGAATTGGAAATTGTCATTCTGATTGTCCAAACTGATCTGAATTTGTTTTTGTGTTTAGTCATTGCACCATTTTGGAATTATTGATTCCGAGCCGCGAATTGAACACCAAGAAAGTTTTTTATTTTTCAACCATTTTTCAACGCCTGTGTCATGTCTGTCAAATTGTTGTCATCAATGTTTACGGAAATAAGCAATCATGATGAATATCGACGGCAACAATTTTCATCTATTAAATATTATTGAACAGCAAAACGAATTTATCATCCTCATCCTCATCATTTTATTAAATCCATCAATATTGAATCGATTATTATTGATTAAATGTCCAAATCATAATAGACAGGCTTTGTTTTCCATCACAAAACATCATCATCGTCGGCATCATCATACAATATTGAATCGAACGGGAAAATTGAAAAATTTTCTTCAATGGAAATTTTGGAACATCGACAACAACAGCAAAAACAAAACTAATTTCCAGTGTGATAATTATTTTATCAATGTGATTTTTTAATTTTTTAATTTTCAAATTTATTTTACCAAATAATTATCGTCCACATTTTCAACCGTTTGTGTGAGTGTTTTTTGTTCGGTTGAATTTCAAATTACGGTTAGTCGGTTTTGTTGTTTGTTTTTTCTTTTCAAATTTTTTCATTATCTATACTGTATTGTAGTTTTGATCATTCCCCCCATCACCACCACAATCACCACAATCTGGAGTTATTTGCTTGATATAATCTCTTTTTGTTATTTTTTGCTATGGTTTTTTCTGGTTGGCATGATGATGATGATGACGATGACGGATCAATGGGGGTGGGAATGAATGAATTTTCTGCCACACAATTCAATCTCATTGATATATCTGTGTGTGTAATCTAGATGAATTTTGTCATATTTTTTTCCGACTCATCTAAATATCTGTCTATACTTTGACTGTCGTTTTTTGTTGAATCTATTTTTGGCTTTTCAATTATATTAAATGTGAATACAAGCAATTTACTTTTAGTGATTATTGTGGTTTTAGCAATGATGGCAATAGTAATAATTGATTCATTTCGGAATAAATGCAATTCTTATGTAATAATAATGATATATATCAAGGGACATTTGCTGTTTTACCAACTAGTCGCAAGATTTGTTGATGCGCCCTTGATTTTCTCTCGTTTGATTTATTCGAAAAATGTATTTTATTTCCGGTTTTGGCCACCATGTGGCGTAATATTTTATTATTTTTTTATTTGTTTTGAATTTTTTTTTTTTTTATGTTTTTCTAACTTGGTCATATTTTTGTGGTTAGTAACAATGATTAGCTTAATATATATATGACATTGTCCCTTGGGTTTTTTTTGGTGGTTTATGTTTTTTTTTCATTTCGTACATATGAGAGGTGTTTGTGTGTGTAGGTGGTGGCTACATCATATCGCATTTTATTATTCCGAATCGAAGAATTTTGTTAGAAAAAAATTGATTCCTTGGAATCTTAGATATATATAAATAAAGAATTGTGAATGAAATGAATAAAGTGGAAACGGATATTTTTTTAAAAATAAGGTTTTTCTCACCCGAATGTTCTAATAATAATCATTTCTATTTCTATTTTTCTTTTTTTTCTCTTTTTTTTATTTATAAATTTTTGGAAACTCGCCGAACTACAACGAAACTACAAACGGAAAAAAAATTCCATCCATTTCAACATTGGACATTGGAAACTTTTCCTGGTAACTATATATCTCTGTATTGTTTGTTGGTTTCGTGTTTTTCTTTTTTTTTTGGGCCAAATTAATTTTAATTAATTTTTTTCATTTTGTCAATTACGTCATGAAATCTTGGAATTTTTTCAATTTAATTTCCGCTTGTTTGTTATGTGGAAATTTTCTTTTTTTCTCAATTCGCTGGCTTTATTAAATAATTTATATGTGTTAGTGAGTGGTTATTATCAATTTGTCATTGAAGGTGTAGGAGGTAGTTCTTCTGCTGGTGGTGGTAGTAATCATCAAACTCAAACTCCACATTCATCACCATCATCGTCTATTTTAGATAATAACGGTAATAACAGTAGTGCTGGTGGGCATCATCAAACATCGACCTTTTTGACCTATCAACAACAAAAACAACAGCAACAGCGACGACAACTACAGCAACAACATTCTGGTAGTAAGTATATAACACCAACGCATCATCATCATAAACAACGGTCATCATATCAGCAAAAAAGTGGAAAAGAAGATCAAGATCAAGATAAACAACTACAAGAAGATGATGATGAAGAATTGTTACTATCCGGAAGTAGTGATAATAGTACAAGTCATCCATTGATACCAATACAAAAAAGACGACGACGTTATCAACAACAACAACAACAACAGCGAACAGCAACAAAGACTGTTAATGAACCGCACCGACAGAATCGACGGCAAACATCGCAAACTGAAGATGAATCTAATGATTATGACTATGACGATGATGATTATTATGATGATGGTTTATTAACAACAAGTCAAGAACAATATTCAGCAACCAATTTGGATAGTAGTTTTCAACTTGGTGGTGATTATTATAATTTAAATGATCAAGAGCAACAGAATTTATATTTGAATCAAGAATCTTCATCACATCGAACCAACTATCATACGATACATAATCCAGGTTTAATCTATGGAAGTCGGTCAACATTATTGAATGCTGATTCTGATTTGTGGCGTTCGAATAATCAAAATTTAAATGAAACAACATTCATTGAAGAATCTAATGATAATGACCATGACAACGATGATGACGATGATGATGTTGATGTAAATTTATCGAATGTTAACTATCATCATACGATACATTCATCGGACGGACATCAATATCTAGAACAACAAGAACATATACCACAATTTAATCCACGTAGACGTCAATCAGCAACACGTTTATTAACCGAAACATTGATTCGTAATCATCGCGATCGTTTAAATTCAATTAGTTCAAATTCATCATTAATATTGAATGATTCACCACCATCATCACCATCTCCATCGCCATCATCGACATTGTCAAAATATCAACGAAGACGATCAGCCAGTATTGGCTATGTCGAAACAAATCTATTGCCATTTGTATCGAATCTAAATCGTTTACGTGAACAATTTATTCGTGAACACAATCAACAACAACAGCAACGATCCACACAACCAACAAATCAAACTTGTGATCATCATCAGCAAACATTGTTGATTCGACGGTCATCACCACCACAAATTCATCATAAACCTAGGCAATCATTGGTTAATAACTGTTCCTGTGTCAATCATTCAGATGAAAATATAAACGATCGATATCAACAACAACAACAACAGCAATCATCATCATCGATACCACGTGTACGATCATTTCAAAACAAACACCAATTGGATTTTAATAATAATCAATTTCACTATCAACATCAACAACAACCACCACCATTGATACGATCAACAACTGATCCACAAGAATTGCTGTCATTGATTCAACAAAAACAACAAACAAATCCTTCGATCAATAGTGGACATCATCATCATCATCATCATCCCATAATACCATCGATTATAAAATCCGATTATTGTGAAGCACAACGAAATACAAATCAAATACTATCATCACAACCGAAACGGATATCATCATCACCGACTTTACCATTATTGGTAAGAAACAATCGACGTACAAAATCACCATCAAATCGTTCACCATCATTAAGTCGATCACCATCAAAATCACCACCATTTGATTCATTTAGTGGTGGTGGTGGTGGTGATCTTCATCATCATCATTATCAACAATCACAACATTTTGGTCATTATCAGCAACAATATCAACAATATTTGACATTACCAACGAATTATCCATATAGTGGCCACCAAAATCATCATTATCACCAGCAGCAGCAACATTGTCCTTCGAGTCATTGTCATCATCGATTATTAAATTGTGAGAAAGATATCTTCAACAACAATCGATATATGATGGCAAACAATGATGATGATGATTATTCCATGATGGATGTTTCTGGAGATAATAGTGGTAGTGGTGAAGATATCAATGATCATAACCATGAAAATATTGAATCTTTTATTAGTCACCATCATCATCAAGAATCGAATCAAATGATAATTCCAATAATCGATAATGATTGTCGTAGTAGTGGTGGTGATGGCGGTACTTGTGGTGGTTGTAATCATCGCCATCCTCATGATCAGGATCAAGGAGCCATTAATAAATATCAACGACGCCAACCAATTAACACTGGTAATACTATGAATACCACTACTACTACAACAACAACAACAACTAGATGTATTACAAATGATGATAATGGTATTAGTAGAAGTAGTAGTAATAGTAATAGTAATAGTGGTTGGTGGTGGTAATAATCAATGTGAATATTGTATGGATGCTAGTATAATCGGCAACAATAATGATGATGATGGTGATGGTGATGGTAGTAATGTTCGAAATAATAAATGTACTAATCATCATTTGGTTATGAACAACGATCATGTTAGTAATAATGATGATGATGTTGATGATCAACAGCAACAATCAGCCATTATAAATTGTATTGAAACGAATCGAAATAAAAATCCATCGTCATTTGATGATCATCATCATAATCATAATCATAATATTAGCCATCAACATCAACGACAAAAAATTATTAAGAATGATTCAACTAAAGAAGACGAAGAAAACGATAGATTTATTAAACAACAGAATTGTGATTGTGTTGTTTGTGTTGATCAACAACAACAAAATATATCAAACAAAATCAACAGTTTTAGGAACGAAAAATTTATTAATCAACAATCATCATCATCATCATTAATGGCATCATCAGCAATGGTGGTTGTTGATACCCAGCAACCTTCTTCTTCTTCATCATCAACATTGACCAGTGGTCATAATAATAATAATAATAATAATTGTCAAAGACATTATCATTCTCATTCTAATCATAATTGTCACCATTATCATCATAATAATGAGCAATCAACAAGTCGAACATTGACAAATATACATCACCAACAACAACAGGCATCAAATGCTGCTATATCGACAACTACAATGAAGATGATGATGGATGACGACGAATCATCATCAATGATCAATAAACAACAGCAACAACAATGTTCACCATCATCATCATCATGTTGTTCATGTTCAACAAAATCTGTGATAAATTCAAATTCAAATTCAAATTCAAATATTACTACTACAAATAATAGTAATAATCATGTTCAACAGCAACAACAACAACAACAACAACGAAAATCAAATTGTTCGTGTTGTCAAACGATGAATGCTCAACAACAACAACCATTATCATCATCAATGATTGGTGTTGATGAAACAAGATCAATAACATCGACGACAGCGATGATGATGGATAAAAATTGTCATAATAATAATGTGAAGAATATGTATTGTGATCAACATTGTTATGAATGTCAAATGAAAGATAACAATATCATTGGCAATGATAATGATAGTAGTGAAGATCAAGGGATTGTATTCGAAGCAAACAGTTGCCGTAATGATGATAATGGCAAAGAAGATGTAAAACTTCGCCATCGACCTGGTCGTCGTCATCACCATCATCATCATCATCGACATCATGATAATGATGGTGGTCATTCTAAATTGTCTTCCACAGAATCTGCATCATCATCATCGTCATCATCAGCTGGTTCATCATTAGAGTCATTACCATCATCTTGTCGTCAAAAAGAACAGCAAGACAACAACAACAACAAACAACGACAAGAATCATCATCTTCAAAATGTGATGTTAATTCTCATACAAGTGATAATAAATCTGATTCAACATTATCGAATGTTCAAGAATCGAATAAATCAAATATTATAGTGAATAAATCAACAACAGAACAACAACAACAACCGAATTCATCGAAAACAGCAAAAACAGTTTGTAGTGAAGATGTTTTGGATCAATCATCGGATGGTCGATATTTGAAATTAGAAGAGATTGGTCGTGGTTCATTTAAAACTGTCTATAAAGGATTAGATTCAGCTAGCGGTGTTGCTGTTGCATGGTGTGAACTTCAGGTTAGTAGTTTATTTCATTTTCAAAAGACAGACACTATATATTGCAGTTACAGTAGGTATCCATTTACATTACATAAATTTATTATTTATTATTTATTATGATTATGATGTGTAATTGGACTTTATCACACACCCACACCCATTACTTTTTGAGAATGTGAGATTGCTATCATAAAAAATGGAATGAAATGTATCAATTGTGTCTGTGACAATTCATCCACCCACGCACATGTGATGCATGCATATGAGATATGAGTTGAGTGCAAATCAATCAAAATTTTTCATTTCTTGTGACTTTTGTTACTTTCTTCTTATAATAATTTTTTTTTTTTTGTTATGTTATCTATTTAGTTGGTTTTATTGGCGATGATGATGATGATGATGATGCTAACATCCGTGCATGCCACAAGGTTGATTTCACATCGCATTCTTTGTTGATAATGATTGTTTTTATACGTAATTATCATCAAATATTGAGACATAAGTGTAAACAAATGTGTTATTGGTTGTCAGTATCGGTGAGTGATCGGGAAACCAACCAGACAAATAAAATGATTGAGAAATGAAAGCGAATGATTTTTTTTTACTAAACTGGATATATCCTGTGTATGTTAGTTTTCATCATCATCATCATTATTATTATTATTAGCCATGTAATCAGGATTTCCAGTGAAATTTTTTTTCAATTACAAAAATATTTATAAATTATAAATATAGTCATGTTTTTTCTCTGATCATAACCTATGATTTTTTTTTCTTGGTTGATATCGATATTTGATATGATGATTTGTTGATTTGTTGTTCATACATTGAAATGAAACATTTTTTCGTTGTTTAAAAATTTTCTATTTCTGGTTTAACAAAAAACTTTGAGTTTCCTGGTTTGTTTTGGTTGTTGATGAATGTGGTGATTTCTGTACCGAAATGACCTTCAACTTTTTGTTTTTTTTTTTTTTTTTTTATTTCGGTGTGTTTATTTCGTTTCCATGTGATGGATGAATTTTTTTCTCGCTACAAGCTTTAAAAAATATCGCAAATGTTTATGACCTTTAAGCTCTTTTTTCGTTTGTTTGTCTATTTGTATCCATGGATAGGTTGAATGAAATTATGGAGAGTATGTATTTATTTGGTTTTTTTGCTCTCATTCTCCCATTGATGATGATGACGACGAATTCAATTCTCGGCCCTATGTGGAAGCATATAAAAAAGGAAAATTTTCGTTTCTTTTGTATATTTACAAGTTTAATAATAATGGCCATTTCATATGTGCGTGTGTGTATGTTGTTCTTAGATGTAAACAATGTTATTCATTTCAATTCGATTCAATCCGATTGATTGATTGACTTGTACTAGCATTTGCACTTGAATGAATTGATCGGTAATTTCCTTTTGTATAGATAGGCTGTTGATCTTTTTCTTTTTTGACTGTTTCTGTTTCTGTTTATCAGATAATCAAACTGAACTTTTTTTTTGGTTAATAAGAATAAACAAAATATATAATATATATCGAAACCCATATGATGATTTCTTTTTTGCTAAATTTAGTTTTTAACAAAATCAAAATGATGATCGATAGATCGATATTTGTAGACCACAAGATTACTAATGAAAATTGCAATATAGAAAACTATCGATGATGATGATGATTACGATGTTTCATCCTCATTTCTAATTTAATCTGTCGATAATAACTTTTACCATCATTCCTCGATGGTGGTAGTGAGGATATTTCACTTTTTTTTATTCATCATCATCATCATCATTTCATTATTATGATTATAACCTGAAGAAACCAGGATTTTTCAATAGTGTCATATAGAAATGACAATTATGTCATCATTTTTTCCCGAAAGATTTGTCACCCATTACCATCAGCACCACCACGTCACACAAATGATGATGGAGAGAAGAAATTTACGATGTCACACATTATTGATGTGTGCTTATGTATCATTTTTTGTTCGATGGTTATGAATTTCGCTTTTGTGATTGCACAGAATATTGCATTTGTGAGATTGCCCTATTTGGTTTATTTCCAACAAACAGATTTATTTTGACACTTTTTCGGATGATAACTTTGTTTTATTTTTTTTTTTTTCATTTTTCTGTGTCTGGAGTTTTTGCTTGTTCTAGTTGGAAAAGATTTTTCTGCCCCAGCGCGTTAATTGAGCACATCATTTCACAGTGGTGATGTTGGATTCAAATCGGTGAATTCTGAATTTATGAAAAAATTTTCAATCAATTTTTGCCCATTTTTTATTATTAGATATAATGTTGCATCAGACTTTTCGTCGTCATTATCGTTGTTGTTTATTTTTATTTTTAGTATTTATTTGATGTGTGTAAGAAAATATATATAGTTTTCAACATTGGATTTAGATTATAACAACGAGACAATAATGGATAACAACAACAACAACTATTGATGATGATGAATTTCTTTCTGCTGCAAAACAGAGAGCAAAAAAATTTTGTTTTTTCGATTCAAGGACATTGTTGTTTTAAATTTAACACCAACATCATATACAATTGGCATTCTCTAGTGATCCTCATGATGATGATGATGATGCCTATAATTTTTCCATCATTCCACATCAAACATCATAATATTCGTCACACTCTGTATTTTTTGGGATATCATAATACAATTTTTGGTTGTCGTCGTAGTTATTTGCACTTGATCAACTCTTTATCTCTCTTTCTGTTTCTTTTGAATCTATTAAATTTTTTCAGCATTTAAATTTTTCAGTTTTTTTTATCGTGAATTTGAACAAACAAGAAAATAATGTTTCGTTTGAAAATCGATTGTGGTTTTTTTTCTATCACTAATTAATCAATAAAAGTAAATAACTTGTGCTGTGTTTGAATGGTGGTAGTTGTTGTAGACAATCTAAAAAACCTTGAATATCAATTTTAAATGTTAGATGTACGTACTTGATTATAACTGTAACTTAATATATATAATAATAATATACAGAAATGATGACAATTTGTTTTCGTTATTTTTTCCTGCTTTTTGTGCAAATATTTTGTGTGAGGAAATGGGAAAAATTGTCATTTAGTTAATAATAAATTGGCCATAATAAATGATGGAATTGACTATGAATATGAATGAATGAATGAGTGAATGAATGAATTTTTCACTTTCAAATGAAAAAGATCATATGACGGATTAACATATCATATGTCATAGCATGTGATTTTTTTTCTTGTTGTTTGATAATGGAATTCTTTCGTCTTTTTTGTGTTTATCTATTGTTGATTTTCGTATTATAATTTTAAATTCTTTTTGTCTCAATAATCCATCAAAATGTTGGAATTTTTGTCTTAATCTTGATTGTTTTTCTTTTTTTTTGGGAAAAAAAGCAGGAACGATTGAATAAAAATGAACGACAACGTTTTCGTGAAGAAGTTGAAATGCTCAAAGGTCTACAGCATTCAAATATTGTACGTTTTTATGATTATTGGGAAGTCAATACACCGAAACGTAAATACCTCGTACTCATTACTGAATTAATGACATCGGGGACGCTAAAAACGTAAGTAAAATTTGATTTTTTTGTTTTTGCATTGAATGATATTCTGTTTCTGATTGAAGAATCCGGTATGATTTCGATAATCTCATTTCAATTTTCCCTCATTGACTAATTACCGAAAATATCTGTCTGAGCACTCACACAACTTTTCGGTTGATTAATTATAATAACGGTACCCCATGCGGCATTCATACAGATGTATTTTTTCGGTTTTTTTTGATTATGAAATCCCTTTCGGTGTGCTTTTACCCCATTTTTTCTTTTTATTTATTTTCATTCATCCATCAATCAAATTTTCAGGTTATGAGGTCGACAAGCTCAATCGATTTGTATGAATGAATGAATGTCGAAATTCAAATGGGTTATAAATATGAGATGATCATGATGATGATATTATGTGTCAAGACAACAACAACAACAACAACAGCAGCAATAGAAAGCCAGACTACACAACTCTCAACAGGGTAGTGTGTGTGTGTGTTTATTATATATTCCATACAGGTCAATGAAAATGGTCATTGGCCTTCCCTTTCCAACAACAATCATTTGTTGTCAAGGGTTTTGTAAATATTTATCCGGGACCTGAAACAGAAAAACCGGTCTCCCTATCAATGGCCAATGACCAATTTATTATATGGATTGATGGAATTATGAATGACGATGGTTGAAGTGTGTGATGATTTAACCCTTTTTTCTCTCTTTAGATGTTTTTAGATTTTGTAGTGGGCGTTGGCGTTTTGTTGCAAGTCTGGCGTCTATATCATAATTTGTGTTGAGATGTCTTTTTGTTGTTGTTGTTGCTGTTGTTGTCTGTTTGTTTGTATGTATGCATGTGTCTGTCAATCAAATGAAGAAAAAAATTTCCATTCGAAACATTTTGTTTTCTTTTTTCAGTAATAGGCTGTTGTTTTGCCCTATAGTTATAGACAAGTCAGTTAGTTAGTCAATTCATTGTGAACTTGTTCTTTTTTCACTCTGATTTTTGATTATGAAAAAAACTCCATTTCAGACATGCAGAAAACAAAACACATAGTTATTTAATTGTAATGATTTTTTCCTCATTCTGGCTGTAGTCTGCTTCCTTGATTTGTTTTTTTCTGGTTAAATTCCCGTTTTTTTCGGATGATGATTAAGGATGAATAAATTTTTTTCAAGATGATGATTGTGTGTGTGTGTGATGCATAGTGGTGGGGGAGGAAGAAAAAAATAGACTAACGAATAACCGTTGTTTGGAATTGTTTGAAACACAGACATAGACAATTGAAATGCTGATTATGATTATGAGAATGATGATCTTCATACCGGAACGATTTTATTTTCTTTATTCGGTCATCAACCTCATTGTCTGTTTGTTTAATAAATTAACTAATGACAATCACCATTTTATAATTCAGTTATCTACGACGTTTCAAGAAAATAAATCTTAAAGTATTGAAATCATGGTGTCGACAAATATTGAAAGGATTGAATTTCCTTCATTCGCGAACACCACCTATAATACATCGTGATCTTAAATGTGACAATATTTTCATTACCGGTACAACTGGTTCAGTCAAAATTGGTGATCTTGGTTTGGCTACATTGAAAAATCGTTCGTTTGCTAAATCGGTAATTGGTACGCCGGAATTTATGGCCCCTGAAATGTATGATGAACATTATGATGAAAGTGTCGATGTCTATGCATTCGGTATGTGCATGTTGGAAATGGCAACCGGTGAATATCCATATTCAGAATGTTCAAGTGCAGCACAAATCTATCGTAAAGTATCATCTGGTGTGCCACCAAATTCATTGGCGAAAGTTGAACAATCCGAAGTTCGGCAAATAATTGAAATGTGTATCAAATTGAAAAAAGAAGATCGTCCCACTGTTAAGGAATTGTTGCAGCATGATTTCTTTCAAGAAGATACTGGATTCAAGGTGGAATTCGTTAACCGTGAAGAAGCAGTCGCTAGTTATGAAACACAAGTTGAACTACGAATATTCATCACTGATGCTAAAAAGCGTAAAGATAAATATAAGCAAAATGAAGGATTGGAATTTGGATTCAATTTCGATAAAGAAGCTGTGGAAGTTGTTGCTAAAGCATTGGTAAGTTTTTGTTTTGAATTTTTCACATTTTTTTCATTGATTTTTAATTGATTAATTGTTTTTTTATTTTCTCTAATCTCTAAGGTCGATAATGGATTCTTGGCCGAAGAAGATGTACGCATCGTATGCCTGTTGATTAAAAATCAGATTTCATTGCTATTGAAGGATCGACAACAAATGTTGCTATCGCAACAGCAACAAGCAAACCAGGCTAATGGCAAAGAAGGCACAGACGATGCTGATACAACAGCAATGACAGCTGCCGAAACAAATATTCGTTTCGAAATGATACAAAAACAACAGAAACAATATAAACACACGGAAATACCTGTAAATCTGATGGAAGAGTCGGTTGCCGTTTTTGCACCCGGTAATGGTGAGTGTTATTTTTAAAATTTTGCACTTTTGATCTTACATTTCTTTCATGTCACAGTAGAAGGTTCACCAGAGAATACAGTGGTACCAGGTCAACAATCTGCCGTTAATTCAGCTGCTAATTCGGTGGTCAATGTCCAAGTGAATCAAGATCTACAGTTGAATCAATCACAAGCAGCGACATGCACTAATAATCAACAACAACAACAACAGCAAACAACACAATCATCAGCAACTGACTCATCACCTGTTACATCGACTATTCCAGAATCAAATTTTTCGACCAATACTACCGTAGCCGTAGGTGAATCACAAACAACATCATCATCGGTTGGTTCGATTCCATCGAGGGAACAATCATCAACGTCAGCCGAATCGACATTATCATCAACTACGGCTGTTGTGGGCAATTCTAGTGCCATTTACAATCAGCAACAGCAACCTTTTTTAAATCAAAATGAGGTAAGAATATTTTTTTCATCTCGAATTAATGTTTTTTCCTAACTCTTTTATGTTTTTGTCCATTTTCCTACGTTGATTCTGTGTGTGTGTATAATTGTTTTCGAATGTTTTCTATTTGTATTGTCTCTCTCTCTCTCTCTCTGTCCTATTTTTTTTTATTGTAATTTGAATTCTAAAACAAAAAGCTTAAATTACCGCTTACAAGCGTTGCATCATATCCGATCATATCATCATCAACGACAACAACATCATCGGTTCCAAATGGAACTCAACAACAGCAACCTACACAAACGACTTTATCGCCAACATTATCGATGCCACCATCATCAAGTGGACAAACATTTACATCTGCTGTGGCAACAGGTCAGCAATCGTTTTCAACAACGACATCTTCGGTACCGGGTACACCCACAATGAATACGGCTGCTAATCTATCGAGACCTCCATCACCAACATCTTCGTCGAATCAACCACAACAGCCAACAACGGATTCTAATCATCCGATTGGATTGGTAAACTTTGAGATTTAGTTTTTTTTCATTTTGCTTTTTTGTTTTTGTTGCATGATTCTTTTTTGTTTCATTTTAATCATCGAATTGATCGGCTTGTCTAATCTTTTGAAATTGTATTTTTTTCACTAAACAGTCAAATAATTCCAGCCAGAGCAATATGATAGCTGCTGCTACTGCACAAGCATCGACAATATCGGTATCACAGCAAATGGCTAATCAACAACAATCATCGGCAATTGTTGTTGGACAAACTAAACAGCCATTAACATCAACTTCATCATTGACAGCTGCAGCCGGTTCCAAATTGCCATCCACTAAAAGTATGACACATTTTATGATGTATGATGTTTCAAATTTTAAATTATTCATTAAATCCATTCACGCATAGAAGATCAAGATCATATTCAATCGAATCTAGAATCTAAATTAACAGAAATTTTCGCTCCAACATTGGCATCATCATCATCGGCTAATCTTGTTCGAACATCAGAAATGCATTCACATTCAGCAGCGCCAACACCTGCACCGGCTACTGCACCACCAGTTAATAGTAATCAATTAACAAATCAATTGAATGCTCATCTGATGAATGTACAGCCAACACCATCACAACAACAACAACAACAACATTCATTGACACAATTACAACAACAACAACAACAACAACAACAACAACAACAACAACAACAACAACAACAACAACAACAACAACAGCAGCAGCAGCAACAACAACAACAACAACAACTTCAACATCCACCTCCTCCTACCAATCAACAACCACAACAACAACAACAACAATCGAATTCATTAGGTCATTCAGATACCGAGTCATTGCGACCATCTTTAGTCGCCCAACAACAACAGATAATTGCCGCTGTATCAAATCCAGTTACAATAACATCCACCGCTACTTCGGTTAGCGCAGCTACAACCACAACAACAGTACCAACATCATCAATAGCATTGGAACAATCGTTAGCCAGTATTATTTCAACGACGAAAACAACTGCGGCTATAAATAAAACAATAACAACGATGGCTACGATAAATAATACACTGCCCAATAATACAATGCAATCTGGTCAGAATGGTAATAATCAACAAGCTAATAACATAACAGCTAGTCTAACAACAACAACATCAACAACAACATCATCATCATTATCAACTGCAATTGATAATGGCCAAACTAATAATTCTGTAGCTACTAAAAGATTTTCAAGATTTTCCGTTACACCGGTAACGGAACCAGTACCAATACAAGCAATACAAGCACAGCCATCACAATTACCACATATGCTTTCAAAATCACCGTCTTTCGATATGATGACATCTCAACAAATGCCAGCTAGTCACACACAAACACAACAACAGCCACAATCACTGGTCGTTGATTCGAATAAAATTGATTCTACATCCACTATGATAACTAATGGTGGTGGTGGTGACAGTTCATCCACAACATCATCCTCATCATCGTCACCGACACCAACCGGTGTTAATGACACTAATCTTGTACCACCAACAACATCGGCACATCGTACATCACGTTTTATTGTAACACCAGCCGAAGTTCAATTACCAACAACAACAATAGTGTCATCAACAACGAATGTTGTTGACTCAAATTACAAAGATTCTTGTTCACAAACCTCACCCGGTTTACTCAAGGTATTTTCAAATCTGATTTATAACAATGTAGATTTGATTTCGTTTTGTTTTTTTTTTTTTTATTTAGAATGAAAAGAAAGTACCGAATTTAACGGACGCTGATGCTCAACAGCAACCATTAGTGAATGAAGTTAGCCATTCGGATAGTAAATGTTCACTTAGTTCTGGTTCATATGAATCTGCTAGTTCAGCATTATCGGAAAATGCTGATGGTGGTTGTCCATGTTCACCAACGGCTAATGAACCGGTAAAACCATTTGGTCAACCGAATGTACCATCCTTACCAGTTACAACGGCATCATCATTAACATCGGATGAAGATGAAGAAGATGATGGTCATCATTCTGATGGTTGTCTTAGCGGTACAACCGGTGGTTCTAACAATAATGGTGCATCTCTTGATCCAAATGTCAGTCCTGAAATGACCAATTCAACTGGTGATAGTAGCTATAATACATATCCATATGTTTCACTTCGACGTTATGCTTCGGCATTGGATCTTTCCAAACAAAACGATGTTGTTGTCGTTGTTGATGAGAATGGTGCACCTACACTGGTAAAGACACCAATGAAATCATCAATTGTGGCACCATCAACACCGGTCGTTTCGAATCAAAATGAAGTTTTACAACAATATTTGACCAGTATGTTATAAGAGTTTAATGATTTATATTTATGATTTATTTATTATAATTATATTATATTATATTTAGATTATCAGAATTACATTGATCCAGCAAATGTGGTGACTGAATCAACGCCAAATAAAGATAAATTAATACAACAAACGGCAAAACCTACACCAATGTTGGCCGATTGTCAGCAACAGCAATCATCATCATCGTCGTCGTCGTTACCATCATCACGACGTCCATCGACAAATTTCGCACCAAGTCAATTAGCATTAGCATCACAATTGGCTAGCGGCCTTCATCAACCAACTCGAGTTTTCATACGTATTCCTGTCAAAGATGTTGGTATTCAAGTTGATCTTGATAATAGTAAATCTATCGTTGGAAACAATCTACAAGATATAGGAACCATAACTGATCATTATGATAATGAAACTAATCCACAACCACCAACGACACTAACATTGTCGCAATTATCAGTGAAAGATCAACAATTTCTGTTACATCAAGCTGTACAATATGTATTGATGAGTCTACAACAGAATATGGGATTCTTAGCACCACAACTCTTGGCTAACGCTCAACAGCAGCAACAAAAAATTTCATTACAAAAAACTTCATCAGCATCTATGGTGCCTACTACATCGACAATAGATCATCAATTATTGTCGGATTCGAATGCGGCTAAACAAAATCGATCAGTTTCTGTTGATAATGGCCAATTAAGCAAGAATGCACATCAAATTTGGCAACAGCTTCAACAACAACAACAACAGCAGCAGCAGCAACCACAATTGATAAATACTCAACCACAAACGACGAATCGATCCATAGGATTGGAAAATTTTGTCAATTCATGGCCAGATTCATCAACCACATCAGCTGTGATTAATGGAACATTTGATTTTTCCGGTTTAAAGGTATGAAAATTGATAGAAATCTTTGATGTATGTTTATATTTGATTTTTATTCTTGAATAGTCATCAACAAATATGGCTCCAAATCAAACCGATTCTCTTGATTCGGAGTTTGATTATCTTGTCAAAAGGTAAAAAAAATTGATGATTATTATCATTGAATGGTGATTATTTATCTGGATTTTAGACATGAATTGGAGCGTAAAGAAATGCAACAACGACAACAGGATGAGATTGATAAACTAAAAAATCTACAACATAAACAACTTAATCACCAGCAACAACAACAACAACCAGCAGGGGAAGTTAGTAAGAAACCACCATCGGGAACTCAACAACAGCAATCGGCTTTGACGTCATCATCGAAATCATCAACACCACCACAACAGCAACAACAACAACAACAATCTGGTATAAATAGTCCGAATTCTGGATCTATGACGACAACTGCATCTGTATCGAATTCTAATGCAAGCATTACAAATAATAATAACAATAACAACCTTATGAATGATGAATTATTGATGAGAATGTTGCAAAAATTTACGATGAATTCAAATCCAACCGGAACACAGGTATTACAACAAACTCAACCAACAGCATTTACATTGAATCAGATACGTGAAGAACAGAATAAAAAATGGATGAATTCACCATCGGGAACGGCAACACCGATAACAACGACCAATAATGTCATATCATCATCATCATCATCGGCATCATCATCACCGATAAAACGTACAGTTAGTTTGACCAATGCTGTTGCTTTGGCTCAATCAAATTCACAATCGCAACCACAACAACAACAACAACAATTGAATATGACCGGCAGCAGCAATAATTTAGCCCAACGAACTGCATTGAAACAGACTCGATCTTCAAATACGGTTAATATGGTTAATAATAATGGAAATGGTGCACGCAATTCAACTTCAACCAATAACAATAATCAATCGTCCCAACAACATTCCAATCAACAATCGACAATCCAACAACAACAACAACAACCACAAACTGCTAATAACAGTACGACGACATCCAGCACATGAAATTAAATTTTTTAATTGAATGAAGCTGAGGATTCTTTTCATGAAAAACATTATCCACATTCATTCTATTCATCCTTCATCGAGACCCATCCATCATCTTTTGCATTACAATTTAAGAAAATGCCTAACATTTACTCATGATTTAAGATTGTGATGATTGCAATCGGCAAAATTTTTTTATCCATTATAATAATAACATTTCATTCGTTTCATCATTTCTACATAAGAAAAACATGGCCACCAGTTCAACAACAACAACAAACACAAACATTGTTTCACTTGTCTTATTTATTCTTATTGTCATTATTATTAATTTTTCACTGATTCATCAACATTCATTCAATTCACACACATATTTGTATTTTTGATCATTTTTATCCATTATTATGCATTGCATTTTCGTGTTTTTTTAAGTGAAGATATTCATTCATTGTGGTTTTTTAAAACAATTTTGCAAATGAAGAAAAATGTTTGCAAAAATAATTTATTAACAACACACACACACCATACAACTGAAATTGTAAAGAAAGATGAAAATTCTGAATTTTAATGGAAAAAGGAATTCAATTTAAAATTAGTTGTAACAACAACAACAAACAACTTTTGCTTTGCTTTCATCAATGTTTTCTTCCATTAATATTGAAACACTTACGTAAACACGAATCATACATTTTTCCTCTATTATTTTGACATCTGTGATCTGTAAGTCGATTGTATTTGTCGTTTGAAAAAAGACAAAACCTATCTGAGAAATGGAAAATGATAACTTTCTCGCACTTTGTGTCTCTTTCTTTAATTTCTAATTTGCTCTATTTATATTGATATTCATATATTTCTTTATCTTTATTATTATTAATATCTTCTCATTCACTGGAATATTGTTCCAACACACTCACATGAAAATCGAATAAAAAAGCTTTGGTGTTGTTGTTGAATATAAATGATAAATGGCTAAACATGATTTTTTGAAAACAATTTATCATTAGAATAGACGAGATACTCTTTTCTCTGTTGACTTCCATGAATTAACAGTAATAGAAAAGACCGACAATTAAATTGATTTATTTAATTTTGTTTGAAAATTTGAAAATATACAGATTTGTATGAATATGAATTTTTTGGTTTAAATTTTATTGAAAAATTTGTAAGCCATTATTTAATTGAATCAATTTTTCGATGTATTTAATTTGAATCGTCATTTGCATCACATCACAGGAATTAAGAGAGCGTTACGTTTCGAAAAAAAAAATTTCATTTTGTTTTTTTTGTGTCAGAAAATTAAAAGTGAAAAAAATAGAACAAAGTCCCATGCTAACAATTGAAGCAAAAGAAAACAAACATAAAAAACTTGAAGAAAAAAAACAAACCAGATAAATTTGCTGGCCAGATCTGTTATATTCATTTCGATTCGGATAGAGGTTGATGATATGATATTTACATTCGGTAATCGAAAGATTAGAGGGTGATGATCATGATGATGATGATGATGATGATAGGGTTAAGTCCTTTTTCTCATTCATTTTTGGCAGCTGGAATATCTGTCTGTGTGTTAGTGTGTGTTTGTCTAGTTGTTTTTGTTTTGTTCAATGTTCATAAATTTATAAATGATTTTTGTCTTGTTGCACATTTGATTGATGAATTGAAATTGGTTGATAAATATAGAAAAATATGATTCATCTTTGTGTGTGTGTAGGTGTTAATCATAATCTTGGTATTTTGCATTCTGTATATAGGAATTATCATTCTATATGAGAGATGTGAGATCATGAGATCAGAAAAAAAGGTTTATATAACAAGTGAATTAACCCAATTTGTTTTGCGTTGTTCGACACTACACGGTTGAAATATTTAAAAAAAAATTAGGCAAATCATCATTATTTGTTCTGTGCATTCGATGATGTGCATTTGGACGATTTAGATGATGATGATGATGATGTAGTAGTAGTAGTAGTGGTCTGTTCAGACCAACGTCTTATTGATGGATTCATTTTGGCAAGATATTCATTTGTTAATGATGTTTTCTTAGCAATGGCTGTAGCATCAAAACTATGACTAGATGTTGTATGATCAGATGATAATTTATCGAATCCACCACAACCGCCACCAAGTAGATCATTACGTTTACTTTTGAATGATTTTTTGAATCCATCAATAATCGAACGTTTCTTTTCTTTGAATGGACTAGGCTGTTTTTGTATAATCGATGATGATGAAGATGATGATGATGTTGGATCACCATTTTGATTCATTATCGATTTATCAATGTTGGATGAACCATTATGGTGATTATGTATTCGTGGTAGTTGGTGTTTTTCATGTTTAATTTTTGTATTGGATGTAATCCGCACGGATTTAGATGTTTGTGTCGGACCAAGTGTCGATGATGATGTTTTTATTGATTTTCCATTTGTCGATATTGTCGTCGTCGTTGTTGGTGTCGTTGTTGATGACGATGATGTTGATGATTTTGATTTCTCTCGATTGGCAGCAATATGAGCTGGTGGATGTGATAAGGTTTTTCTCAATGAAGGATTCCACAATGAACATAGTTCCGGCGCAGAACTAATTCATGTCAAAGTAAATAACACACGCAGCAAAAAAAAACATATTTATAGAAGTAAAAGAAAAAGTAAACGAAAGAGGAAAAAATGAATGAATTAGACACACAGACACACAAACACACACACACATGTAAATCGAAAAGAGATAAAAAATTGAAAGAGTGAAAATGAAACGGAATAGGGGTTAAATCATAAAATGGATGAATGATGGGTGAGGAAAAAAAATTCATACATAATGCAAATATTGAAAGAAAATCAAGGGAAAAAATTACCATAAATGAATGAATTTCATTGGAATTATTATGATTTCAACGGAATGAATGAACGAAAATCAAAACCAGTAAAGAAAATCAAACATCACACACACACACACTAGACACACGCGCATAAATGGACAGATTGACATTATTTATATAAATGGATGGAACATGACAACCAAAAAAGAGAAAAAACTCGAAAACTGATGTAATTTGTGTCTCTGTGTGTTTAGTGCGTGATGTATCTGATTGTCCAGACAAACACACCGGATGTTTGTTTGTGGCAGAGGTTTGTTGGTGATTGTGGCAGTGGTGGTGTTGGTGGTGGTGGTAATGATGGAATTTTCTTTTCATAATAATTTCAGGATTATAAATGGGGAGAAATAATCAATCAACCAAAACGAACGAACGAACGAATGATTGAAAGGGGTCCCCGAAAACATTCAGGTTCTTGATCTGACTTCTGAAATCTGGTATTTCATTCACTATTTCGGTTTCTGGTTTCATTACAATCAACAATCAATTTCATGTTTGTTTCATATCATTGCAAACAAAAAACAAGGACAATATTTTTAGGCATTTGAATTGGCATTTCAAATTGCTCACATTTCTTTGGTCAGCTCTTTTTGATATGCAATAGGCGATTGAAGTGCACGTAGAAAATCTTGTTGTGTGTCAAGTATGGCACGTATATTGGATACCCATTCGATTGAATCCTCTTTTGTGAGGCCTTCACACAGAAATGCAAGACCATCTTGTTGAGGATCTTTTGATTTCAACAAGAATTGCTTCGAATCCAATGATGATGATTTTTCCGTCAGTGACATTTTGTTCACTTGTAAATGATTTTTATAAAGATAATTCGGATTCGAAAATTGTGTTTTTTGGCCCACTTGTTCACTGAATATAATGATTTGTTCAAACAGAAACACTTGTCGTTCTTTGAGCTTGACCGTTTGTAGGTTTAGATTCGTTCCATAATGTATAACGACATCGGCAACTAACAGTTGACCTTGTTGTAGCAATTTTCCTTGAGCAGATATTTTTCCATCAAAATTTTGTAACCTTGATACCATCATCATATCATTGGCTGTTTTCGGTACGACAATCATAATTTGGACAACTTTTTTCAGATCATCAATCTCTTCACCAGTGATACCGGCCTTTTCGGTGCAACGTAACACGTCTTTCAATAACAATTGATATTTCATAATACGTTGAACTGGTTTGATTAATAAATCACTCAAATGTAATTTGTGGCCAAGTTTTAATCGTACATCCTTTATGAAACAAACAATCAGTCAGAATGGTAAATCTTTAACAAACAAACATACCTCGAAAAAATCAAAATGATCGGAAACGACAGCTTCGGACAGAGGTTTGTTCTGGCAATACACAACATACATATTCAAACGTCGTTCATATTTACGGAAAATTTTCCCCAATCTAGCTGGTTGTTCAATACATTTATCCAATTCGGGTAGAAAGTAACTAATGAGGATGCAATTTTTAAAAAATGTGATTCCATCAATCAACGAAACAACTTACTCTTTGTGCCATTCATAAATATTTTCTAGATTGCCGAAAACAATTTTATATTTACCACCTTTAAGATCATCTGGGATCTGTATCATAGTATCGTTGTCTGTATTGCGAAACATTTGTATATAGCCATCGACAATCATGCCTAAATGCTGTACATAATCTCTTTCTGTATCGATTAATTCAAGCAAAACAAATTTTCTTTTTTCTAATGCTCGATCTTTTTCTTCGTCCAATGTATTGCTATTTTGTTCATTGATTGTTTTGTTCGTTACATCATCGCCATCGTCGTCGTCACGACCAGAATATTCTTGTTGTTGTTGTTGTTGTTGTTGTGTTTGACTATCGTCAAGGCTAATCCTATTCATCATTTGTTCAATCTAATCAAAACATTCAACCAATAAGAGAAAATAGAATGAAATGAAATTAATGGATTCTATCAAGACAATCCTAAAAGTAAAGACTTGCATTTGATCCTTGTTGTTGCTGCTGTTTTGTTGCTGGTAATGAAGGCTGTTCATTATCGATCGTCATTACTGTTGAATCTTGTGCTGCTTGTGATGACGACATAATTGTTTGATAATTATGTTCCTGTATAACAGCCATTGGTGGTGGTATTTCAATTTCAGTTAAATCACAATCCTCTTCACCGGTGCCACCACCACCACCACCACCAATGACATTAATATCACTTATTATAGCTGGTGATGCGTTATTCACATGATTATTATCATCATTAGTATTACTAGCTATTGTTGTATTGACAACAATCATTGTCGTCGATACAGTCGGATCGATGAGAATTTCATTTTGATTAGTTGGTATCATTGTCGATGATAATGATGACGATGATGAAGATGAATTTGGTGATAATGGTAGAATCTAAAAGTTTAGAATAAAGTAACCAAAAACCAATCAATAAATGATGATGACCCATGTAATATGTACGTGTACATACTTGTTTATTATTAGCAGTAGGGGAATGTGTAATTATGGTCACATTATTTGTATTCGATAATGTAGACATGGTCGTAGTCGGTTTATTATCATTATCATTATTATGATGATTAATTGCTGATTTGTCTACCGGTTGTTGTTGCTGTTTATTACTACCTTGACTTAATTTTCGTACCGGATTTGTAATCCATTTTAATACACCGCGTTTTTTATTCTGACCACTTGCGCCACCACCACTCGTATTGCTATTTGATTCGGCCATTGTGACCGTTGTGGTTGTTGAATGATTCATTTGTTGTTGTCGTTGCTGATGTTGATGATCATGGAATAATACGGATGTGGAAGAATCAGCTAATGAATGAAAAAAAACAAACTTTCAATTACTACCAGAACAAAAAAAAAACAAAATTTCAGATTCAAATTCAGAAAAAAAAATTTCCCAGGAAAAAAAATCAAAATCTCTTCTTACAAACAACATTGAAACGATGATGAAGAGGATGATGATGATAGGAAACATGATCATCATTCAAAAATTTTGTACCATTCGTTTTCTGAATAAAATTCGATGATGGTTGTTGTGATGTTATTATAGTATTCAACTTTGAATCAACTAAATCATCATCATCAGTATTATTATGGTAACCAATATCATTATCACCACTACTTGAAGAACAACAACAACAACGAGAGCAAAACATTGAGTAGGCGTATTGGTTGTGCGTGTATTGGCAGAATTGAAACAAATTTTTTTCGTTTTTGTCAACCAGAACCGAAAAATAATTATGACGTTGGAAATTCTTTTTTTTTGAACACAAACACAAACAAGAAAGAAAGAAAAAAGTCATAGATCATGCAACAAACTTCATTGATTTGAACGAAGACGACAACGACAGCAAACAGACAAACAAGAAGAAGAAATGCTGTAATTCGAGCAACTTTGATGACTATGATCAACTATGGATGGAAAAAAACGAGAATCTGAAGATTAGTTTGTTGTCAAACGTTTTCGTGTTCACAAACAAACACATTGAAAACCATGGTGCACCACATTTATTGTTCTCATTTTTTTCGGGATTTGTTATTCCAACTTTCATCAGATTTCAAAAGAAAAATTTGTGCTTTTTTCTCAACAAAAAAGAAACTTTACAGGATTATCAGGCAATCGTCGTCGTTGTCGTTATTTTAACGATGACAATGTACTGGAATTGATTCAACCACCAGGAACTAAAAAGAATTTTTGTCAATGATGAATAATGATAATGACTATTATTAAATGCGATTATCATCATTTTGTCGTTTGAAAACTAAGCCAAGTGATTACTAATTGAAGTGAAATGGAAAAATCTGGTTAAGGCACTTTTAACAAAAGAAATTTTGATCATCAATATCTCGTGATTCACAGAGGTGCAATTTGGTGTCAATCATTCACATGACAATTATCATCAACATCATCAATAATTTGATCAATAAATTTAATTTAAGAAAACCATTGCTGTCAATATCGATTGTAATGATCATCACCAATCTTATCATTTTATTGATTCTGACTGATCGGCCACGACACATTTATAAGAGAGAAAAAATATGATTATCAAATTGAATCAGATCAAAAGTGAAAATGGCTGGAAACACACTCAAGTGGCTCAAAAACCACAGCAATAACCAAAAAATAAAAATCACTAAAATTTGATCGGCAAAAAATGAAATCCACAAAGGAATGGACAAAATTCAATCAAATTTAATCAAACACACAGACACACCGGACAGCAAACCGAAAATTTTATTTCATTTTTCTCTTGACTTTGTCATTTTTCGCTGGTTTAAACACAAACACAAACACTCACACACATATAACATACCACCAGCAGCAATTGCAGCAATACCACAAACAACAAAAAACAACGACAACAACAAATAGAAAAAAAAGACGCACACTAACCGAATATGATGATGATGGGGAAGAAAAAATGAAACTCAAAGACGCAAGACAAGAACAAAAAAAACAGAATTTTGGTCCAGAACAACAACCAAAAAAAGAAAAGAAAATGAATTCTTCTTATGAAAAAAAGTATAGCGCTCATCATCATCATCATCATTCAAAGGAAAGGAAACAAGCAAAATCCCTGAAAAATGAGGTTTCCTTTGAAAAAAGAACCAGAATCTTGGCATTCCAAACATACACACACACACACACACACACACACATAGCAAAAAACAACCCTAGACAGTAACAGCAACAGAATCGAGATGGTGGTAAATGAATGTTTTTCGTTTCAATTTCATATGCCACCATCATCATCATCGTCATATGTGAATCCAATTGGATCAAGTTTCAGTGTGGTGAAAATAAAATAAAATTTCAAAACCCGAGTGTGTGTGTGTGTGTGTGAATACTGATTATATATGCGGAGAGAGAAGAAAACACGATAGTAGACGCCGTCATTATCAAGTATGCTATGCTTCTATATGATATGTGGACATTTAAAAAAAATGGCAATCATCATTCGTGGTTGTTATCAACAACAACACAAATCGACCGAAGATCAGTCGAGCGAATAAATTGTTCGTCATATGCAAGCCATACCATTAATAATTATGAGAAAAAAGAATTTGTTGACGAAAATAAAAGAGAGAGAGAGAATCTACCCTTAATAGCAAATGGTTAATCGTGAAAAATTGTGAATGAAAATTGTTTTTTGCCTTCTGTATTCCTCATTCCCTGTATTTTCAATTGATGAAATGATGAAAATGATAATGTTTTTGAGCAGTTGAGATTTCATTTTTGTTTTGTTTGGGCTAGAATAATTTAGTCGATTGGACAGAGGGAGAAAACTAAACATCAACAATTGTGATAGACAGACAAAGAATATTCAGGACTAAGAAAAAATTTCGAAAACACACACAAACATCATGACATTTAATGTCAACAAACTAGAGATATAGAAAAGAAAAATTCCATTCCCAATCAATCGACAGAAATGTTTGCACAATGCAATCAAGCAATGTGAGCATAGTGACATAAAAAAATAAATGAAATTCATTTTAAAATTGCTGAAAAAACAAACTTTTCCAGAGAAAAAAACGAAAATGTTTGCAAAATTCGAATGCTAAATATCACTTTAGTAAAAATAACTGAGAAATAATAGAAAAAACAAGAACGGCAACTATATTTACCTTCACCAGTTGTTGTTGGTGATTGTGATGATGATTCGAATGTTGGTTGGGCCGTTGTCATCGTTGACATAATCGATGGACGTTGTTGAGGTTGTTGTAATTGATGATTTATCGATGATGAGGATGTTGATGATAATGATTGTTGTTTTTGCAAAGGAAATCGTAATATATTGATTGGTACAAGACCTTCTTGCAATTGTTGATGTTGATGGTGATTATCATTCAATTCGTTTTGAATCGTTTTGACAAGACAAAAATCACCCAAATGTGTTGTTGGTGAGGAATGTATACGTTGTTCAATAATTTCTACTTTTTGTCCAATTCGTACTGATAAGAATGGCCATTGTTGCCGTTGATGATCATATGATGAAATTTTTTGCTCACTGAAATCTTCTTTTATCCATGCATAATCATGGATTGTCTGTTTCATTTGTTAATGTAAAATGGGCAAAAAGAAAGAAAACGAAAAAATTTCAAACATTTAATCAATCATGTTCACAGAACAAAAATCAACATAAACAAAAAACGAAACAAAACAAAATGAAATGAAATGAAATGCAATGCAGTGTAGTTGTCATTTTTTCTCTCAAAACAACAACAACAACAACAACAACAATCATGATGATGATGATCATGAATTATTATGGTTATCATTAATAATGACAACAATTGCATTGAAACAAAACAAAAAATGAAAAACAATACATCATACTACATCATACGTCAACAAGAACAACATTGCAAACCGAAAACAAGTTGAAATTCATAGTTCAGCATTGTTGTTGTTTCTGTGTTCATTATCAACTTGGACCAGGATTCTTTCGAATTGAAAAATAAAAATTCTATCAATCAGATGTGTGCATTACCTGCTGCTGCTTAGTTACAAAAGTGATTTGTCACTAAAATAGAGCATGTGTGTGAATGGTATCAACAGAGAGATACAAATCAATATTCAATGAGATTCAATCAAAAAATCAAAAATACCTCAACGACGACGATGATGATTTTGATGGCTGAGCCACCCACCCACACACATACACACACGCAAACAAATACCTGAACAATAATGAATAAATATCACAATTTCAAAGATTGTGGTCCAAAAAAGAAAAACAAAAACACAAAACAAAATCAGATTGAAAGATAATCATCATTGAAATTTTAATATCATCACTGATAAAGTATAAAAACTTTTTTTGCCAATCTCTCGTTCGCTGGTTTCTGGATCAAATTGAGAGAACTGGAGATAGACGATTTACAATCAGGAGCAAAAGGAATAAATGGCTACTGTATGTGTGAGCTGTGCGCGTTTGGTGAACATTTTGATCTAATTTTTCTGCTACTACTTTTTTGTTTCACTATTTTTGACGATCATCACTCTGTATGTGAATTATTCAGAGTAAAAGTTATGTATCAAAAAGAAAAAAATTCACATTCCTATTGCCTCTTTGTTGTTTTTCTCCGGTATTCAGGGTATATGAATGTTTCTCTAAAATGATTGAAAGACAGACTGACGACAAATTGAAAAACGGAAAAACCGATAAAATAGAAAAGAAAACGAGAGAATTCTTATATCAATTTTTTCTTTTCAGAAAGTGACTGATTCGGCGTCATAATGAATGCTTTTCCTATTCTCATTCATCATCATCATGACCATCAAATATGCATACAACAATTGTATCATACTGAGTTGTATATATATCATTTCTATTTCTGTTTCTATTTCTATTTCTAAAATGTTATATTTGAGACGATAATTCAAACCAAAACAACTAGCAGCAGCAACATGGGCAAATTTGGATGTAAATATATTCATCACCATTTCTTGCAATTTCAAATTGCTATCTAAATAACAAGAAAGAATGGCATTTTCGTAGAATAATATTATATATTAAGAATTAAGCTACAGGCGTTCCTGGAATTCAGAAATAACAAACGACCACGGCCACTGTGTATTGGTGTAGAGAAAGAGAATGGAAAATTCAACATTCAAGCAAAGGACAATTTAATATAATCTTGGCTTATTTCTATCTGTCGGTCATGTGTATAATATAATTGCTTGGATCATTTTGGAACCAGGAATTACATGCTTCGATTGAATTTTATAAACACACACACACACACACACACACAAACACATAGAAAGATAATCACACATTGATGATGATTGAACAACAAAAACACATACCTTGTCACTAGTATCAGTTTTATAACCCGAACTTGTAGTCGATATTAATGATGTATTTTCATCCGTCATTGTTGTCGATGATGATGATGAGGATGGCAGTGGCTGATGTTTCTGATGATGATGAGTATCACTATTGCTGCCATTTGTCGAAATTGAATTAGAAACGACATTCAAACATTCATCATCATCAGTATTAAAATCACTATATTTTTCAATTAAACAAAAAATTTGAAAACACAGAAAAATAATAAAAAAATATGCTCACCGGCTTGAGCGATTATTGTGGTTATTATTGATCGAGGAGGATGATGTTGAATTTAACAATTTCTGTTGATTAGATTTGGATTTGAAAAACGTTGAATACAAAAATGTATCCGTTTTTAGCTGATTCAATTTGCGAATCCAATTTTGTTTTGTTTCCAATGTTGATGCTTTCAGTGTGATTTTATAGTCAGACATTGATGATAATTTGCCAGTCCAAATGGAAAATTTCAATTCCGAATCGTCCAGTGTTTCGTTGATATTGATTTCGTTTGCCATTAATTTATTTTTGTATAGATATTTGGATTTACCACTTGAATCGCGGATTTCTTTGGAAAATATCAACAATTTTTCAAACAAAAATAAACGACGTTCACGTCCTTTTTTGAATAGTGATTTCGAATCAAACACGGTCATTACGTCTTGCAGTAAGACTTCACCCAATTGATCCATTGTTACATCATATCCTTCGAGCATTGAGAAATGCATTGCATCATTTGCTTTTTTCGGCACATTCAACATGACATCTAATCCATCTTTAATTTCGCCTTCTTGGCCTGGATCCGAACAGCTGAGTAAATCCTTAAGTAATAGCTGATATTTAGTTATTCGTTGCACCGGTTTAATCAGATAGGCATCGATTGGATGTAGAATCGAATATCGTTGTTTGATTTCATCGAAAAAACTACCCTGATATTGTACAAGCAATAGATTGGAATCGGGTTTATTTTTGCAATACTCCACGTAGATATCAAATGATGATGACCATGTTACGAAACAATGACCAACATCTTCCGGTATTTGTTCATATTTCTCTAATTCACGTAAGAAAACCCGTTTATGGAAATCATGGATTTGTTCAATATTACCAAATAGTAACCGTTCTTTGCCCTGAAGAAACGGTGGCAAATGATTGTCACCAGCTAAACGAAATTCTCGTAGATATGTATCGATACAGAGCTTAAGATCTTCCACATAGGTACGTTCGGTGCGTAGTAATTCTTCCATAATATAATCTTTCTTCCTTATCGATCTCCGAACATTACCACCACTAGTGCTACTACTAGCGCTGCTAATAATATCTTTGACTAGATTTGTTGTTGGTGTTGATGACTGTTGATTAGCACTAATTGATGGCGATGGATCTTTGATAATCATAGTGGCTGCTGCTGCTGCTGATGCAGATGCAGATGCAGCAGCTGATTCAATATTGAACAATGTTTGTTTTTCATTTAATCGTTGTTTAAATAGATCCAGTTGTTTATAGAAATCTTTATATGATTGTTCGACGAATTGGACCCATTTTTTGATAGCAACTTCGTGTGTATGTCGTTTTTGTATTAGATTCTGTGATAGCTGCGACAGTAGTGATACTTTCTCACGACATTCACCAAGATAATGGTTAAAATTATTGAATTCAATACAAAGTGATTCCAATTTTTCGCGATCAAACGATTGTTGTTGGTTTTGATCATCAAGGTAGGATTGTTTAGTTTGTATGAATGTGAGACCATTTTCATTGATCCATTTCAATGCTTGTTTGGAACTATGTTCCACCAATATGTATTGTTTACAATGATCCAGACGTTTTTTCTTTTCAGCCCAATATTCCAATACACGATTCTCTTGGGTTAGTAGATCGTCCATTATTGTCTTGATACGATTCTCGGCATTCGTGTAGGTTTGATTGGGATAATTTGCCGAATAATATTGTATGCAGCGTTGAATGTATTTGAGAAAATTTTCCGCATTTCTACGTGCATGTGTGCATGCTTTGAGAAATGCTTCTTTTTGTTCATGGTGTTTACTGATCTGACAACTTAATGCATATTCATCATTATTGTCCAGGTTTCGTATCGTTTCCGGCGTAATCACCGTTAATCGACTTGCACCACAAAAATCTTCATCGTGTTTATATTCATTTTGCAGGCTACTAACGACCGAACAAACTTGTTCGATTGTTTTGAAAAAATTTATGGATGCCAACACCAATTTATGACGATCTTCAGCATGTGTCATCAGATTTTGCCATCGTTTTGATAATTCATTCGAGATTTGTTCGATTGCCGAACAATTATAGTGGCCACATTGAATCAACGAATCAGCCTTTTGATGTAGATAGATGGCACGACAATGTGTCTTTTCGATTGCATCCTGAAATTGTTCATGATCGGAACGGAGATTTTCGGCAGTTTTCAATGAAGTAGGTATATAGAATGAACTTTTAAGCATTGAATCGCCATTACGTATCCAATTGAAAATTTGTTCGGCATTCAATTGGAAATGACCGAATTGTATCATTTGTTCCAATTGTTTTCTACGCACTTCATAGATGTCTTCAAGGTCGATAATTTTTTCATTTAAAAATGTCGTTATCTTTTTCACTAGATCATGTCCAGTTTGTTCATTATTATTACCGCCTTTATTGACAATCAAACGAAATGGACAGGATTCTAAAAGCTGGTCCAATTCTTTTCCATAATGAACAGATTCAAATATTATCGATTGTAATTGGGTAAATTTTTCATTTGTGGCTGCCAATTTAGATTCATATTGTTGAAGATCAGCAAGAGTCAATTGTTGCATTTGTTGAGATTGTTGTTGTTGTTGTTGTTGTTTGGATTCATCCATGTAGATTGCACTTTGAATGTTTTCAATCCAAACATCAACTTGTGAAGTAATATTGATTGAATCTGTTTCAAATAGACGAATTTTGAGGCAAATTTCGTGTTTATATTGTTGGCTATTCCAAAGATCTTCGAATTCTTGTACAAGACATTTAAGTTTATCACACGATGTTTGTATGGTTGTAATGGATGATGACAATGAGTGAAATGATTCTTCTGAATAGTCGTAATTTTCCTGGTGAAATGTCGAATAATTTTTCAATTCGTTCAATAGTAGCTGTCCTTTTCCGATTGCATTCGTAATTAGTGTATGGACAGATTTACGTTGCATGAGGTAATTATTGATGATTTTTTCTATCAAATCCTTATTTTCAGGCATATCCAATGGTGTTCCATTCACCTGATTCCGTAGTTCGGATACATAATTATTGATGTCTTTTTCAAGCGTATAGAAAGCGACGGCCAAATTCAATATGGTTCGACGATTTTCCACACGTTTAGCAAATGTTGATATGTGTGATTGCAATTGCCGAGCTACGTCGGATATTTCATCGGCATTACATTCACCAGTACGGGCTAATTCATCAGCTGCTGCCAAAAGTTTCTCAGCATTCGTATAGGTGTTCTGTGCAACGGTTTCAAAGTGAATATGACTTTTTTGTAGAATTTTTGCTTTTGCATAATTTTTTCCAATACCAGGATTTTTATTCAAAAACCCGTTACCATGAACATTGATCCAATCGAGTACCTGGCGTACATCATCCTGAAACAATGCCAATGCTAGACGTTGATGTAGTTTAATCTTTAGATAATGCCACTTTGAATCAATATTCTGTTGATTCATTACTAATGTTTGCAACAAGGACATGATATTTGTCATACTGTCATTATAATCACGGTAGAATTGATGTAAAAATGTATTCGAATCTTGATGAGGAAGATGATGAAGATGATGATGATGATGATGATGATGACTAGCAATATCACCCGAATATTTTTTATATAAATGTTCTAATTGTGTAATTAATTTCTTACTACTTGAATGACATTCATTATAAAGATAAACAATTTTCTCATAAAATGATTGCATCTTTTTCACTAGGCTTTCTAATTCGTTGACTTTTTGTTGTTGCTGATGATATGCTGGTGATGATGGTGATATATTCGTCGTGGTCGTGGTCGTTGTGGTCGATGATGATGATGATTGTTGAAGAAGATTTTGATGATTATCACAAAATGTGGAGAAATTCTGCAGTTGTTGTGTATATTCCTCAACATTATTATAGAATGCTAATGCAATGGATAATAACAGATTTCGTTGATCCAGAATGGATGCAAATTCTTTCCATGAACGATCTAGCTGTCCAGTAATCTGTTGTATAAGCTGTACGGATGTATGGCCATTTTCAATCATATTACTGGCAACATGTTGTAATTTGGTGATATTCACATAAACATTGACAGATGCATTGGCAAATTCGCCATGTTTTTCCTGCAGTTCTTTGATGTCGGCCAATGTTGTTCCGATAATGATGAAACTACGCATAAATATTTCCTTATTGTTGCGTAACCATTCGAGCATTTTATTTGCATCCGATTCATATAATAATAGCTGAAGGTGTTGTTCATATTTAACACGTTTTTGATTCCAAAGTCTGAGAAGATTCTGTCGACAATGATGAATTTCATTTACGATTTGAAATATTCTTGCAATCGCTGTTTCAATATCTGGATTGAAGAATTTGTTAATGATCAATTCCCGGCTATATGATTGTTTCAAATGGATCATATTTGTATCGTGCATGAAATAGCTCAATTTTGCTAACAATTGTTGTACTTCAAGATCGACATCATCGACAGGTATTTCTGATATTTTCTTTTTCATCATTTTATGTTCCTCAATAATACTGTTTATCACTTGACTGTCATTGGAGAATGTTATCTTTTTCAATTCTTCCTTCATGCCCAGCATTATACAATAGACTTTTGCAATACGTTCCATGAATTGTTCGATAACAATGCGTGATTGTATCCAATTGATGTGATCATATGGATAGCTACCATTTTCGACATCATTTGTCAGCTGATTCAGTTGAATGTATTTGGCCAATGATTCGACCGATATGAGCACGGTTTCAAATTTATATTTAGTCGTGCCCAATGATGTTCGTTGTTTTTGCCAAAAATTATCCGGTTTTATAATATATGTCGTATGAATTTTGACGGGAAAGTTTTCGTCCAATACTTTCAAGATCGGTTTGACGGTTGACCATGTTGATCCACGCATATCGATTATGACACAAAATTCTAATGCTTTTGATTCATCACTGTGTGTGTGAGAGAGAGAGAGAAAAAATGGTCATTACTTTCGAGGTTAATCGAATGATCATTACCTTGGTATCGAGGCAAAATAATTGAGTATTATTTTCAGATTTTCAATATTAAATTTTTCACTTGATGGTTGACGTGATGGAAAAAATATGATTGGTCCACCTCGTATATCTCGGCCTCCTATTATCATCATTTAGGTCATCAGTTGGTTTGTGGTTGTTCAAAATAATTGAATTGAATTAACACAAAAGAAAAATCATTATCATAACTTACCGGACAGGATGGCATATCGTTCTTCAAGCAATGATTTTATATCGTAAGCTTTAATCGTTTGTTTACGAAAACACTCTGAACAAAATTCAGTTGTTGTCAAGTGGGAAAAATGAAAAAATGTTCAAAACCATCAATCATTGAACTTGTTACTTACCCAATATGTTGCGACATTCATATGAATCATTCGAATCGATTGGACAATCCAAATTCCAATTGTCCATTTTTCTATCTTATAACAAAAAAAATACGTTATTCGACAAAAATGAATTTGATAGTTTATTATTAATCGGTGGTACAGAACAGAACACAAGAAAAAGAATGAGTATTATTATTTCACACACACACACACACACACACACAGATAGTTTCATTGGAAAGTAACAAAACAAATTCCAGGTGAAATTCGTCATGAACGATGATTCATACAATTACAATGTTTTCATCGAATAAATTGAATGATTGAATGATAATTAACCATCATCATCATATCACGGATGATTCAATCACAATTACATTTTTTTTCACACCTGGAGAAGATTCTTGGTCGAGTATTTTCCATTTCTAATTACCATTTTGTTGATTGAATTTAATTCAATGATGATGATCAATTTTTGTTCACATTCGACATGTAAACACACAAACAGACACATACAGAAAAAACCCATTCTAACTTTTGCTTATATAACTGGATTTGCTATGTATGTTTTTCACTGTGTTCGACGAACAATTTTTTTCTTCTCTTTATACTTCAGCAAAACTCCAATATTACCGGCCCCCTCATATATACGTGATATTGGCTATATACCTTTGTAGTCTCAATAGCACAATGAACTTTTGGCCATAATATCCACTTGTTTCAGTAATTAATGCTACTACTACTAAAAATATTCTGTAACTTTTAACAATAATTCATACTTCTATGATAAAACGTATATTGATTGTGACTAGATTGGTAATTTTTTGTTTTTTTTATTCGCTCCGCATGTAGCCTCCTCCCAGGTTATTTTGTTATTTTTTTCTTTGGATTCTATTTTGGGAATCTATGGTTCTGGTTGTTGTTTTGTAGAATTTTGATTCAATCACAAAACGATGTTGTCCATAATTCAACGATCATTATTAGCATCATCACGATCAATTCATTTATCAGCCATATCATATGCTGAACCATTACGAAAGAAAAAAATCATCAATCCATTGACAACAAAAAAACAATTCGAACGTAAAGTACGCCGTTTGGAACGTGAAATCAATCGATTGCAAGCGGTCCCATTGAAGTTGAAACCGATTCTTGAACAACAATTGCCACCACATGTTGTACGTGAATTAGATCAACGACAACGATCAATAACGGCCGAAGAACGGACCGAATTGCATAGAATGATAATTTATCTAAATAAAATCTGGTCCATCTATAAAGGTCTGGAAACCCGTGAAGAAATGCGGCGTATTAAATCGGTAGTGGATGCACAACAGAAAGCAATGGATATACTTGAACGTGATTATCCGGACCTATACAAAAAGGCAATCGAAATTGATCCGAATTTGATTCCATATCAGGTGATGAATGTCAAAAAACATACAGCACCTAATCCATCCTATCAATGTCCAGATGGTCGTGAACAAGATACAACAAAAGAATGGCGTCTTTAGCAATGATATGAATGATAATCAGTTTTTTTATTGTTAATAATGATTCATGTAAAATTTATTTATAAAATTATTAAATACTAGTAGACTAGTAGATCATCAATCAATTCTGTTGTTGAGATTGCTTTAAATTCTCCAACATACGACGAAGTTTTGTTGCACGATGTTTCAATGTAGATTCTTCTTGAATCAATGTTGCAATACGATCGAGATATTCTTCGGTGATGGTTGGTTCCATCACCCAACGTAGATACATTCCTTTCCATAATTCCAACGATTGTGGTGCAACCGATGGCCATAATACTGCGCTATTTGGTTCATATAGAGGATTTAGAAAATCTGCAAGTATCGCTGGACGATTCACATATGACCACAGTGAAACGGTTTTTTTGGCAAAATTCATTTCATTACGTTCACGAATACAATCGCCCAGAAATGTGCCGAATTGCGATGAATAGGCATTTTCGAACAAAAATATTAGAAATTTTTCATTAAATTCAAATGAACATGGAAATTGTTGATAGATTTGATAGACACAGTCCAAAAACACGAGAAATATTGGCGATTGTTCACGTGTACGTGCACTTGGCATCGTATATGCACTATGTTTACAACGTGTTGCAAATGGATGACCAGCCTGTAACCATTCACGTTCAATTAGCGCTTCAAATCCATGAACATTACGACAATCAGGATTCAATATGATCTGGGTTAATGAACAAACTTGAAGTGTCGAGTCCATTCCTTCGGATCCATGTACCAATACGGACACATTATCCTGGTCTAAACATTGTGCAACCAGACAGGCACTGCTTAGAACATCTTTTACATGTGATAACCAACCGGATGTTTCCAGTTTTGATAGCCATTTATCCATCGATAATGTTGTATCATTACAAGCTTCAATCAGCTTGCTAAGAGAATCCAACAACGTTGAATGACGATCAATAGGACGATGTACACGTTTCCATAGTGGATAATGCATTTCCAGTTCAAAACCACCACCTTTATTACGAGCTAATTGTGCTAGGTTTTGTGTCCGTGTTTCAATGATGAATCCACGTTTTCCAGCACCCAGTACAGTATTGATAAGTTTTTCATCATCTTTACATCGTTTTGAATTCGTACCAACCATCGGCTGTCCACTACGAAGTAATACTTTCTAATTGCAAAATGAATGAGCAAATTTCGATTCAAAAAAAAAAAAAAAAATAATCACTCACTTTAGTCGGTTTATGATAATAGCTCAGCACAGGAAATCGACCCAAACAACGAAACTGTGCAATCGATCGGATACAATCATCGGTTATTGATTTGGGCACAATAACCGTTTCTGGATAGGTACGACAAACTTCAAAATTTTTATTCACCGTCGACAAACGCCACTCATCACTGGAATGTGTCAGATTGGTAAATTCCTGTTCAATATTGAATTGATACCATCCATTTTCAACGAATGTAAATTCAGGGTTATAAAAATATGGATACAATAATCGTGGTTCATTTAGATTCGACAATAATTCAATTGATGTGGCGATATTTATGAATTCTGTCCAGCCAACAATTTCGATTGTTAGAATGCGAAAATTTTTACATTTAAGCACGAGAACACCACCGGTTGCAATGGAATTTGGTCTTCGTTCGACCACATCAATCATCGAATGTAGTAGCTACATTTTTTGATTGGGGTGGATACAAACACATTGTAAATTTAAATTTTTAAATTTTCAAAACAAACACTCACAAACAATTCGTTTAAATCATTTTTTCGAGATGAAATGATTAAATGATGACTAGTGATACACAAAGTTCCTTCGATTTTATTCTGAAACGTATCATACATAACAACTCCATCCAATTTGGGCGTTTTTATCAAATCGAAAAATTCCATTTTTGGAGAGAAAAAAAATATTTATCTGATCGAATCAAACAAAATTGACTATTTCAACAGGAACGAATCAACCCAAGTCATATTGATACTTTTTTAAATTTTTCCAATTTTTTCAATTTTATTCAAATTTGGATTTAAAATTTTACAAAATTCTGAATTAATCAATCAATCAATTGATTAATTAATTATGATAATCTAAGAATCATTATTAAATTGATACAATTGGCAACAAACGATTCTGACATAGATTTTATGCTGAGGCAGCAACAATAGCTTCGCTAACTTCAACGGCAATCTGTGCTTCGGCACGTGCTACTTCGTCCGATGCTGATGATAATTGCTGTTGAGCTTTATTTAATGTTTCACGAGCAGCTTGTCCATCAATATTTTCAACCGGTACGGCTTCTTCAGCCAACAACTGAACGGATGAATCATCATTGATTGATAATATGCCACTGCTCACTGAAAATAGACATTAATTTATTGGAAACAATTAGGTGATCAATAATTACCGAAAAATCGTTTAGCTGCACCATCATTTTCGAATACGGTAACGACACCAGGTTTCAATACGGCCAACAATGGCACATGTTTAGGTAGGATACCGATACTACCGCTAAAGGATGGAACATCAACTTGTCGAACATCGGCAACATTATAAAATACCTGAATATTGAAAGAATTCAATTAGACACAATGTTATGATGAATAAATTCGACATACCTCATTTGGTGTTGTGAAGGTTAATGGCATACCGCTTGTAGCAGCAGCCAAATTTCGTCGTGAAATCGCACCAAATGATTGCCGTGCTAGCATCGAACTTTGACGAATTAGATGATTCATTTTTTCAATAATTCAAGCCAGAAAAAAATTTGGAAAAATGCAAAAAAAGCCGAAACGAAACGCACAAATAAACAAAAAGAAATGTCCTTTGGACAAAAATGTTGAGACACATTGATCAACTATATACACTTGACGTTGTCGACCAGCTGTGAAAATAGTTGACTGAATATACTCATCACGAATAGTTCACACCCGCTTATTATTCATGCCTCGACTCATTATCCAACATCAATGACAGTACATCGTGGCAATATAACAGGTTCTCTCTCTATTCTCTATTTCGTTTGTGAGATGAAATTTGGACCAAAATTGAACTGAAAACTGAACTGCGCCACTGTATCTTTCTCTTTTTTATTATTTCATTTATCTCACATCTGACCTGGTCCCGCGGGATACTTGTTATTATTGGTCGATCGGTTTTTATATTTTGTGTTTTGTATTGCCATGATGTGATGATATGGCTGTACAACGTAACAACAAAATTGCTACGTTAGCTATATGTGCTCAATTGTTATTCGAGTTTGAATTCCATTTAGATTTTTTTCTGTTTTTGTTTCATCATTCCTATTATTGAAATTACAATTGCAATATTGCAAAACTTATTAAACATGCAAGCCATTCTTAACAACAACAATCATCATTATCATCAACCGCCACAATCTCATCAATTCAACGTGAAATGGGATCCAAAAAATCTGGAAATTCGTACACATTCGGTGGAGAAAACACTTGAACCATTGGTTATGCAAGTGACGACATTGGTAAACACAAAAGGTCCATCGAAAAAGAAAAAAGGTCGATCAAAACGTGCACATGTATTGGTGGCAGCCGTTGAAAAAGCAACGGAAAATTTTATTGTTCGTGGTGAAGAAATTGCTTTGGAAAATCCCGACATCAAAATGGACATGTTGGGCGCTGTTGAAGAGGTACGTAAAGCAGGTGAAATCATGAGTCAAGCATCGAGAGAATTTGCCGAAGAACCATGTTCATCAATCAAACGAAACAGTATGGTTAAAGCTGCACGAAATCTATTGTCGGCAGTTACACGCCTGTTGATCTTTGCCGATATGGTCGATGTACATCGTCTGATGAAATCATTGGAAATTGTTGAGAATGATTTGGATAAAGTGAAAAATGCCTCTAGCCAAGCCGAATTGGTCGAATCATTTCGACAATTTGGTCGTAATACAGCCGAATTGATTAATCTGGCCGCTAAACGTCAAGCTGAATTGAAAGATCCCAAACTAAAAGAAGATCTAGCTGCTGCACGTGCTGTGCTCAAAAAGAATTGTATGATGCTATTGACCGCATCCAAAGTATATGTACGACATCCAGAAATTCCTGCCGCACGTGAAAATCGTGATTTTGTTTTCCGTCAAGTTTGTGAGGCAGTCACTACTATTAGTGATGTTGCTCAAGGAAAATCCGGTCCAAACAATATCGTCAATTCAATCTATGATGGTCCAGGAGAACTGGCCTCAGCATTGGATGAATTTGATGATTCCATCTTTATGGATCCGTTGGCTTATAATGAGGCCAAAACAAGACCAGCATTGGAAGAACGTCTAGAATCCATCATAAGCGGTGCAGCATTAATGGCAGATTCGTCGTGTACCCGTGATGAACGTCGTGAACGTATCGTTGCCGAATGTAATGCCGTACGACAAGCATTACAGGATCTCCTTTCGGAATACATGGCAAAGGCATCGAAAAAACAACCATCCGAGTCGTTGAATAAAGCAATTGACCATATGACGCAGAAAACAAAAGATTTACGACGACAGCTACGTAAAGCCGTTATAGATCATGTGTCGGATTCATTTTTGGAAACGAATGTACCACTATTGGTGTTGATCGAAGCAGCACGTAAAGGTGACATAAACGAAGTGGAAGAATTGGCCATCGTATTCAACGAACATGCTGGAAAATTGGTAGAAGTTGCCAATCTAGCCTGTTCAATGTCGAATAATGAAGAAGGTGTGAAAATGGTACGATTTGCAGCCAGTCAAATTGAAACGATTTGTCCCCAAGTTATAAATGCTGCACGAATACTTGCTATACGCCCAAAATCGAAAGTAGCGCAAGAAAATATGGACTCATTCCGTGATTCATGGAATAATCATGTTCGCATATTAACCGAGGCTGTTGATGATATTACCACCATTGATGATTTTCTGGCCGTATCAGAAAACCACATACTGGAAGATGTTAACAAATGTGTGTTGGCATTACAGGAAAGTGATGCCGACACATTGGATCGTACAGCCGGTGCTATACGAGGACGTTCAGCAAGAGTTTGTAATGTCGTAACAGCCGAAATGGATAATTATGAACCAGGTGTTTATACTGAACGTGTACTCGAAGCAGTCAATTGTCTTCGTGATCAAATAATGACCAATTTCGCTGAACGTGTTTCAATGGCTGTGGATATATTGAAAAATGCTGCTGCCACTGCTTCCAATAATCAAAATGGCGATAAACCCGTTGTGGATGAAAATGAATTTATCGATGCATCACGTCTCGTTTATGATGGTGTACGAGAAATTCGTCGAACAGTCCTATTGAATCGAACCGTGGAAGAATTGGATTCTGAAACCGAAATTGAATATGAAGACAATAATACATATGAAACACGTTCGAAATGTAAGTTTCTCTATTCAGATTGTTTTATTTTTTGTTTAATTTTGTTTTATTTTCTCACATCATACAGCAAGCATACATACGGATTTCGATGAATATCCCGAGATACATGGTATTAATAATGCTCGTGACGCATATCGATTGGTACCGCAAGAGGAAAAGGAAAAAATTGCCCAACAAGTAGAAACATTCCGTACAGAAAAGAATAAATTCGATAAAGAAGTAGCGAAATGGGATGATACTGGAAACGATATCATAGTGATAGCCAAACAAATGTGCATGATTATGATGGAAATGACAGATTTCACACGTGGTAAAGGTCCATTGAAAACAACGATGGATGTTATAAATGCAGCGAAAAAAATTTCCGAATATGGCACCAAATTGGACAAGTTTGCCCGTCAAATTGCCGAACAATGTCCTGAATCTAGTACGAAAAAAGATTTGATCGCCTATCTACAGATGATCAATTTATATTGTCATCAGTTGAATATTACGTCCAAAGTCAAAGCAGATGTACAGAATATTTCCGGAAATTTAATCGTATCTGGTGTAAGTTTTTTTTTGAATTTGAGTTTATCTGAATCCAATGAACATTGTTTTCATGTTCTTTTTTTGCAGCTTGATAGCGCAACAAGTCTTATTCAGGCGGCCAAAAATCTCATGAATGCCGTTGTATTGACAGTGAAATCATCGTATGTTGCATCCACTAAATATCCACGTATCAATGGACAACTTAATGTGAGTGATTTTGACATGTTTTTTATTCTCATTTAAAAGTTTGCATTTGACTTTTCTATCAGTATCCAATATTTGTGTGGAAAATGAAAGCACCGGAAAAGAAACCGTTAGTACGTCGTGAACGACCTGATGAAATTCGGGCAAAAGTGCGTCGTGGATCACAGAAACGAAACATTGCACCAATCAAAGCGTTATCTGAATTTCAAAGTAATTCTGATCGAGTTTAAATGGACAAATGGACATAATCAACCCAATCCCTCCACTACTACTGCTACTACTATGCCTTTTTTTAGCCACTAAATTTCGAATGTAATCAAAACTAAAACACACACATAGAATGGATGAATGATGTCGCTCAACAACTATGTGCCTGATGACTTTGGTATTTTATTTTTATATATTTAATTTAATAATATAAATCACTTATTACTTCCAATGAAATTATTTTTATATAAAAATTTAATGTGTAATGAGCAAGTAATAATAATGATAATAATAAAATTATATATTTTTTCAATGTAATCGTTGTTTTGATGTGGATGGTCTATCGAATTCATTTTCATATTCAATTTCAACATGTGGTTTTTTCCTTTTCGTCGATTTTGACAATATCGACGGTGTTTTGGGCTTCTTTTTCGATGCCATTGTCGTTGCTTCTAGATCTTCAATGTCATCATCATCATCACTGCTTTCATCAAAATCATCGGCTGCTACATATTCAACTGTTTCAGTCGCTGGTTCTTCTTGTTCATCATCATCGGACATTAGTTCCAATTCGAGTTCACGTTCAGTTTCCCCATCATCTTGCATTTGTTCAACATCATGACTTAAGGCTTGTTCGAACGCTTTCTGGTGGAAATTATAGATATCACCATAGGTTCCTTTTTTCAATCGTTCCAACAGTTCTTTTTCGATACAATTCTCAAGCCTAGCAGCAATCAATGCTTTCACTTCACGACGTCTATCTCGACGTTCGATTTTCGATGCCAATGGGACAAGTTTTTTTGGACTTTGTAGCTCCAATTTTCTCATACGTATCAAATATTGAGTGATTTTCGTGAGTCGTTGTTTACATTTATGAATCTGATGTTTCGGCCAATACATCAGCTGTTCATCGATTTGCTCTAGAGCTTTTCCATATTGTCGAGATAATTTCACTTTTTCCCATAGTTTCGATGGAAATGCTGCCCGTTCAATGGTTTTGATGTAAAGGAAACATTGTCCTTGCTCTTCGCGTACAGTAGCATATTGACTATTGGCTAATGGACATGTTTTACGACCACAAAGTCCCGATACATTGTACTCATTGCGGCAGAAATTCTGTGTTTTCGTCCTGATAGCGTCAAAATTTAAATACAAACCAAAACTTTTGATTTTTTTCACTTACTTGATCTGATATGAACAAAGTGAAGATGTTAATACGCTCCAGATTACATCGTCGTTTTGCATTTTGGTAGTTTTTTGCTTGAAAAAGTTATTGAGAAACAACAAGATTGTAAATGAAAAGTGTGCAAAAAAAATAACACGTGCACAATGTTGTTGACGGTGCTGCCCTCTGATGGCCAAAATTACTGGATCATTCGAAAATTTAATTGACGAAAAGAAACAATGGCCATGAATTGGGCCAAAACTAGCAATAAAATGTTTGATTAGATGTCCATTCCTTTTTTTGGTGATATAGAATGTCACGAAAACATTCAAAAGTAAAGAGTATTCGTCGACACTCACTACCACCATTGTCACCGACGGTGGAAAAATCCGACAAAAGGACTTCTCCTTCTGCCGATGAAATGGAGGAAAAATCGATGACCATCCATAAATCGGAGAAATCATCACGAATCATGCGAAAACAACAGCCAACGCATCCACGATTAGCCAAACGACAACCGACCATGACGATCAAAATGGCAAAGCATCAGTGCCATCCACAACTATTGCGGAAAAAATCGGTGAAAAATTCGACCGTAAAATTGTTGACAAAACGCCGTCAATCGACAGTGAAATCTGGATTTGAATCACGTCCACTTTCGCCCTCACCAAATGATTATTCACATAAAAAAATGCCGATGAAAAAAATATCGACAATGACCATGAGAAACAAACCGATTCAATCGATGGGTGTGGTGACAAAAACCACAGTCATCAAAACTGATGAAGAGAATAGTCGGATGAAATCGAAACAACAGCGAGATGATTCCAAACAACACCGGACCGCAGAGAGAACAGCAACAACAAAATCAAAACAACAACAACCAGGCAAGAAACAAGCAGCTGTTGCCACACATCATACCGAATCGATGGATCCAGCATCAACGAGAACGACAGCCGAGAATCCTATGTATGTAATGGATGAGAATCAAATGATTGAATTGTTCAAAAGTTTCCTGAAGAATATCAGCTATCAGCCGAAAATACAACCAGAATCAGAACCACCAACACCGCTACCATCAGCGACATTGGCAACACGTGAACAATTACCAATGGAAGATAAGGATGAACTTGAAGAATTGAATGCCGAAATGATTGAACTTTTCGGCCATATAAACACAGTACACAGTTCATATCAGGAAATTGTTCAATCATTGATATCGATACAGAAAAACAATCGCCACCGTAAAACGACCAATAGCAATCGAATGATGATAACGATCACTAAACAGCCACAACTATTGCCCGTGTGTGATGCTGAAAGTGGTGGTGGTGGCGAATCGAAACAGAAAAAAGAATCAATGAAAACTGAAAATCATCAGCAGCCACCAACGCTTGAGCCGTACATGAATCCCGCTACACGTAATGAATCATTCAATCAGCTTTTTCAACGTGTTGATCGAATTCGTTATGAAACGGAACAATTTCGTTCGGCTTTCACGCCCGATGGAACATTGAAACGAGAAATCTATGACAATAATAAAGTTACCTATGGCCAATTTAATCGTTGGCGTCAACAGATACAAGAATTGGCTGCCATTGTCGAATTAATCTTGCAGGAATATAATCGCGAAGTATTGGAATTGTTTCGCTTGTCACAGACTATGTCTGAATATTGAATGGAATCAATCAATTCGATTCAGACTATTATTATTATCATCATCATCATCATCATCATCATCATCATCATCAATCAAATATAAATAAATCAGAAATCAGAAAATTCGTAAATTTCTCAATCATTAGATGGCGCATCATTCTAGCGTGTTTAGCATTAAATTTCAATCTGTCGAACAGAAACAACTGATGTTGGTCGAGGTGAATAATCGGTCGCTGATGGTGATCGTGTTCTATGTTTGTTTGAAATTGAATAGTGATGCCTAGTTGTGGTGGCTGCTACTGGAGGCGACTGGGATCGATGTTGGTGGAAATGAAATCGTCTTGGAGGTTCATAATCTTTGAATGGTGGTGATGCCTGTGTATGTGATGCTGACATTTGATCCATGTTGACACCGTCATCATTATCATCAACATCGGAATCAATGTGTTTGATACGAGTGTTGGATTCAACATTTCGACCATGACCATTCGACACTCGACGTGTTGATGTTCTAGGCGATGATCGTCGACGAGATCGATTCAGTTGTTGTTGAGTGTCACGTCGTTCAAGATCATAATCAACATATCCACTACTGCCACCGATAGCAGTAGGTAAAACATTTGCATTATAATCAGATCCTTTATCATTTTTGTTTCGCCATTTTTTCCTGCAGACCAATGTCCAACAAGCAACACAAATTGTAACTGCAATGAAGATGGCCAGTATGATGAAAGCGAGAAGAAGAATCCAATTCTCCTGCATGCAACTAAAACTTCCGTACAGATGATTATAGCATAATGGATTCGATTGAATACGTGCTACATAGTCCACTCGGTTACGACGAAATATGTCGAATGAATAACTACATCGTCTTCGTATTGCTTCTTCCATACAATCGACAAGATCCCAAAGAAAACAACATGTATGCTTGGTCGATACCGATGATGATGATGATGATGATGATGATGAGGATGAGGATGACGACGATTGTTGATATTGAGGATTAGCCAAACCTTGATGCCAATAAACGGCTGCATTCGAACGACAACGATGAAATTCTGGCTCCAACATCAATGATTGATCACACTGAGCACTACCAGTGGCGAATGGCAGTTGATACATCCACGATGATGGTGAGGATTGAGCCGTTATAAAGGGCATTTGTTTCATGGTTAATAATCGAAATGGATCCGATACATATTGGTTGGTGTAGATAATGGAATTCTTATCGTAATGATGGCCATTCAACAGATGGTTGTTGGCTGTTGTCGATGTCATTCCGGCCAATGATGCAAGTAAATTTTCCGTCAATGAACGTGCATAATATGGATTGTGGTTGTTGTTGTTGTTGGATAATTTATATGGATAAAGCGATTCAGATGTTCGATTCTGATTTAGTAGACCAATCAGAAATAGAATCAATGATGTTTTACTCGCCAATAACATTGTCATTCTGATACGAAAAAGGGTTGAAAAGGTGAAACTATACCAGATGCAGATGTAATGATGTCATCGTCGAATCGAAAGTTCCAAATGATTGCCACACCACATCACCAATCGTGTCTATACAGGCAGCAGCAGCAGAAATCATTTTTGCTATTATGATCACAGACACACGCATTCACAGGCTGAACAATTGAAAACCCGAATTCATTAAGAGTGTGCATTCGATTTCTCTTTATCGTCATCAATCGTTTAACCAGGTGTGCACCAATCACATTGACATATTGTTTTATTATTGGCTTGTTTGTTGAATTGTTCGAATTGGAACAAAACTGTCTATGATGATGATGATGATGATGATGCTACAAAAACATTGACAACGAGTAAATTTCATTTTGATTGCCAATTGTGAATGGATGTGAAATGAACCAATTCGAGAAATGGGAAAATGTTGCATGTTTTGTATGTATAATAATAATAACCCAATTATAATATAATGATGATGATCATCGAATAGAACATTCATTCATTCACATCATGAATAATGATTATGGATTGCCGGCACATCAACTAAAAGTGTTGCCATTCTTTGCTTGGAAACGACGATACAATTGAATGATTGGATGATGATAATAGTGAAAGTGAAAATGTCATACAATCATTCATCGCTGTGCGATTTGAAATGCAATCAATTGATTTGATTTGATTCATTCGTTTGTATGTAGTAGTGTTCAATTTCTAATCTTTGGTCGTGCAATATTCTTGACTTGTCATAATCAAGTTAATAAGTGGTGCCCATTTCAAAACTAAATCTTGAATCGATCGAATATCGATCAAAAACGAATCTGTGTTTGACAAACGGAGAACAACATTCGAACAATCAAATCCCATGAGGTCAAACAACGACCATTGTTGTGTTGACAACAATGGAAAGACGATTTTTGGGAGATTTTTTTATACGAAACAAAAACAAGCTTTACTATTTATTTATTTGTTATGTTATGATGACGATTATATATCCAAATACAGATTATTATATACCACAATTTGATTTACAAAGGTCAATACAAAGAATCACATTGTGTGTTTGTGTGCGTGAGTGTGTAAATGGGTGATATTTGGCACTTCTAGTTATGGATATTATGTGTGTGTGTGTGTGTGTTGTATCGATAATTGATTGATTGATTTGATGATGAGAAATTCGAGATCCACGAAAAAAGTACAAATAAATGAGAATGAGAGAAAGAGAATGATAAATTAGAGCTCTCACTAAAGGTGTTGAGCAAATGGGGTTGAATGGAATGTGACCATCATTGTTTAGGTTTCTCTTGGTGATGATTTTCATTCAACGTCAAGGTGGATGTGTTACGCGATGTTGTCGTTGAATTTGTTGATGGTGGTACAGCCGAATCGGGACTAGATTTCCCGGATGAATCCACTTGTGATTGATTGAGTCGATCAATGGGACGTTGTTTCATTTCTAGTCGTCGACCTGGAATCAATACCTTGAGATTATTGGTCCAGTTTCTTCGCTTCGTCGAATGTGCTTTCTCTATCGCATCATAATGGTCCTGCAGAAAGACATTCTTTTCGTCTGAATCCAGATTGGTTAATTTGAGCCGTAATAATTGTTGATATTGACGACGTGATCGATGCCAACAAACGGTGGCCATACAACAACCCATAACCAACAGCAATATCAACAGAATGATCATGACCACGATGAATGTTATGAAGGCAAACAAACGTTCACAGGCAGGTGATCCTTCCGGATATTTTTTACAATCCAATGTATCATCACCTAGAATGGAATGTGTGAATTTGCCATAGATAAGCTCGTCGGTCATGAAATCATCGAATACACGTTTCGATTCATGGGCATTTTCACACACACGATCAGCCGTGTCCTTCATGAATGTTTTCATTTTCCATAAGCCGCAACACATGAACATGTTGTTATGGTGTTCTACATTCGATTGGAAACAAAGAAAAAAATTAATTAAAATGAAAAAATCATAATCATAATGCTGAATTAATTGAAAAAAGGTCAGTTTCAGTTTGCTTTTCTCTAGCTATTTAACAGCCATTTCAATTTGATTGTTTTTTCTGGTCATCAACATGGATACGAAATTCTTACACTTATTGCATGCTCATCGAAAACCTGTTTGATTTTTATTTATTAGCATTTGGTCATCATATTTTTATTGTCGGAGAAATCAGAGAAATCGGAGAAACCAGGAGCTAATTTCTATTCAAACAAACAACCACCAAACAAGACAGAAAAAATCCACAACAGAATCATAAAATGATAATTTGGTTCTTCACACATTTCCATTGGCAGCAAGTTGTTTCTGTCCATCAATTTTGTGTCAGAGAAAATAACTTTTTGCCCAATTACAAAAAATTGACAAAAACAGGGTCAATGCAATCATACACACACAAATCAAATCAAAATGCAATCGAAACAAATTTTTTCAAAAAAAATTCGATGCCGTCAATTTAGCTAATTCACACCAATTCATTTTCAACAAAATATCCTAATAGAAAGCGAAAAAATTACTTTTATTTTGGATCATCAAAATCCAATTGTCATCATCAACATGATCGAAGGAGGACATCATATAACTAGAGAATGATCAACATATAATTACAACATAGCGCCAAGCATCCGCCAGGCAAGACAAAAGAATTTGCATAAATGAATGAATGAATCCAAGAAAAAGAAAATCCTTGACAATGAATTGGTATTGTTGTGATGAGTGATGAAACGATTTGCAACATTGCAGGTGCATCATCATTATCACGTGGCCATTGGCCATCATCATTATTGTTATTTTAATATTAATATTAATATAGCTCTCTCTCTCTCTCTCTCTCTCTAGCTACTGGATGCCACTAGAAGATGATCATCACGATTATGGATCGAAATCTGTTGTTGTTGTTGTTGTTGTTGTTTTGTTCACGCAACTATTGCACATTCACTTGAAAAACAAAACCATCAATTTAATAGATGTTTGTTATCGAATAATAATCAATAAAACTGTCCAGTGTGTGTGTGTGTGTGTGTTATTATTGGTTCTAACGAAAATTGAATTCTTCATATCATCACCAATGATGTGTTTTATCATTATGGTTATTCAGGGAAAATGGTTGAAAAAATTAAAATTCCAAATCAAGATCAATGATAACCTTGAATTTGGTGTACTGGCATAGTTATCGTTAGCATCACGTAGCAACACGTTAATTAATTGACAGCAAGTGGTATGTGGAATTTATAATTTTCCATTCCATCACATGTCATCAATATATGGAATCGAAGCATACTTGGTGTTTTCGTGTTTTGTTTTCATTCACCACTAAATAGTTTGCTTGACAGGTTGCAATGTTGGTAGACAAAATTGATATATTACTACCATAGTAATAGAATATAATAATATATTCACCAGTGTGGTAATATCAATTCTGAAAAAAACCACCAATTATTACTGCCAATGATAATGGACATCCTGTTGCTTTGTTTATGCCACAATCGATACGATGATGAAATATGCCAAAAGGCAATACAAATTTGACTGATGATCAAATATAAATAAATACTATATCCGCATTGATTCAAATAGAATGGATTAGAATGTTGTTCAGCCATAAGAAATTGGAGTGAGAACGAAATTAATTTGTTCAAAACCTTGGTTATTAATTACAGAAAAAAAATGTAAATCTCGTTGATTAATTCACCGTTTACACACACACAATTTCCCTCGATTAATTGACTAAAATAACGAAATTTCAATTATTGCAACGATCATCAGGCGATCATTAATGGTCGATAAAAAAAGAGCCAGATGAATATTAATTATGATCAATAATCAAATTGCCATTTCATATTTCATTCATCAAGGAAAATAAAGTACATTGAAACACTGAAACATTGAAACATTGAAACACACATGGATTGATTTGCATTTTTTCTCCAAAAGTTCACCATTTTCCTGTATATGTAGAGAAAATGTCATCGTTTAAATATGTGACTAATTTAAACATCAAATGATCCATTCGATCCAATCATCATCATTTAACATCATCAACAACAGGGAAAATAAAACACATTATGACACAGAAACCACATAGATTTGGATATGATCTGAATTTCTCAAAAAAAAAAAAAAACAAACTATGCCAGATAATTATCCAATCTATATGGCTTGTGTTGATACAAATAGTTTCTGATGGCACATTTGTTTGCTGTAAATGTCCAAATTTGGATGTGAAGAGAAAGAGAGAGGAAATAGCCAATTTATAGACAAATCTATGACAATCAAAATATGATAGATAGGTTTGCGTGATAGAACGCAATCATCACCATGGTCAATAAACGATTTGGTCAAATTGAAGAAAAAATCAAGTGTTGAGACAATCAAATGATTGTCACTTGCCTTCAATTATCATCATCATTGATGAAATTGTCTGTGGATGGTCTGTTTGTCAATTGTTTGTTTAGCACATCCCAATTGGTGATCATCAATTGTGTGGTTCCGCATCCGATCATCGACTTCAGACTGACATTTCAATATGTTGCCCTTATATGAAATAAAAAAACACTTGAATTTTGAAGGAAAATTCACATCCAACAAGTGATTTTGAAGGGTTCATTGATCAGACACATGACACATGTGTGTGTAGAAATGCTGAAATCGAAATTCAAATGAATGAAAAAAAAAGTTGAATTTGAAATTCAAAAAACAAAATTCATAACCCGGCCATCAGTAATGATTATGATCAGATTTTGAATGTGTTGAGATATATAGAGAGAGAGGTCAATGAAACTGTTTCTTTCTAGCATAATGATCTATGGCTTGATAAAACAAAATGTTGAAAATTTACATGGTTGGATTTGTTAAATTTGTTAATATTGCATCAACTAACGAAAAAGACATACCTGAAACTTGAAGTCCAACGATTCGTAGAGCACATTTCATCGCATTCAATGTGGCCTCGAATTCTGGTACCGATCGTTGTGATCGTTGATTATGTTGTGAACTTGAATTGAGACTAGTGAAATGTATCGATGATTGATTATCATCATGATGATGGCATGTGGCGTATGAAAATGATTGATTCATCAATAGCCAACACAAACACAGTGGCCAAAAATAATTTAATGAAAATTTCATTCCGATATTTGCACACATTATGGATGCAGCAGCATTAGCAGCAGTCGTTCGAATCGATAATTCCATTCGATTGTCACTTTATATATTGGTGGGACATGAGAAATTCGAATGGCAATGTTTTCTCACTTTACTTTTTTTATTTACTATCTCTTTTCTTTATTATTCAAGTGACAAGTGTTTTTTTGAATTTGACGATTTTCGATATTCACAGAAAAGAATTTTGTCACCGTGTCTCCAGAAGAAAATCATCAACCGATGAATAAATTCAAAATTAAAGCCGAGAAAAAAAAGAGTCACCACCGTTATATACAACTACAACTACAACGATCACAGAGAGATTGTCAAAAAAGAGTTGGCGTGGCGTTGGGGAAATAAAACAAAACAAAACAAAAAAATCAGTTTGGCGGTCTGGATACGACCGATTGTTGTTTGATTATAATAACAATGATGATGATGGTGGTTGTTAATGATGATAATGGTGATGGAAATTCGAACTGGCAACAATTTCCAAATGAAAAGCAGACTACTACCGACCAAACGAACGATTCGAGATATTTGGATTGATGATGACTGAACACAAGTTGAGTGTGATTAAAACATTTTTTCAAACATTTCAGACAGATCAACAGATCAGATCAGCAGCGATCGAAATTTTTTATTTTATTTAGGCTGTGCAGCACTACTAACGAACGAACGAAACGAAACGAAAAATAGAAAGAAAAAGGATCAACAATTCAATATATGTGAAATGCGTTCTGTTCATGATGATGACCAAATTGCATTTATGTGTTGTTGTTGTTGTTGTTGTTTGTAGTAGAAGAAGAAGAAAGAGAAAAAACAGGCGCAGCTATAAAGAAAAAAAAATTGATAGTCGGATGGATGAATTAATAAATGGATAAATGGATGGTAGTCGCCTGATCTCGAAGGCTAAAAATGTGAGGAGAGAAAGTATGTTTGATTTGTTTCGTTTTTTATTTGATTTTTTTAATTTTGTTGATCTCGACTTTGAGACACTTGCACCAAAACAGCAACAGCAGCAAGCACATGCACAACACTACACACACTTTTGCGTGGGAGCTCTCAATTTAAATTGAATTTTTTTCGTCGAAAACCGAGTGTTATGGATTAGAAAATTGTCGAATGTTCTACCACTTGTAGACATTTACAATCTATGGCTATCACCTGCAGGTTGCCCAAGAATTTTTTTGACAGGGCCTGCCATTCAACAGAGGATAATGAAACAACGGTTTTTTGCGAGGCAAAACAATTCTTTATCTGAGTTACTGCTATTGTTGTTGCTATATTGACAGTACACTGCCTACCACCACCACCATCAAGGTCAGGTACTGCTACCAAAAATGAGAACGCCCATCCATAAACTTTGACCCAACCACTGTATATTTCAATCCATTGATTGATTGAACGATTGTTGTTGTGCGGTGGTGGCGATCATAAATCAAGTTTGAAGATGGCCAGTGGTGATAAATATTGAAAAAATATCAAGACAAAGATAAGAAATGCTGGACGAGTCTATTATTTCTGTTTTTTTTTTGTTTTGTTTCACCCCGCAGGTTTAATTAATCAATCGTTTTCTTTGGGAGAAAAAAATTGGTTCGGATTTTTGGAAAAATTACGACGCATGATCCTTGCTGAGCATTCCTTTTCCGCCTTTTTCACTTGAATGATCCAACCGACTGAATCGGTATTGCCATTTTTTAGATAACCTTGTTGACTTGAGTGGTGATGATAATAAAAAACTGCTGATTTTTTCTGATTTCTGATTTGATTGAATGATTGTCATCTGAATTCATCTTTAATGACACATGTTGTTTATTGCTTGTCATCATCATAGTCAACAATCATGGTGGAAATGATGATGATGATGTTTGCATTGACATTAATCGACGACTATTGTATTAGTCGATATTGGGCTGTAATAAACACATATTTGATGGATTCAGTCTATTCAGTTTATATTTGTGTGCCATAAAAAAGCTAATTTGGAAACGAAATTATCCATTGGATACATTAACTATTAACTATATGATGATTTGCCATTTGATTTACTGCATTCATGTTCGGAATGAACTTGTTGTTAGTGAGACATATTGATTGGTAAGTGTAACAACAGAAGCCTCTAAATGAATGAGCAATGAATGAATTAATTATCCAAACTGGAATGGGCCAATGTCGATGGATATTGTGAAAGGCCAGTCGTCATCATTATCACTAAATATTCGCCAATCTAAACTTGTTTCATTTTCTAGGATCAAGTTTTCTTCTCTGTTACCGTATGGATATGATTCATCGTCATGTGTCACAATTTGGGCAGGTGGATCATTCATATTTGCATATCATGCAACAAACGTGGACTGCATCGGTCAATCAATCAATCACTCGATAATTACTCAATATAATTAGTCAATATGTCATAAACTAAAGAATCGTAGAGAAGAAAGGGAAAAATATTTTACTTTCACAATTCCGAACACACACACACATTGAATACATCCGACCTTGGATGGCTGGAATCAAACTGGCAAATTATCATTCATTATTATCATCATCATCAACGTTAATTGTGTGTGTGTGATTAATTTTGATTCAACTTGTTGTTGGTAATGAATGAAATGAAATGTCGTCACCAGCTCGATAATTATTGTTGGTTTTCTACATTTTTTTCCCAAAAAAACTCGATGTGAATTTTGCCTGATTGATGTGATGATCAGTGCGTTGACCAAACAAACCGAAAGAGCCCAAAGCAAAATGTTTTAACCAGTGCTGAATGGGTATATTTGATTTAAAGGTTAAAACAAAATCAACATGGATCGATTGTAATCGTTGTTGTGGTTGAGAATGATTACCAATCATTATTATTATCAGGGTGTGTTGGTCTTGTGTGATTTTCACAACTTTCTAAATTTCCCTTTTTCACATAAACATAGACCTGTTGATTACTTTATTGATTGCTGGATTACGTGAACAATTTCCATTTCGGTTTTTGTTTTGTTATGAACCACCACCACCACCACCATCATGAATGAATGAATGAATGATCATCATTAGTATGGTGATGACGAAAGTGGATTCGATTGTACCCTGACAATGAAATGGCGAAGAAATTATTTATTCATCTCAGATGCCAACTCGTTAATTAACAATGAACACGCAAACAACAATTGGAAATGGCATTGTTTTTGTTGTTGATGATGTTGTTGTTGATGTTGTTGTTTGCATCGAGTGAATGTTCCAGAACATCGAGACAGAGATAGATTGATGGCCAAACCCAACACTGAGAATGAATGGCAATCGCCATACCTACATCTTTTGATTGATTATTGTTTGATGTTCAATGTTTGATCATGGGATGACAATTCGGATATGTGCATTATGGTGTTAAATTCACATTGCTGTGTCAATTTCCACACATCCATTGTTCATCATGATATTATTCATTGTTTTGTTATACAATTTAAATCTACTAGTTTTTTCAATTAATAAATAATTTCGTTTGACGAAAAAAATAAATTAAAAATCAAATTCGCCATCTGACGGTGGCGAATGCAATTGAATTTTTGAAATTCGAACGAAAAATTTTATTCTCATGCAGAGAGAGAGAGAGAGAAGAAGAGAGAGAAATTTTAAAATCCCAAATCAAATAATAAGCCAATGATGGCTCGATTAATGTGCCATCATCATGATCTACATGCGTTTATAGACACGAGTCCAAGTGACAGTGTTGTAGGTGGATTTCACTGTACAACCGGCATCAGTGAATTCTCTCACAACATTCACCACTTTGCCACCATCGGCCGATGTTTTCTTCTGCACCATTTTGTTATCACATTCCATGGTGACGACATTCTTGAATTTATGTCCATTCATGTCGTCTTCGAATTCTTCGCCCACTTTGAATTTGATCTCATGAGCAATGCCGGCCGTTTCGCTTTTGATGTGATACACGTCACCATCTTTGCAGATTTCCATGGTCGAAGTTTTCGAGAGATCAACGTTGGTCATGTCGACGTCAAGGCCTAAACACAAACACATTAACCAAATTTGAAGCCACATCCGACAAATCACTACTTGTACTTACCCATTTCTTTGACAAATTCTTCGAAATGTTCCGAAGATTCCATTTGATATTTTCCTTCGATGGCCATTGTTGTCGTTTGTTGTTTCGGATGAAAGCAAATCAAAAATCAAAGTCGAAAAATTTATGGTGGGCACGAGAAGACTGTTATTTATTATTCGGTGAATGGTTACCGTATGAAGCACAAACTGGAAAATGCGTCGATATTTATAGAGACTGAGAATGAAGCAACCCGATTCGTAATCTGAAATCGGATATACAGATATGTAGATACGACAACAACGACAACAACAGGGCGGAGACCTCTGTGTTGATAAATTTGTCATCAATTACAACAGTGAGTTTGGTATGTGGTAAGGATTCAAGAGTGGGACGCGATGATGGTCACGTCCGTTATTTGAGCATGGTTTTCAGATTTCCATTTTTTGAAATTTGATTTCCATATCTGCGTATGTGTGTGTGTATGTGTTGGAATGTTCGAATTGCTTGCATGTTTCGATGGTAGATTATTATCTCACTGAAATGACACATGTAACACAATGTATGATCTGTTTTCGTTTTTGTGAAAAACAATTCAATGAATGAATGAAAGAATGATAATGATGTTGTTTTCGTTATCGTTTTGTGATTCATTCATTTGATCATCGATATACTGATATACTGATATATTAATCCATCATGCGATCAATGGATGATGAAAGGGTTCTTCTTCATAGAAATGTACTGAAAAAAGAGATTCAATCCAATGATGATTAGTGTATGTGTGGTTGCATTAATTAAATTAATATCACCATCATCATATCGAATACGTCTGGCGGTTTGTCCTTCGAATCAAGTTATCACTCTGTTGTTACACTGAACCCATCTTGATTCGTTCTCGAGTGATATGAAACTTTATCATTCATTCGGATAGTGTCAAAATAAACAACCAAGTCGTATCGTATTATTTAAGGTGTCAAAAACGCCAAATCGGAAATGAATGAAAATCTGGACAAATTCACAATTTTCATTATGCACAGTTATCCGACTTTTCTTCGGAAAATTGTTGAAAAAAGACACAAATCTGATTGTTGATTGATTGATCTGTTTGTTTATTAGTCTGATGCTTTTCATTGATTGATTTGATTGATTGATTGATTTGTTCTGCATTATGTCGGCTGTCTTGTGGACCTGTGTTTTCGAATGGATAAGTTAAAATTTTATTTAAAAAACAAAGTCAAAATGATAACGAATCTGTTACTTGGAAATGGGGGGTGTTATTGCTTTATTGCATAGTGGAGCAAACAATTGATTTGATCAAAAGCCAATGATGATACATGGTGATAAATCAAACTATTTGTTGATCTGAGAAACTAATCAAAACATTCGAAATATGCAATCGAAGCGAATAATTTCTTCATGTTTCACATGCATAATCATGATGATGATGATGATCATTATCAAGGCATCATCATCATCAGCATCGATAGAACAGCCAAATGATTTGGTTCTAAAATGTTTTAATGGACAATTGGATCTGATCCAGCAATGTCAACAGCATGCAGCCGGTGATTTCAGTCCATTTGGCCGTCATACATGGATATCAACATTATGGCAAACATGTTGCATCATTTGGGAACAATTACAATGCTATCAATTGAATGCCCGACGTTGGTGTTCACCATCATTAGCATTACAAGTTATTTGGTATGCAAAGCTTCGATATCAACAAATACAGCAAACATTATGTCGTCAAATTGAATGGGTCAGATATTGTGATCATCATGATCCGATTCCGGTACCGAATAAACATCGATTCATATGGCCATTATCGAAGGTCACAGCCAGAACTGAACATTGTTTACAGCAATTAAAAACACACGTTATTCGATTCAAGAATGGCACGAAAATCACCGTGGATCTTGCCAACGAATGTAATGATCAAATTGTGGACAAATATGAACAAAAAATTCAAACAATGAAAATAACATCTGAAGATACGTGTTGCGCCATCTATGAACTATTCGGTTGTATTGAGCATCATGTTCAAACGGTATGCACGAAAAATGATCGAAAAGATTGGCTTGATTACCAACGACGAATTCTGGACACAATTTCCGCAATGACCATGTGTCGACTGTATCCATATAATTCGAAGGAATTGAATCGATGTCAACATCGGAAACCTGATAATAATCATCATCACAGCCACCATCGTGATCACTGGAAAGGTAATAAATTGATCAAGCAAATGGCATTGGTTGCATTCGTCATCATAATGATGATTATTTCAATCATCCTATACATTTCGTATAAACGACAATGTTCACATTGAAACGATGAAATTAAACGTTTTTATTATTTATTTATTATATTATTATTATGGGGTCATTCAATAAATTTGGAAATTATTTTTGGAAAACAAACAAAATGACAAAATTAATGATGAATGCAATCGCAATCTGGCTTTTGGTTTAACGACCCCATTTTTTCTTACCAAAACCTTTTTTGTATCCGCCTTTACCGTAGCCAAATCCGCCTTTACCATGGCCAAATCCGCCTTTACCATGGCCAAATTTTTTATATCCACCACCAAAGCCTTTCTTTTTGGCCTCAACAGCCAGTTGGTGACGAAGCGATTGCCATGATGATCATGGTTACGATGGCCAATATGAATGAAATCGATGCAAGTTTCATGATGCTGAGGAGCTTTGTTGTTCTTGAAGAATCACTTTACTTTTCGACAACAATAATGATAATTCTCCGTTGGTCAAGCTGGCCCTTTTTATATTTATTCTTTGCGAAAGAATCCATTTCAGACCAGGAAAGGGGAAATCCGCGAATCAATGAAATGACTGTGATTTTCCCTCGAAATGCTCGAATCTGTTGTGTGTGTGTGTGTGTGTAGGTATAAAGCAATGGATGGATGTTCATGGTCATCCTGTGTTTTTTTTTTGTTTCTAGTTAATTCATTAATCTGGCTGATTTGTCTGAATATTTTTTTAGGATTACATAAACAACATTGGTTGGTTGGTTGGTTGTGAAATGTGTAATTCATTGGAAATTACGTTCTTAATGGACATTGAGTTTTTGAGTTTTATTGTTGGATGAATGATCAAGAATTAATTAACGATAAATAATAACTACAACAAAATTTTATAGGAAATATTGACGTGGATGCATTGAATTTTGATAAAACAGACAATTTTCAAGGATTTGACATTTGTAGTATGTGAATGCGCATTTTTGATATTTCATATTCAACGGCATACAGGATGAGTTTGCCTTTCTACCTTTCCGGCTTTTACCGATTTCTGGATGCCACTGTATCAATAATGATGTTACTTGGCTTGGTGGTTAATATAATCATCAGGAAGCAATCCATCACCAGCACTTTTTCCTTTTCCCTATTTTACGGGTGCTAGGCTGAATGGATGTAGCTGGAGCAATGATATTTGTAGCAATCACTTCTGTTGGTTCAGATTGGAATGGTTTCTTTTGCTCATTGTTTAGAATCTTTGCCATCTGCACGGTGGTCATGACTATCATCATGATCAATAGAAACCATGTTGAATTGAATTTCTTCATCGATAATGAATTTTCAAATGAAATTGGTTAATTGGTTGCTTGGTTGTTCTTATTTATATATGTAATGTTGCCAACAATTCTATATTGACAAACTTGTTCATGGATGATTCTATTCAATGTCATGATAATGTGATTGAGAAACGAAACGAAACGAATCAGAATCAGAATCAGAATAACGAAGAAATCACATGGGATTAATTGAATTGTAAATATTTAATCAAAATGAACAGACATGAGAAATGTTTTTTCTATGCAGAGAAAATATATGGACAAAAAATGCATTCAAACAATGTTTATCTGTATATGTGGCACTCAATCCTATCAATTTAACCCAAATGCGAACCCCAGGTTTGTGGTTGTGCAACGGCAGCTGCAGGTTGTCCATACGATTGATGAACAGGACCAGCGGATTGACCAGCACGTACGGCAATGGCAGCAATTGGTCGAATGGTCAACGTATTCTGATGGCCAGCAGCGGCAGCTGAAGGTGAAGCAAATTGGGCACCACCAGGACCTAATTGCAATGTGGTCATGTGTTGTGTTGGAACGGCTGGTGATGCTGAAGCAGCAACAGGCGAAGCAAATCGGGCGCCACCAGCACCCAATTGTAATGTGGTCGTATGTTGTTGTGGAATCGATGGTGAAGAATATTGGCCAAGTGAAACAGCGGCAGGCTGATGAACAGCAACTGGTGGTGAAGCACTTCGAGCAACTGGGGCCGAATGAACAGCAGCAGCAGCAGGTGCGGCACCATCGCCACCCAAAACTTGAAAACCACCGACACCAGCTTGATATTTGACTACACGTTGTTTGCCATCAGCATCGACGAATCCATATTGACCTTGCACAGTGCCATCGGGCAATCGCGATTCTTCACGGAAACTATTGCCATCACCAGTTCGATAACCAAACTGTATTTATTCATCGAATAGAGATAGTTAGTGGTGTTTGAAGAGAAACGGAAAAAATTCTTGAAAACTTACTCGATAATCACCTGCTAGATTTTCGCCAATCTGAGCATAATGGACCGAAGCTGGACGATGTAATGGAGTGGTTGGAGCAGCAACAGCATATCGTTGAAGTGCAGCATTAGTAGCAGGTGCAACACCGGAAGCGTATTGTGGAGCTTGTGCTGGAGCAGCTGCTAAAGCTTGTGGTTGTGGTTGCGGTTGTGGTTGCAATGTTTGATGTTGAACTTGCCAACCATAATTGGAAGGAATGGCCGAGGCCGCTTGAACTTGCGGTTGAGCTTGGTATTGGGCTTGTGGTTGCGCCGAATACTGAGCTTGCGGTTGAGCCGAATACTGAGCTTGCGGTTGAGCCGAATACTGAGCTTGCGGTTGAGCCGAATACTGAGCTTGCGGTTGAGCCGAATACTGGCTATATTGACCAACAGAAGCAGCAGCAGCAGAAGCGGGTGAATAACCGGCAGTGGGCGCCGAACCATACACTCGGATTGGTTGACTCAATTGTTGTGGCGATAGATTATATGCTTGGCCCAATGTAGCCGAAGTTGATGGCGTTGGTGGTGTATAGTATTGACCTTGGCCAGCTTGGCTCAATGCATGTTGACCATTTGCTATGGCTAGGATGGCAGCCAATATCGTCGTTAACTATAGGTGTAAAATGAATGTGCAGAATGGAAAAGGCAAAATTAGGATGAAATTCAATGTTCAATAAATGTTTCATATCAAATTCACCATAAAATATTTCATCGTTTCGTCTCGTTTTTTTGATGGCGATGATTTATTCACAATTGGTCACTGTCAAAGTTGTGTGGACCAAACAAACCAAATGAACGAATGAACCATTCATGTTTATGATCATTGGATTTTTATGATGTCCACAATGGCCACTATTAATGTGATAGAAAAGAGAATCGAAATGTTTAACATGCTTTTTATTGAAAGTTTTCTCACTTACCATTATCGTGTGCTGAATTCAATATTGAATATCAATATGGAAAATATGGCCAAAAAATTATGAGAGAGACAATCTTTGAGATCGAGAACGAGAGAGAAGGATCATGTGTTTTGGAAATTAAATTTGATCATTCATTCATTCATTCATTTAGCATTTGGATCAAGTTTGATTTCTGATGGATTGATCTAATTTTGCCAACAAACAAAATGAAATCAGGCCAACATATTGCTGGTGGAAAATTGTAACAAAATTTCACACTTTTAAATTAGTTGAGCTTGATGAAAAAATCGGCCAATCAATCGATTAATTCCATTCGAATCGAATATCAATAATAATAGGGCGGTGATAGATTTGAACTTGTGGTGAATGGTCTATTGGGTACTATTGTATTTTCTGGATGTGGACTGTCACTGTGAATGGAATGTGTGCATCCCGCGTCGTTTACCTTGAGAAATTATCAATGCTTTGTTCCACCAGCTGCATTTCGATTGAATAAATTGGCCATATTTTGTGTTGATGGGCGCCAAATAATCAGGGTCAACGCACACACACAAAATGTGTTTTGATGGAAAATTTGTTTTTATTGCCCTGATGATGATGATGACAGGAGAAAAAGACAATGAATGATGATCCAGGTGGGTGTGGCCGACAATGAATTGGCCATTCACAACACACATGTGATACAGTTTTTTTTATCGTCGTCAGTTATCTGCAGTTTTTCATGCAGACAACAAAACAGGACCATCAAAGTATTGTTTTGTTCACAGGCAAAACTTGCAATTCCGATTGGAAATTCTTGTTCAATTTCCAACACGAAGGACGATAGATTAGTTTTTTTATGCATCAAATGGGCAAACAATGTCAGTCTCAATGGTCAATGGTGTGAGAGATGAATGGAGGTTAAGGTCATCTCATTATCATCATCACCGATAATCGATCGTTTGTTTGTTTGTCATGAATGCGAATGGCCATTGATGATGATGATTGAAAATTGGAAATCGATAACCACAAGCACCTTGGGCAAAAACACAAACATCAATTCTTTGTTGCCAACAAGTCTAATGAGTTTATTTTTTCAACACTTGTTAATTACACACATGACAAGTGAAATCTAAATCTAAATCCAAATCCAAATCCAAATCCAAATCAATATAGGATTCGAATGTAATCTAGTCATGTTGAAATAGCCAACATGATGAATTCGAATTGGACAAAAAGTTTTCATTTCACTTCATTTCACTTTCATCGGTGGTGACAACATGTGATGAATTCAATTCTATTCTTGGAGATTATCCAATCCTGTAAGTAGAAAGACATTTGCATTTGTTTTCATGATTTATTAATCACATACTGATCTGATTTATTTATGGCTGTGATATTTGATCACAAATCGGATTTTAAAGATATGCTGTTAATCTGGCCACAATCAATAAGAAATCAACACATGCAATTTGCTGAGTTTGGAAATGATAATAAAATAAAATTTCTTCTCAATTTGATGGAAAAAGAAAATGCAATTTGAATTTCATGTTCATCACCATCAAGTTCTATGTGATATGGCACACGATTTTATGATTTTCCAATGCATTGCAATGAGGATCAAACGCGTGATTACAATGTTACTTACGCCCAACAACAAACAGACAAACAAAACAAACGAAACAAACAAAACAAAACGGCCAACAACAATCGAAATTTTCGTTTTTGGGCTTCAAATTTATTATTCAAGCAATCATCTGATATCATCATGAAGAAGCATGAAAATCGAATCAAATCAAATCGATAATCATGGTCCATTTGGACAAAAAAAATGGTAAACGATCACGATGATCACGATCATGACACATGGAATCACATGGTATGGCCATTGGACATTATGATTTTTTAAATGTGTTTGTTTAAAAACTTGTTGGTTAACGAATGTCAAACGTAGTTTTGACATTTATGGAAATTTTTCTCTGCCTTCTCAAATTCACAAATATTTCTGTGGCCCATGCACATGAATAAAAGAAATTGGGCCAGACCTATTCGGTGGTGTATCATCGATCAATCATGCAATGATGATTTATATTATCATTATGTACGTACAAATTAGCCCTGCATGAATTAATCAATCAATCAATCAAATCAATTGATGGATCGTCGATTAGGCCATGGCCATGGCCATTCATGAATATCAAACAAATCTATAGCCATGATGGCCATCACCACCACACCTATGATGTGACACCAAATGCTGTTTGTTTCCTTGCCCCACACTTGGACAATTAATTTGATCTAATTTAGAGTGAGTTTGATTTGTTCTCGATTAGTTAGTGTTGATCAACAATAACATGTCCATAGGGTATATCTGACCCAAGTTTCTGCTTTTATCATCGTTATCCGTATGAATGAGAATCACAAATGTCACGATCTCGATAAAAGAAAAGAAAAAAAATTGCCTAAATTACTTAATATCAAGCTACAAAGTATGGGTGTGTGTGTGTGTGGTGATGATAAACATATGATTATGTGATGATGGTGGAAGTCATAGTAGAAATGTTGATCGAAAACTAGATTCGAACACACACACACACACACACTAGGCATAACTTTCTCTTTCTCGAACGAAGGGAAGCGATCGATTTTGAAAATCAATTGAAATCACAGCATAACAATAATATTCAGGCGCCCTGATTGAGTTCTCTCTCTCTCTCTCTATTCATGTCGTGGTCATGTTGGTGGTGGTTGTGGTGGTGGTTCCGAACGAAATTACAAGTTCATCAAAGTTCAAATTGGTCACCGATCCCCCGAGTATATAAGACACAATTGTTCATTGATCATTCGACTCATTTTTCGTTGGATCAATATACCTCTTGTGTTTGTTTCCTGTGTCGATTTTGATTAATTTCCCCATTCATTCATGATGCTCATCGTAAGTCATTGTGATGTTGAAATGTATCTGATATGATGTATAATGAAATGATGATTCATTTGGTTTCATTCAGGCATCGTTTGCCCTGACAATATTGGTTGGCTTTAGTCGTGGTCAACAACAACAGCAACATGTGCCATCATTGAGTCCATATCAAACGGGATCTCAACTACAAACAGCCACAACGCCCAAACCATACTATCCACCAGCACAGGTTCATTATGTGAATATTGGCGAAGATTTAGCTGGCGATTACAAGGTTAGTGGTCACAAGAATAGCACTGTCAATTGTTATTCACATTCAAATACATGTAGTTTGGCTATGATACTGGCAAAAATGGTGCTGGACAAAGTTTCCGTGAGGAAACACGATTGCCCGATGGTACAGTGAAAGGTGCCTATGGATATATCGATGCCGAAGGCAAACAACGCATCGTCAAATATAGCGCCGGCATTGAAGGTTTCAAAGTAGAATCGGATGAAGAAGCACCCGGACAAGCAACTGGTACGGCTGCAAGAAATGCAGCAGCAGCAGCAGCTCCCGTTGTACGAACATATTCACCACCACCACCACCACCACCAAGACAAGCATCTCCATTGGTCACTGCAGCACAACCACAACAACAATTATCACCGATAACGATAACACGAGGCGATCCACAAACCCTAACAATACGTAGCGTAGCCAGTGGACAACAATTACAACCAATTTCTATTCGAACCTACGTTGCAGCCAATGATACGAGCTACGCTACAACAAACAATGGCCAATCGTCGATTTATTCTGCTGCCACACCAATTTCAGCATCCGGTTCACCAGCTTATCGAATCATAACGTCACCTGGTTCATCATCATCAGCAGCATCGGCCTATCCAGGATATACAACTGTAGCACAGACAACAGGGATGAGCCAACCACAATACATGTCTCAGTCTCCTAATTTAGCAGCTGGTGGCACCAATCAATATTCATCACCATCATCATCATCGTCATCAGCAGCAGCAGCAGCAGCATATCAACAGCCAACAGTGATTACTCGGACAGCATCATCACCCGCAACAGCAATGACATTATCCGCTCTATTGGCACAAGTTGCCCGATCATCACCAAATCTAAGTAGTGTTGGTGGTGGTGGTGGTGGTAACACTCAACAATTATCTTCATTACTTCGACAAGCGCCTGCAACCGCATATAGTGGATCGCCATTCTCGTCGGCTTCAATTTATGGAAATCAACCAGCTTCTCTTGCTTCCGCTGCTGCTCAACCGCAACCCGAACAGGAAGCTACCACATGGGGACCACCGGTCATCAATAAAGAGCTCTTGAGTTATAATATAGGTGTTCAACAAGGTTGATGATGAGTACAACATATGCCAAATAATGAATTGTACAAAAGAAAACAAAAACACATTTCTTGTTCTCATCACCATGACCTTTTTTCATTGAAAAAACGATGATTCATTTTCTTTATTCATTTGATGCGCGATTATGGGTTATTTCATTATGATAATCGATTATTTACATTCATTCAAATTGTGAGCAATTTAATTTAATCTACTTCTATACTTCTATACTTCTATTCTCTCGCTCTCTGTGTATGTGTGCGAATTGTGACAGGAAGGACAAATTTGTCAGGTTCGGGTGGAAATTTCGGGAAATGTGTCGAAAATTTCTGCCACTGTCAGTGATATTGATCGTAGATATTTAGGTCTCGATTTTCGGCCCGATTTTGATGGCACTTCGGGCATTGGACCCAGTTTTTCGCATTTATCCGAATCTTCGGCATATTCACCACAAAAGAAATTCAATGCATTCGAACTGGTCGATTCAATCAATTCTTCGACCGTTTCCATTTCTTTATCCGAACATTTTGCCTCATTACGGCCACCGTCTTGGAAACATTTCCGTAGTGTGTAGTATTCGCTATGAGTGATATTAGAATTGAGAGTGTGAGTAAATCATGACCATCACATATTACACTTACCAACAAGTGTAGGGAATTTTCTTTTTGTTTTCACTGAATTTGATCCGATGTAGACGTTGAATCAGATTCCGGTGACATTGGTCGAAATGTTCGGATGCTCGTCGAATGCAACCAGACGCCGAAAGAAATTGCCGTGCTTTTTTCGAATTCTTTTTGCAGATACGTGACATTGATCCTTTGATCGTGTAGACGAGAATGTTGAAATATTGCTTGGGCAGACCATGTTGACATCGTTTAGCGTATGATTCGATCAGACGAATATCGGAAAACTGTCCTCTGCAATGAATCAACCGAATCAACACTCATTCACAGCTGAAAAGCAATTCACTTACTTGCAATAATCGTTCAATTCCTGTTGATTGGTTGGGAATGGTCTGGATACATTGCCATAGCCACTGATGCGACCGAATACTGTATCAACTTCACCTTCGGCTCCTTTTTTGCACGGTAATTCGGCGTTTCGACGACGGATTCCTTTGCTCTTATGAGACCGGTGGTGACTGCTGCTTCCACTACTACTACTACTACTACTACTACTACTACTACTACTACCACCTCGTTTCGAATGTTTGGACCGTCTTGCCTCGATGATGTTCATTTCGAATAACAGAATGACCATAATGGCCACAATACAGAATCGAGATAATTTGGGCAACATTGATGAAATGTGTTTACTCGGCAATCAACTGATCGGAAATGAAATGAACATTGAACATTGATATTGTTTGGCAAGACATTCGACGAAATCTCCATTGAGTGAGAAATTTCTCTCTCTTTCTCGTCAGTTTTTTCCATTCAATTTTCGTTGAACGATGAGACGGAAATCAAAGATTAATAAGTAAACTTAACTATGTGTTGATGTTTATCCCGATATAGTAGCAATCCGATTCGAAAATAGCCACCTGGATGCAAATCAAAGCGACGATACGGATGTTGTGATGATTTTGAAACTCTGTCCACATGATTGTTGTTGCCGTATCGCGCCAAACGAGGAAGTAGTTAAATGGATCATGACTTGTCTGATGTTTATCATTTCATCATTATCTCTCACGTTTGCAGTGTGTGTCGTTTATTATGTGTTTTCTTGTCATTTTTCCGTTTTCGTTTTTTTCTTCACGAAAAGCACGGGCTGTGACTTGTTCAGTTTATTAGTTATATTTCTAGATTTCGATATTTTCCTCCTATGATTCGACTATTGAGTTGATCAATGGTTGATTGATTGACTGATTGATCAATGGTCAATCGACGGATGAAATTGAAAATTGTGTTTTACAGCTGACGATGCTGCCACCATACACTAATCGTCTGTTCAGATGTGTTGTGTTTGTTTTTTCGATGCACACTCTAAACTCATATGTGAATGAAATTTTTCTGGCAATCAACCAAAGTGATCAACATTTCGACCTTGATATCGATATATATCAACAAGCATAAACGATTATTATTGGCAACCGTCACTTTATCAAGAGGAGCATTAAGCGATACAAGTCTCTTAATAATAATTCCGATTCCGATTCACCGGCAATGATCAAAGTGGTTGAAACGAAACCATTCGAAGGTCAAAAACCGGGTACAAGTGGCCTTCGCAAACCGGTACAAACATTTCAGCAACCAGGTTATCTGGAGAATTTCATTCAATCTATTCTGGATGTTTCGTTGGCCGATGTAAAGAACAGAAATGCCGTACAACTAGTGGTTGGCGGTGATGGCCGTTACTATTCGTCACAAGCGATCCAGACAATCATCTCAATGTGTGCCGCTAATGAGGTAATATATATAGCATATATGGTTCATAATTGATTTGATTCCATTTATTTAATCAACTATAGGTTGGCCACTTGATTGTCGCTCACAATGGCATAATGTCAACGCCGGCCATATCAGCCGTGATTCGCGCACGAAATGCACACGGTGGGATCATTCTCACCGCTAGTCACAATCCAGGCGGCATTAACGGTGATTTTGGTGTCAAATACAATTGTGCAAATGGTGGTCCAGCACCTGATCAGGTGACCAATGAAATCTATGCACGTAGCAAACAGATCAAACAATACAAACGTCTGGATCCTTCGATGCCCGATGTAGATGTTGGCCGAATTGGGCAGCATGTCGTCAAGCATTCCGGCGGTGAAATGATGGTCGATGTGGTCGATTCTGTTGACATGTATCTGAATCTGTTGAAGACAATCTTTGATTTTGAATTGTTGCGCAAATTTGTCTCCTCCAAGCGATTGCTGATTGATGCAATGAACGGTGTGATGGGTCCTTATGTTCGTCGAATCATCGTGCAAGAGCTAGGAGCCAGTGCCGATGCAGCCATACGTTGTGATCCTCTGCCTGACTTTGGTGGCCACCATCCTGATCCGAATCTGACGTATGCAGCCGATCTAGTGGACAAGATGCGTAACGGTCCGTATGATTTGGGCGCTGCGTTCGATGGTGATGGCGATAGAAACATGATTCTTGGTGCCAAAGGTTTTTTCGTCACTCCGTCCGATTCGTTGGCCGTATTGGGCGAAAATCTCGAACGAATTCCATATTTTCGCCGTGATCGTGTCAAAGGCTATGCCAGATCGATGCCAACTTCGAGAGCAATGGATCAGGTGGCCAAAAAAACCGGTCTGAAATGTTATGAAACGCCCACTGGTTGGAAATATTTCGGCTCACTTTTGGATGCAGGGCTTGTATCGATTTGTGGCGAGGAAAGTTTCGGCACCGGTTCCGATCATATTCGAGAAAAGGATGGCCTGTGGGCTGTACTTGCTTGGTTGTCGGTTATGGCAACTATGCCTGATGATCAGTCGAACAGTGTCGAATCAATTGTTCGCCAACATTGGCGTACATATGGCCGCTGTTATTATTGCCGTTATGATTACGAGAATTGTGATGCCCGATCTTGTGAGACGATGATGTCTACTTTGGCTGCGAAAATTGCTGCCAATCAACTGCCCAAAACAATCGAATCGGACGGGACAACATATCATGTTGATGAGGCCTTTAATTTTGGCTACACTGATCCTGTATCAGGTGAACAGGCAAGCAACCAAGGTCTGGTCATTCAGTTCAATGGTGGTGCATCTCGAGTTATGTTCCGGCTGAGTGGAACAGGATCGACCGGTGCTACCGTGCGATTGTATATTGAACAAATGGAAATGGACTCGGAAAAAGCCATCAACGGTAACCAAGAGGATTATATCCGACCATTGGCCAAAGTGGCATTGCAATTGTCTTGTTTGTCCGAATTTACTGGTCGACAACAACCAACAGTCATCACATGAGAATTGTTTTATTGTTTATTGTTTATTGATTATTTTATTATTAATGTGTTTATTGGGCAAATGACATGAATTACATCGATTACAATGCGATGAGGTTATTTTCGCACATCGTCCACAGTGGACACAATGCCATATTGGTTTTGTCGAGTCTCTTGCGGGACATTGTCCACATCGGTTGCAATGGCGATTGTTTAGAAATATTGTCCGCGAACATTGGTCACACCATCGATATTGGTCGGGATCGATGGCGCTGAAATTGGCCAGATTCAAATTGGTGAACATACGAACCGGTGATTGAGCCACGGTGGACGGTTTCGATGATTGTCGGCTGCCGTATTTCGTATGATTGTCGTATGTAACGATGAAATCGGTTATTTGAACTTGGTCACTTTCGAACGCCTTCCGGATCCAGTGTTCATTGAAATAGGGAAAGAACAGTGCTATCGAGATTTCGGTCATCCGTCGGTTGCACATTCGGTGTACGGTCCGAGCTAGACATTCGATGAGTCCACCGAAAGGGGGATCAATCAGAATGAGAATCGAATTGTTGTGTTGTATGAACTGCTCGAATGATTTCAGGCCATGTTGGTCGAAAAAGTGTCCATTGAACATGTTGAATCGAGCGAATCGATCGGCCTCATAGAACTGATGATATCTGGCATCTAGATCCAACAGGAATGAATTGTGGGACAACGACAGCAGTTGCTCGTGAACGGTTGGACATCCAATGCATAGTATTTTGTCGAAACCGAATGGCTTCACTAGATAATCGCGGATAAACAGCAAAGTCTGCGCGGAGAAGAAATATTGTGCCAGATTCTCATTACGAGTTTGAGGTGTGAGTAGATTCCGACATGGCCGTTCGACGAGTTCCTGGAATTGTTGGTCATCGATACGATTCTTGCATTTGTCATGTTCGATTCATAGTGTTTGGCCAATACTTGCTCATCTTTCACCACAGCGATCAACACACGACAACAGTCTAGGCAGTAGCCATGTCTGGCTGGATGGTTCAACAGATACTGATAATCGGGTTTTATTCTTTCGGGATTTTTTATCAGATTCTTTGAACTGGCCAGACGTTTCCATTTTTGTGCCGACAATTTGAACGGACAGAATTGATGATCCCGGGACGCTGAACAGGCATAATAATGATAGCTCGTAGATTTATCGTAAAACAACAATGTCGGCCCATGAGGACATACGGGCGGCATATGATGGCCAAAATTGCCTGGTGGATCCAGCACGAGAGTCATGTTTTTTTTATCATCAACATTTGTAACTTTGTAAATTGTTTGTTTACATTCTACAATCTGGCATCAATGCCGCCATCTAGTATGGAACGTTGATTTGATTCCGAATTGTCAGCTGCAGCTGCATGCAATGCTTGAAATTGAAAGTGGAAAGTAAATTCAAATTGGAGAAATGGACGCTAAACAACAACAATCGACGATGCGACATTGTCCGTTTTCTCCTGGAACGATTGGATTGTCGGCCGACCATCAACATTATGAACAAGATGAATGGTTGTTCGAGACGAATCGATCACATATATTGAACTCCAAGTGTACATCATCGTTTGTGTGCAACAAGACACGTGCGTCGATGATGAAGATGGCCGGTGATGATCAATCAAAGAATGATGCTGACCAACAACAACAACAACAACATCAATCAACAGGTACACCGCGAAAATCGGTGGCTGAATATTTGGACCTGAAACGTCGTGTCTATTATGAACGTAGTCTATGTGATTATTGTAAATACGATCTCATCTTATCGATGGCCCATCTGCCCGACATGACATACGCATCGAATCATCTTCGTTTGGTGCATAAACAATCCGGGTTGGTAATCGAATTCAATGCATTGGATGCTCTCGCTCCAATCGTGATCAAATCGTATGGACTACCAGTGGGTCTGAAAGTTTCAGCATCAGAAGCATGGCTTCGCGCCAGAATGAACTGTGAATACACGCAGAATGTCTGCAATGCTGATTTCGATTGGACATTCTCCACCGATTATTCGGGTACGATTCGTCTGCATTCGTTGGATAAATCATCATCACCAATGGAGGCAAAAGAACTCCGGGAAGACGAGCCACCGCTGTCGGAATGGATCATCCAGCCGACCGACGAACGTATCGATTTGGAGAAGCTGAAAATTCACAAACAAATCAACTTTTTCGATGAGATTGAATTGTTTGAAGATGAATTGGCCGATCACGGTGTCGCCCAGTGTTCGGTGAAGATTCGTGTGCATCCAGATTGTTTTTACATTCTATGTCGATTCTTTCTTCGTGTCGATCGAGTGTTTGTTCGTTATTTCGACACCCGTCTCTATCATGAATTCGGCAGTGAGTATTTGCTTCGAGAACGAAGTCAACATGAATCTACGGTTGCCGATCTCAATCTACCTGTCCATACAGCTCAGGCATTGTTGATTCATCCGCAGGAATTGTTTGGTCACGTGCCCGTCAAAAATTTGCTGGTCGAAAAAATTCATTTATCACAGATCAAATTGAATTGATTAATGATTGATTGTTGGTGAATTTTTTTTTTATTCCATTTTATTATTGTAATTAAATGTAATACAGAAATGACAATTTTATGAGTTTAAATTAATGTGACTTTATCATGATGATGTGGATGTGGACGGCGGATTAGTGGTGGGCTGAATCAATTCCTGTTGTTTCGATGACAACGACTGCATCTTGGTTTCCACGTGTTCTTCGCGCAAACGATTGGCCATTTTCGTTTTCAAATTTTCGGCCAATTGGTTGAGGTCTTGAGTGAAAACGGTAACAATGGAACTGAACTGTTCAACATCGGCCGGTTCCCAATGTGTGTGATAATCAGTTTCGCCACCATTGGTGGTGGTTGCATTCGTTGGATTCGGATCGTTTGTTGGTGGATCCATTGATTGGATTAGTTCACTTAGTTTTTTGAATGCGTAGCCAGCTGCATGGAATATCTCGGCTACATTCGATACGGTGACCATGTTCTGAGGAGCGTTATTCTCCCCTTTCGTTCCAGCATCCGGATTCGTCGTAGTCATCGTGGTCACAATATTTTCGTCGATTGGTTTGTTGATTGAAACAGTGGCATGCATGCATCAACAATTCGCTTATTTGTTTTAGAACACAAAACACAAATGTCAAAATATCTTGGAACTCTGCACAAAATGGGCGGGCTTTACTCGTAATCACGTGACTCGAATTGCTAGAAATTAATTTTCAAAAGATACCTCGAGATGTAGCAGCATGAGTCAAAGTGGCAAATTATTGGTATGTGTTATGCATCGATTGTTTTCAATGAAATTGCTGAGTTGAAGATGCATTCGACTATGACGAAGAAGAAGAAAAAAGGAAAATATCTTGTCATCATCATATCACACACCTGTTGATTGGTGACAAAATGACCAATTGTTGTTAAACGATGGGCAATACTCAGTCATTACCGGATGATGGTCCATTGAAAATGTCTGCTGAAGTTGTGGACAAATATCTGCGACCAACAACAGAATATTCGTTGAAAATTTTGCGCACTTACTTTGAACGGTACCGGTTATTTGTGAAACACAATCCACTGCTCGTTTCGGAAATTGAATCTGCATTGTATTGGATCTCATACCTGTTGGCAAGTAAGATGTTGATATGATTTGGTTGGTGATTTGTTTACTAATCTAATGAGTAAATGTATGTGTTGATCGTAGCTACCAAATTTCATAATTCCCGCATCATATCCGAATTGCTGTCATCATGTTCATCACTGCTCACATTATTCGACGACAGTCTACTTCGTCGTTCATACGGGTTGGCCACCACCAATGCGGTAAGATTGTTGTTGATGAAATTTAATTTTTAACTTTAAAAATTCATATACAATTGATACGCAGAACACGTCGGTTCACACATTCCATATGGTGCTGCAATTCATTGAGTACATTCAAGTATTTGTCGAATTGACCGCCGTGCAATTGTATGGCCGTTATGGCAAATGGTTGGTCATATCGATCATCGAGATTATCAAGTGAGTCGATTGTTGAGTGAATGATATTGATTCATTAATTGATTGATTGGTGCTGTTATTCCAGGGCGAGCATACGTTTACTGTTGCTATTCTACTATCAACAGGGCCTCACCCATCATCAGTATTTGATGCCATTGAATCGGCTACATGAATTTGAGCAATATCAGATGAAACAGAAATTTAATCAACAGCAACGACAATCGCAGAGTGCTGTAGATGCATCGTCCAGGTCCAGTGTTGACGAGGCAATCGTCATGCAGGACGATGAAGAGGAAGAAGTGGTTGTACCAGATGATGGTGGAAATAGTCACAACCACTCATTCATAGAACCAAACGAAACGCAGCTCTTTCGGTTGAAAAGTTCAGGTCGCCTCATACGAAATATCGGTCAAGCGCCTGCGAAAGAGAAACGAACTTGGCTTACACCACAACAACAACAACGTTTACAGCGTTTGTTGCAGAAAAATCATCGATCATCGCCAACGGTGACACAACTGAATCAAAGACGATTGATTGGCGAACTGTTGCATGTGCTGAGGCCGGTCATTCATCTGACCACTGGAGCCATAGTGGGTGGTGTCCAAGACCATTGGACACCGTATCTAGTGTCACTTGGTTTAGATGTCATATCGCTACGTCTGTTGCGGAGCAGCAGCAGCAGCAATGATAATAATCTGTTTGGTTTAATCATGAAATTCAACAATGGCTCATCGAATGACGTTGATGAGATGTGGAATTGGTCCGAACGTTTGGAGATTCAACGTCGCCATCTTTTGCTATTGATGTATCTGTTGAGGGGGCCATTCTATGATCAATACACCAAACAACGATTACTGCGGTTAATATCGTTGTTTGCCAACTACATTCCACTGTTTGGCCGATTGTGTCGGCCATTGATTCGGGCGTTGCCCGAATGGCAACAAGTCTACTTTTATGTATGGAATTGATTGAATGACTTGGTTTGGATGAATGAATGAATGAATGGAATAGAATGGATTTTATTATGAAAATTAAAGTAACCCACCGAGTGGTGGTGTGGTTGCATTATATATAAATATTACTAATTGCTAATTACTAATTACTAATCAGCAGATAGTATAGCAATCCTTCTTGGCTTATTATCTGTAATGAGCCAATGGTTGATGCGCCAACTGTTGCTGATGGTAAGCTCCTTCATGATCCAATGGCCCCAAAGGATGGCCGTACGGCAGTCCAGCCGGATGATAAGGTTCGGGATGTGGTGGCTCAGCTAGAACTGGTGCTGCTGGACCGTGATGCAAAACTGGTGCCACTGGACCGTGATGCAAAACTGGTGGAGCATGAACCACCGATTTAGTGTAGATTGGTGCAGCTTGTGCTACCATTGGAATCGGCACAATGCGTTTTACTTGGACCGGAACCGGTCTTGGAACTTCCACTGGATATGGTCGCGGTACTTCATACGGTTCTGGAACTGTATATGGTTCCGGCACGGGAACACCTTTGTAGATGGGCGCAGGAACTTGCACCAAGTGATTCACGTGACTGCCATAATTGCTCTGTGTGATTGGAGCATACAGCGTTTGGTAATGTTTGGCAGTGAGCACTGTTGCTGGAAGGTAATGTGGTTCTGGTTCTGGTTCCGGGATAGCCTTTACGGTGGCAATCAGTGCAGCTATTATCTAGATTAGGTTAGGTAGAGTATAGTGAGAGAATGAGTGAGATTTAGACATGGAAAAAAGTGAAATTACAGACCAGGAATTTCATCTTGTTCAATGACAAAAGAGTGTAGTATTACGAAATGAAAATGAAAATGAGATTTAGCTCGGCTTTTTATAGAGACAACAAGTTCACTAGTGGATGCATGTCAAGATTGAAAAACCTGAAAATAGGCTTGGTCCGATCCCACTGAAATGGTGATGGTCAAATTCAAGTTTTCTCTTTCTTTCCAGTCCAAATGTCAACGGTGAGAGACGCGTTGATGTGTTGATGTTGCCGTTTTGTTTTGCTGATTTTGTTGATCTTGATCACACACGCACACCAACAATGGGAGAATGTTTGAATTGATTAATTGTCTGTGGCCATGATAATGATCGCGAACCACATGATGCACGATTGGCCGAGTGGCCAACGACAAATAACTGTAACACGATCATCAGGAATCATGCACTGAACGAACTTTGATTTGTTGTGGACAAACTATTGGTTCGTTGGTGGGTTATCGGTGTGTGTGTGTGTGTGTGTGTGTGGCAATTTGAATTGATTGGTTGTTAGCATGTGTGTTGAAATCATTCGATTCGAGTGATGATTTTCACTGCGGCGAATTTAAATTTAAATTTGAACGTTACGAAATGTTGTTGCTTCACACGTCGATTTAAATCCCTGACAAAGATTAGTCAACTGGTTGTTTGTTGTTTGTTTTGTTCATTTGCTCAATTCCATCAAGTCCATCATCATGAAAATGATTTCAATTTGCATAATTTAATCAACATGACCCAACCCTAACCTTAGCCCATCTATTCAGTTTCAGTTGCAATTCCAATTAGGCAACAGAAAAAGAATCGATAACATTTCAAAATCCAAGGCAGTGTGTTTCAAACGACGACAAACAAACAGACAGACAGACTGGAACTAGTGCATGTTGATACAGGCCAACTGAATTGAATGTTTTGAATATATTAACATCGATTGTTAAATATTGATATTGGGTGAACCAGATGATTGAATTTCGAATGACAAGCTCCAATTGCAACTTGATTCATTCTTCATTCGGTGATGTATAAATTTGCCCTTCAATTAAAGACAATGGCCAGTCCTCCCACTCGATCGATCATTATGATCATGATCATTATGATGAGATGGTGATAAGACAAAGAAACGTGACATTCATGATGGCCACATGGATATGGATTCAGTTCACTGGAATCGTCGATGGATTATGATGTCTAATAATTGATGTAATCAAGTCTATTCACGTTGTCTGTCTAATCCATTGTCAGTGGTGCAATGGTCATCAAATTAAAAGTGATGTGATGTTGAAGTGATGTCGAAATGTGTGTGTGTGTGTGTGTGTTTGAGTCTTGGCTAATGTTTCCACAGATTCGATATTCCATGATTCCGAGTGGTTGGATTTCATTTTGATTTGATCATATTCATTTATTCAGTGTCAAATGAAACATTTCATCTATGTGTGTGGTGGTGATGTATGCATGCAAGTTATCTGAACCATCAATGTCATTATGTAATGAGCACGAACAATTGATGGTCATCAGCAGTGAATGGTGAGCGGTTTTAAATTTTGCTTTTGTCTTTCAAATGAATCCCATTCGTCCTATTGTCCATGTTTATTGCGTTTCATCACATAATGCCTGGGAATCATAAATGGCCAATTATGTTTACAATACATGATGACAATACATGATGTGGCCGATGATAAAACATCCATCTACTTTCGTCAACGAATTCTTCTCTTTAAATTGGCTCGACATGACAATAACACAATGCACACACACACACACGTGTGTTGTTTCTGAGAATAAATGAAAAATTTTTAAAACGAAAAAGACAAAACAAGTGTGATGGAAATGCGTTGACAGCGATGATAACGTAAGAAGAGTCAATGCTTTGTTGTTGTTGTTGTTGTTATTGTTTTTACAAGGAATATTTCGACTATAAAATACGACAGTCCACTGTTTCTTGTCTTTCATTTGGTCCGTTTCGTTTCGTTTTCAAATTTCCATTTTCAAGTGTCAATTGTCAACTCTACTTGTCCAATGCCAGGTTCTCGTTGAATTTGTCAAGTTGTCTGTAAATTTGCAATTCACCAAATTCACCATGGTAATACTACTGCTGATGATGATGATTCATTTCATTGTGTTGGTAACCATTTGATTTGCTTGTAGATTAAATCATTGTTGTTGTGGTCACTGTGGACGGTCCATATGGCAATGGCATTCATGCATGGTGACCATTTCGACGGTGCACTTGGTCATCAACTTGTTCATGGTAAAAATCAAGACGAACTCCATCCCGAGCCATCAGCAATGATTGGCTACCACGACTCGCCACACCATGAATTGGTCATTAAATCGTATCCACACGCCGAACCACCAATCATGCACGGTAAATATTCACATCATCATTTGCCCGGGTATCTTCATGATGAACCCCATATTGGTCATCCGGTTCCGGAACCAGAACTCTATGACCATCAGATTGGTCATGAAATTCATCCTGAGCCGTATCATCATCTACAATTACGATTCGATCCAGCCAATTTGGCCGTCCATGGCTACGATCAATTACATGACAATCATCATGTGGTTCAGGTTCAGCATGCATATCCTCATCCTCATCCTCATCATCATCCAATTTCACTGGCTGAGCCTTACAAACATGAAGAGCCGGACAATTCGCTGGCACATTATGAGCCATCATTCTATGGCCATCGTAAACCTGGCGATGGATTTGGTCCAGGCGGTCATTACTCCACGATGCCGCATCAGGAGATTAAATATTTCCCAGTGCCAGAGCCGGTTCCAGTTTACAAACCAGTGCCTGTAGAGAAACCATATCCAGTTCCAGTGGACAAGCCGTATCCTGTGAAGATTGACCATCCAGTGCCGGAGCCGTATGTGGCGAAAGTGGTGCAACCAATCATCCATAAGCAGGCCATCATTAAATCGCATGTGACACATCAGACGTATGACATTGCTTACCCGCATCATCATCACCATGCATCGTATAAAAAGGCTTAGAATTCATTTATTCATTTATTTATTCTTGTTTGCTCTGTTTTTCCGTTTGTTTGTTCGGTATATTCAATTAAATATCGATGATTTGGAACAAAAGGTCAAAAATGGTAAGCTGCTGATCACTGAAACCTGTCTCTCTGTCTCTGTCTCTGTCTGGCGTGTATGAGTGTGTGTGTGATGGTCATTATCTCTAGACAATCTCTGAATGTTTTCCAAGCATCACAAAAGCAGACACACAGCTTCAATAAATAATACGAAAGAGCCGGTGTAATGTGCAGAGCACTGTGCATTATGGCTTGTTTGTCCAATGATGATCATGCAGATGTTCACTTTCTATTTCTATAGAGAGATATCACAGGAATGTCATTCAGCAATGTGGCTGCGATGATGATTCTTGTTTGTCAGAGATTCGTAAACGAGATACGGCCATTTTTGTACTATGTACGTGTGCGTGTGTATGCATATATCAAGATAGAAGCATTCCAACACCATTCATCTCAGCACAGCATTGTCGATCGGTAAGTTTTATCGTTCACTTTCGTTTTTGCGAATGCATTCGACAATTTAGTTTTGATTTTGGTGGTGATGATTGATTGATTGATATATGGATTTATAGCATAAAGATAAGGCGACCAGAAATAAGACTAATCAACATATTTGTTGATCGTCGAATGAACGTTATTGGTTACGATCAAGGCAAGACTTGATTATCGTGAGCAAGCAACCCACGAAAACAAAACTGTTGCAGCTCACTATTTGCTATTTGTCAATCATCATGTTGATGACGATGATATTTGCTCTAATCAATTGTTGCCATTTCTTTCAACCAGACTAATCAGACTAATCACCATCAATGATGCGATTGTGGTTCATATTGGTCATTGCATCAGTCACATTGGCATCATGGTCATCTGCCACCAATGGCAGCACAACCATGCATGGTATCCTAAGCAAATATAGTCTTTTTCCGGGCATTTTCTCATTCGAATCCATAGAACGACCAGCATCGAAATTGATTGAAACAGACAACAACATCATCAACAACAACAACAACAATGAGGCGTCATCGACACTTGAACCTACAAGTAAAAAAGAATACCCTCAGCAGAGTGTCTTGCAATTTTCCCGTTTCAAATTTGTTCCATCATCGATCGAACCTCGATATCAGGTTGAACGCACAGTGCCACATCACCAACAAGTGATATTCACATCACCTATTGATCATCAGACTGCTCAGGATGATCGGTCGGTGAATGAAAATGACAGATGACTTTATTTCGTTCTCATCATCTCATTATGTATTTATTAAGGTGGAATTTTAAGCCGAATTTTCACAATATGGACTTGGTGATTATGGAATAATGAATTGTGTGGGTGTTGTGTACAATTGATTAAATAACTTTAACATTAACTTGATTCCATTCTGAGATTCTCGACTTCTTTATGCTTAACCATTGATTGTAATTGTAACATTGATCTAATAGTGACCGTAACCAGCGCCAAGACCAGCACCAAGACCACCGTAGAGACCGTGACCCAAGGCCATTGGAGCAGCGTGGTAAGCCGGGGCGGCGGCAACAACCGATTTGGTCACAATTGGAGCAGCTTGAGCGACCATTGGGATTGGAACGGCACGTGGAACATCGACTGGAACTGGTCGTGGAACGCCAACTGGAACTGGTCGTGGAACAGCGTATGGCTGTGGAACGGCGACTGGGTATGGTTGTGGAACACCTTTGATGATTGGAGCTGGAGCAGCAACAAGGTGGTTGACTTGTGAGCCGTATTTGCTTTGAGTGATTGGAGCGTACACGGTTTGGTATTCTTTGGTGATCAAGGTTGGAGCGGCAATAATGGCCGGACCGTGGCCATACATTGGAGCAGCATATGGTACGGCAGCGACGCACGAAACCAAGGCGGCAATGATCTGTTTGAATTCATTGAATCAGGTGCAATCGAATCATCATTGTTATATTGATATATTGTATTAGTTATAGCTAACGGACACACGACTTACGAGAAATTTCATTTTGTTGGTTTTGATCGTTGGATAATGTCAGCGACAATAGTGGTGATGGATTCCGTTGTGATAGGAATCGAATAAAGCTCAATGTCCATTTATATATGCCTCATCGTTCTCATTCATTCAACGATAATTCAATTTGAGAGCGAGAGCGAGAGAGAGATTGAGAGAAGCACGTGTTGGCATTTCATATTTTGAATAGAGAGGGAGACTAATTTCGATTAATAACGACGTTACACTTGAATATTATTTTAATATTTACATTGGAAATTGGCGTTTTTGGGCGAGAAATGGAAATGAAATGAAGCGTTGAGTAGCCATTTTGGCCCCAAGCTTTTGTTGCATCTATAAATATGATACAAGTATCGAATCAATTTGCCTTGAAGTTGATTCGTTATTGTTAATCGTAATCAATTATACAAGCTACACACACACACACCTAATAATTTGATGACGATGAAAATGGAAACCATGATGACATTGACCATTGACAGTCATTGCAAAGAATGGTTGGTCGTCAGTGTCCAGTTTTAGATTACGATTTCGTTTGATTCAGTCCAGTTTGTTCCATTTACAATTGGATCAGTAGAAATGTGTCCATTTCCATCATTCATTCGCATACCAATGATATGGCCGTAGGCTGTTTTAGACACAATTGGAATAATTTAAACGAAATAATTCAGCTTGCCGTTTTGTGTTTTGTGATTGTGTTTGTGCTCGAGTCCAGCACCTTGATGATGACAACGCCCGTGGCTTGCATTGATCATTGTTTCGAATCGATCCATTTTTATTATCATCCATGATGAAATCAACGAGGCTTAATTAGCCATCATATTAGACCATCACACCTCAGCATCAATTTCCTTTAATTTGTTGGCCAAAACAATGGTTGCATGTCATAATCACATTCAATGATGGTTCAAGGTAATTTCCATGAATCAATGGAATTTCCCTCGCTACGCACTTGACAAGATTGGAATGCAAAAAGAGGGAAGGGTTTTTCTTTCCATAATTGTGCAGGGTGTTGTCTCGACACAAATGTGTGCCAATCACAATTCGTCATTGGCCAATTCAATTGATTGATCGATCCAAGTGGTGGTGGTGGTGGTGGGCAATTGATGGTCAATTGCAATCGATTGACTGATTGGCTGATTGATTGGAAATTTCATAATCGCCTAAAGATTTGAATAAGCCAAATTGAAGGTCCACTCTATTAGTGGTGATGTTAAAATTCACGCAACGGACGGAAACTTTGCAGAGCATCCATCGTCTAACATGGATTGTCAATAAAATGGTGAAACATTGTGATCATCGTAATGGGATGGAGAACAAAGTTGGAAATGTCACATCGTGCAACAATAATAACTGTGATAATAATAGCAAGTGATTATGTCCATCTGCGCCTTGTGATTGTCCATCAGCACCTATTGAAACAATTGATAGTGACCAGTCCACATCCAACAACATGACGAATCTCGGTCAAGGTCACACATACACACTCTTTTTCACTCTTCTCACACAAAGGGATTGGTTGCTGAAGCTGTCAAATCCTGTCACAACATTCACTTTGATTGATTGCAATATAATTAAACTACTAAACTTGGACGTCGATTCAACTATTAATAAATACACACATCATAGACATCATAGACATCATAGACAACACAACAGCAATTTATTCCAACTTGATCGTGTTGGATGAAATGATTTAAAGCCATCCAATGGTATGCCATCTGCTGTGTATGTGAATAAACGTTTTAGACAACTGACCATCAATCAGTTGCTCCATCTACATTGTAAAATGCAAAATTGATTCAGCATCAATCGATATTTGTTTTTCGTATACGATTCATTTATTTTCAAATCATCATTTTCTCCAAAGACTATTTGAATACAATCTGAATGTAATTGGAAATGGAAAACGCACATTGAGAGGAAAAGAAAAGAAAAGTAAAGTTGATTCTCATTGCTGAGTTTTTTCAAGTTTGGAAATTCCATAGAAGGATGAAATGAAAGGTGGATAGATGGCATTAGTGGGAAAAGGTATGCGTTTGTTGTGAACATCTCTGAGTTGTTTCTCGATGGAAAAAGGATGTGTAGTGTGTAGTTTGTACATGCATTTACATTGAATGTGAGTAAATTATGACTCATTCGTGTGCGATTGTTTCATCCACAGTGAAAAGCACGTGTTTTTTGTCCTTATAAAAATGCACGTTGGTTTTTGCAGAATTCATTTCTATATTATTGCCTGTGATCCCTCTGTGACAATGAAATTTTTTCATTTTTGTTTTTTCTTATTTTGTTATCAAATCAAATTTCGTTTGGTATTTGGTGAGTTATTATTTCGATTTCGATTTCAACCTAATAATGATGATCAACCCTATTGTTTAATGTAATGTATAATACTTGATTGTCAATTTGAACAACAATGACTGTAGTGCTGTTGGCAAATACATGTCAACCTTGCGATATAAATAATTAAGTTAAATTAAATTAAATCTTAAATTGTATTCTATGCTACATTTCCTGATCCTGATAAATATAATATATTAATAATAATATTGTAGTGATATCATAATATTAATATTAATGTATAATGTATGTATGTATAATGCATTTCTACCTAATGCTAATTTTAACCCTGTGCTCAGCTACGGAAGTTGGCCTAACCTCCGTCACTTTTGTTGTAATAATCTTATTGTGTGGGCGTGTGTTAATAATGCTGTAAATTCGATTGTAATGATTTAGAACTATTTCAATAATAGTTTGAGAATGTTTTTTTACTTAATTAGAATATATATCATGTGTATATGTGATGGTAAACTGTGTTTATCATTCCATTTTACACTTTGAATAAATATTAGTTGGAGAAACATTGCCAACAATAACCAATGAAAATCAACGGATACTATGGGTATCAAAGAAATTTGTCAACTAATGAAATTAAGAAAGATAAAGTGTTAAATGAATGTTTGATCGCAAACCCGGATCAATTGATGGGTTTTTGGCTCTCTGTATACCAACTGAAATTTTGAATGTTGTTATTAAAAGTGTTCATGAAGAATTATGTATATTCTGTTTTTGGTGTTTCATTCTGTTATAAATTGAATTATGAACCAATGGTGTATTTAAGAACAAATTTGTTGAGTCATAATTACTAATAACTTTTTTATTATTTTATTTTTGGCAATTATTATTAAACTTTTATTTTTTGTGCCATTCTTTTAATTTTGTTTTTCAACACATCCCAAATTCTTTGACTCATGTCCATGTATGATTTAATGAATGATTGGATGACGAGATAAGATAAACAATAAACAATAAACAAACAAAATTCATGTTGCCAAAACGGAAAAAGAAACGTTTGGCCTTTCTTATTTTTCATTTTTGTGTTCACAAGCGCAAACACGATTTTTTGTGTTTTTGTGAATTTTTTTTTTCAAAAATTAAAATATTTTTTTGGTGTTTTTTGGATTTTTTTCAAAAGCAATGTCCGTCATTGTTGAGATGGTCGCATGTTTCTTTTCGATTCATGCGACGATACTGGTGACATCAGAATCACAGCATTCGACGTTGAATGTGATGGCTTGTATGAAATTACTTGAAACCAATTATTGTGTTCTTTGTCCATGGCCATTGTGCGGAAAAAAATTTCCTAATATGTGGAAGTATAAAGAACACCAAAATACCTACCATCTTGTTATGATTAATTGTTGAATATGAAATAATGTATTCATGTTAATTAAATTATCGAACTATTTCGTGATTCAATATATTCTGACAGTATCCAATATCATAGGATAGTAAAATGAATGTGTGTAAATGTAAAAATGAACAAAAAGATTATAGCTTAGTAGTAAAATGAATTTATGTGTATGCATTATGTGTGATGCTATATATTTGTGATGACGAGATAAGATAAACAATAATCACGTTGCCAAAACGGAAAAAGAAACGTTTTGCTTTTTTACTTTTGAACACTGCACTGCAATACATGTGCTTTTTGTTTTTGTGCTTTTTGTGTTTTTTGTTCTTTTTGTTGCCGTTTTTTTTTGCTAATTTGTTTGTTTTTGGTTTCGTTTTGGTTTTGTTGTTTGTTTTTTGGTTTTTTTTTTGGTTTTGGTTTTGGTTTTGTTTTTGTTTTGTGTTTTTTTTTTGTATTTTTGTTTTGTGTTTTGTGTTTTGTGTTTTGTTTTGTTTTTTTTCCTTTTTTTTTAATCATCAATATATTTAAACTGAAAAATGTTTAAATTATCAAATTCAATTAAAAAATCCACAATAACCTGTATGCAGTACAATTGCAAATCGTCAATGGCTGTTACAGAATAAGCGCTTTATCATATTATCAACAATAATATCGATATTGCGCTTCTTTGTGAAGTTTATTT